GGCATTCAGACCACATCCGTTTACCATTTGGCATCCCAGCAATGCCGCAGATTAGCGGCAATTATCTTTGAATGGAGGAGGAGCAGTCTCCTCCGACCTCTGCATCCGTTTATCGATCGATGAAAATAAAAAAATAGACAACCTGCTAACTGCAACCTGACTCTGTACACCTGCTTATGCTTTTGTTGCTCTGCTGCTCCCTTTTCCTTTTCGTCAGTTAATAACAATAGAAAGAGCCGTCGCGGTAATAATAATAATGATAATCTCTTTCTGCGGCCGCCACAGATTATTTGGCAGTTACAATTAAGTTTCAGCTGCAACAGTAACAAAAATAAAAAGTCAAGAAAACAAAAACAACGAAAGCAGCAACCAAAACAAAAGCACAAGGAAAAGCAAAAACAAAAACAAAAGCAATAGCATCTTTGACGGCCTTTCACCTGCACTGGAGGAGGTTAAAGTGAACACTAGATAAATGGGAAATTAAATTCTAAGGGTCTGATATATACTACAGAACTAAAAGAATGTAAAGAATGATGGTTGAAATTTCTATACTTCGTCCATTCCTTTTTTATTTGTTTAGTTATTTATTTAATAATTTCTTTATTTAGTAATTTATGTATTTATATACTTATATTTATTTCTTTATTTATTTTGTATTATTTCTCTAATTCCCTATTATTTCCCCACGAATATTCACTGTACTTGCTTCCCTTGTCCCCTTAGCTGACCCTCCACAATTAGTTCTAATGAGTTGCTGCTGTTGCTGTTGCTGTTGCTGCTGCGGCATCCACACTTCCTGTCACGCCTCGGATCTTGATTTCCATTTCCATGACCATTTCTCCCGCTTTTCCACCGCACGTTGACACTTTCCGTACGGTTTCCGTTTGGCAATTGCTCAGACTCTAATTGAAACGGAGAGAAAAGGCCAGAAAAAAACACAGAAACTAAAAAATAACAAGCTACAATTGCGGCTGTCAGAGCTGCTTTGACCATTGGCTGATTTTTATTTCCATACGAATTTAATGCTCAACATTTCCACAGAAGTGGAAATAAAAAGAAATTTTTGTGTCCGTTGCAAAAACAAAAAAGCAGAAAACCAAAACAAAAAGAAACAATGTTTTTATGGGGCGGTCTAAAATGTTTTTCTGTCTCTTCTTAAGCAGCAAAAATGTAGTAATTATTTGTTTGGTAGTCATGGACATGACTTTCTCTGTATATGATAATTTTCAGTTGCTTCCAGCTTGTCCAGCATCCAAGCCCAGCTCTGTGTCTGTCTCTGTGTCTGTGCAGCTCACGTAGCATTATGGCAATGTTCTCCACCTTTATTCCACCGTCTCCACATTACAGTGCGTGACATGAGCGTTAAGTGGCCGAGATCGAGATTCGTTGGTTCCCACTAAATTGATAATCACGCCTCGGCATTTAGGTTTTTGTTTCAAACTCTCGGGTTCTTTTGTGCCTCATGCTCTGAATTTCACTCGGAAATGTTGAGTGCACGCATTGGTCTTTCACCTGGAATGTATATGTGTATATATAATATATAATGAAACCAATTCGATGCCATTAGGCCTGCTGAGTCATGATCGAGGGAAAGCCATCAAAGATACAATCATTGTTCTACATGTCACACACGTAGGTGTCGGAAATTACTATTGAAAGTTCAATGAAACTTCTGAAAATAAAAGTTTAATTGAGAATAACAAAAATAGGAAAATGGGAAAATAGGAAAAATGATAAATCATTTGGGAAAAATGACAACAGAAAAAAATAAAAGGGCTTAGCCTCAGGGAATAATGCATTGTCTATCTGCAATTTGGTATAACAGATATAGATATATCGACAAATCGCATTATCTATATTCAATGAGATATATTAATCGAAGTTTTAACTTAGCTATATATATTAATAAAGATGTATTGCATTGGCCAGGTAATATTTAGGGGTCGAAGGGCACTCAATATCACTAGCACATTAGATGTAAACACTTCGTAGGCCGCGGACAGAATGAGGTCAGAGCGACGGCTGCGCTAGTATTTATAGTCTCCACGTAAAGAACAGAGGGGGTGAGAGAGAGAGAGAGTGAAAGAGCTATCTCTAGAGAAAGGCAGAGAGAGAGATAGGCATACCGACAATGTTAGAGATGGAGAGCAAGAGAGAGCAGGGAAGAGCGGAGAGTGAGAGACACAGGGATTTGAAGGGTAAGAAATAGAGAGTAATGGAGTAAGAGGGACAAAGACATAGGGAGTTAGAGGGACAAAGAGATATAGAGTTATAAGAGATGCTGTTGATGCTGATTAGAAATAATTTATATACTCTTTATGGTCGGTGCATTTTAAACTTCTGACTTAAATTACAATACCCTCTAGAGGTATATATATAATACCCCCTTTATAATCAATTCCAACTGATTAAATAACTTCATTTCGATGACACAATTTCTTTTGAAATAACTCTCAATAATTTTTATAATTGATCGATTGATGAAGCCATAGACCAATTATGTTATTGAAACATAACAAGCGGAATTATATGTGAATGTAGTAACCAGCTTTGATATTTATTAAACTGAGATAATCGAGACCAATTAACTGGTCGCTCACCCAACCCAATTCTATTTATATTTTTCCCCGCTAACTTAATTGCCTGACTTTATATTTCGTTCATTCTTCTGCCTTAGTTTTTGTGATTTTCCCATAAATAATTTTGGAGCTAAGCAACAGCCATATCCCCATCGTCGGAGTGATTTATCTCTTTCCCATTCAGATTGCAATTCAAAATTCCAATTCATATTTCACCATTAGTTTGCCTGCAATTATAAATGTTTTGATTCGCGGTAATTGCCAGTTGCGTCAGGAGGGAGGGCGCTGGCGCTTTTTGTAAGTGGGGTAACTGAGGCAATTTTTGGGGCCAAAATAAAGCCACCTTTCCGTTCCCTTACCCCCACATTGACTTACCTTACCTGAGTGACTTGAACTTTAACTGAATGATTTATATATGTGGCAGCTGGAGCGAGCCACAAATTGCTTCTAGCTTGGATCCGATCCGATCCGATCCGATCGAACTGCATAATGCCTGGCGATCTGGTCAGGAGATTTCCCCAGGTGGTGGGGAAGGCAGGGGAAGGCGAACATAATTTCAATAATAAATTTCTATAATTTTCCCCGTCTTGTTTCTTTCGCTGCAAGTGAAGCGTAGAATTACGTGAAAAAGTGAAATTATGCGACGGCGGTGAATGTGAATCCACCAAACTTACTTACTTACTTACCAACTGGCACTGGTGCGTGAAAGCAGGCATTGTGCGGGTGCACTGGGAGAAAATTAGAAAACATAATGAGAGAGAACTTTTTGTGTTATTTTTATAACTTTTCAGGGTACTATAATTTCAGTCAAAAGCTCACAAAACAGCGAATGAATCATTTCCGACCCTATAAATCATATATATTCTTGATCAGTATCAACAGGCGAATCTTTCTAGCCATATTTGGAAGAAAAAAAATTTTAGTAAATTTTTCCAAAATTTTATAAGGGGTTACATTGTTAAGTTAAAAAAAATTGAAAATTTTTTAAATATTTTTACCTTTTAGATTTAATATGCAAATTTGTTAAACTAATCAAATCTAGTACAGAACAGCTTTCCGATTGAAAATTGATGCATTTTTGGCTGAATTATGAACTTTTTAAACTTTGAATTCTCAATATAAATGTTTGATATAAAAAAATTTATTTTAAGAATCTAGCAGAGGGTTTAATAATTTTAATCATTGAAGGAGTCATTTCCGACCATATAAAGCATATATATTCTTGATCAGTATCAACAGGCGAATCAATCTAGCCATATTTGGGAGAAAAATATTTTTAGTAAATTTTTTCCAAATTTTATAAGGGGTTATATCGTCAAAATTTAAAAAAAATTTGATAAAAATTTTAATTTTTTACCTTTTAGATTTAGTATGCAGACTTGTAAAGCTAATAAAAACTAGCACAGAACAGCTTTCCGATTGGAAATTAATGCATTTTTGACGGAGTTATGATATATTTTCACAGCAAGGGTATAGACATTACGGTTTCCAGTAGTTAGTCTTCTTTATGGAAGCCTTTAATAACAATAATTAAGTTAATCAGTTTCCCCTTTGAAACAAATTTTTTCGGAAAACCAATATAAATAAAAAGTTACGTATACGTAATATCGCCTTAACCAACATAGAATATCACGTATACGCACCATAGACTGTCAGACCAAGGTTACCAAAAACGAATTATATAAAATTACCAATAAATATCGAATTTAAAAATGCAAATATTTTAGCGTTTCATAAGAGATGGCCATAAAGCCTGTAAATGTTAAAAGTCCTACAAATTTCGATTCATTTTTAAAATCTTTATAAATCAGAATATGATAAATTCTAAAATATTTGAAATGTACAAATAAAATAATTAACTTTACCAAAGAAATATTTATAATTATTGAATTTAAAATTTATTTTTGTGAGTGTAGTCAAAGCACCAGCACCAGCAGCCTCTGTCGATGCGTGTGACCCAATTCGTTGAATTTTCGATTGCAAGTTCAAGTTTTGCTCACTTTGTTTACATATAAACTACACACATGCCACAAGTGTGTGATGTGTGTGTATGTAGCGCCATCTCTGTCTCGTCTCGCCTTGCATTCTGCGTCTTCTTCGCTCATTACTTATCACACCGAGCACGTCTTCGTCGTGTGGAGGCCATGAGACAGGGAAAAGGGGGATCCCAGACAGACACTCCCCACTTTCTTTAACTTTCGCATGAAATCAGCTTCGTTTTTTTGGCAACTCTTTTGGGAGATATATATTGATTGGCAATTGTCACCCATTACTTCGATTAAATCGTTAAAAGGTGGCATGTATGCATATGTCTAAGATCGATCAAGATCTTTACTTCAAAGTAACCCTTATTATATTCTCGATTAATTTAATCTCCAACCTTTAATATAACATTAGAACCTTTTTATCCTCTTCTTACAGCTCCCTTTAAAATCTCTAACAAAATGATGACGATGACAGCGGCCTCGGCCTCCATATCCACATCTGCATCCACAGACTGCAGCAGCAGCATGCAGGGATCGACAACCAGTTCGGCATCCAGTGATGTCATGACGCTGACCACCACAGCTGCATCCTCATGGTGCGCCATCCCGGCTAGCTCCCGGTTACGTGTACTCCGCCTGGTGAGGCCACATCAGAGGAGACTCCTCGTCGGTGGACCAGAACGGGGCAGTACTTATGGATTCGCAGTGCGTGGTGGACGGGAACATGGCACCGGATTCTTTGTCTCCCACGTGGAGCATGGCGGTGAGGCGCAGCTAAAGGGACTAAGGGTAAGTGGGTCACTAGATCAATGGATCACTGGATGACTCAGTCCCAAGTCACGTACGCTGATGACGGACGTGATGGCTTCTGGCGCACCCAATCACACGTGTCCATGGATTACTTTCCCCTTATAGATTGGCGATCAGATCTTGCGGATCAATGGCTTTCGTTTGGATGATGCTGTGCACAAGGAGTTCATCCAACTGGTGGGCAGTCAGGATAGGGTCACACTGAAGGTGCGAGGAGTTGGCATGCTGCCTGTCAGAGAGTAAGTAATATTTTGTAAATTAATTAATAGTTACAGTTCTGTAACTTGGGACAACATTCCCCAGAGATCCCTAGCAGTTTCTTCTTAATTTCTAATCGGTTCCCTTAACCATTCCCAGTCAACCGGAGGAGCGTTTGTCCTGGAGCGTGGTAAAGCTGCCCAGCGTAAGTGGCACACCCTCGGAGAGCTCCTTTAAAAGCGGTGGCGAACGTGGTCGTAGCGCCAGCAGGGACATCAGTGTTGTCCTGCATGTGGCCCCCAGGACAAAATTGGGTCTGGGCATATGCAAGGGTCCAGAATGGAAGCCCGGCATTTTTGTGCAGTTCACCAAGGAGCGGAGTGTGGCTCGGGAAGCGGGTCTCCGTCCCGGTGATCAGATCCTCAGTGTCAATAGCATCGATTTCTCGGACGTGCTCTTCAGCGAAGCGGTGGCCGTGATGAAGAGTAGCAGCAAGCTGGACATGGTGGTGCGCACTGCAGCTGGCTGTGATCTCTTCCCGGGCGAGTCCAGTGGCTATAACAGTTCAGCCAGCTCGGTGACTGGAGATCAGAGTCCCTGCTGGGCGGATGCCAAGTCCAAGCGATTGACTGCAGTGCGTGAGGAGGGAGCAGGAGCAGGAGCAGGAGCAGGAGCTGGAGGAGGAGCTGGAGCAGCTGGTTCTACCTGGTCACAGGGCGTTGAGGTTCACAAGCAGATGAACAAGACAATTATTAAGCTTACGGAGACCGGCACCTCCATCAACAACACTTACATAGCCAGCTCTAGCTCGACTGGTGGTTCCAGTCCCGTTTCCGGCTCCTCCGTCAGTGGAATCTCCAGTCGCAGTCAGCAGCAGCAGCGGGATCAACAGCTGGTGACTGCCGAACGGACACAGTCCCGGAGCACCACCATGAAGCGCAGTCATCTGCGGCCAGTCAATGCTTCAGGATCGATCCCGCGATCTGTATCCGCTTCGGGATCGGGATCGGGATCAGGAGGAGGAGGAGCAGCAGCAGTAGCAGCACCTGTTCCGCCACCGCCAGCCATGAATGATGGCTGCAACGGTGGTGCCGCCGGCAACGGTAGCAGTCTCTCCAGTGCCATAACCGAGGAGCTCAAGAAGCGCAAAGAGGTAAATTTTCTTGAACATTACTCACAGAGCACTAAAGAGACACTGGGAGAAAATAGTATTTATAACTTTCTGAATGATTTTCCAAATAGTTTTCACCAAATAATCCCAGTTTCTTCGAGTGCATTGTCACAGATTGCTTCACCGGCAAACTAATTGGAATCATTGCAGAAGCAGCAACAGCAACAGCAGCAGCAACAGCAGCAACAACAGCAGCAACATCAGCAGCAGCGCAACAATCGCGATCGCGATAGAGATCGAGATCGAGATGGCAATGGAAATGGATTTGGTTGTGGAACCAGTGATCGGCAGCTGGTGTCGCACAATGGAAGCCACCGTAGCTCCTCTGTTGGCCAAGCGTCGCATCGCCAGCGGGCAAATGTTGCTGGCGTGGCTGTCACATTGCAGGGCAGCGAACGCATCAGCAGCAGCAACAACAGCAACAGTGGAGGAGGAGGAGCAGGTGGACCCAATGTTGCTGGCGGGGATCAGCACACGGCGCTGATGGATGAATTCAAGCGGGCACACCAGCGCATGTTTAGGAACGGGTTCCATGAGAGCGATCACAAGGTGAGCAACTGCAACAGCAGCAGCACCTAAGCTGCAGCAGCAGCAGCAGCAACATATTAACATTATATATCGATGGCACTGGTCAGCAAAGTAAATGTAACAAAATGATCTTGAATTAGTTACATATTTTAGTTTAAAATTAAGGTAAAGACTGTTTCAATGCTCTTTTGTTAATTATTGTTGACCATTAGATTGGTAACTACATTTTGTTGGCCAGTGCAGTCGGCCCCTTGCAAAGGTCAAAAGATCCAAGAGCTGCCAACAGACTGCACTTGTCGACAGTGGCTCAAGTCCCACCAAAAAAGAAGCCCCGCGGAGACCCCTTCGAACAGTCCATTGTTGGAAGTTGATAGTTGGTAGTAGGGAATTGGTAGTTGATAGTTGTTGGTTAGTTACCCAACAGCCCCTCAAGGGGTTGGCCACTCGACTGGCCAAGTGCTTTCTTTGGCTGCGGCGGGGGGCCAACTGCTTGGGGATTAATTATTATTATGAATTGCGGTTGGCCCCATTGAACGATGGCATCTTATCGGCCAAATCGATAAGCGGCGCCACAGCCGATTGCTCAGATTATATTCTATATAATAAAGGACCACTAATCGGAATAAGAATGAAATGCTAGAAAAATGATCGATGAAAGCACTGCGTATACTTGATATAATGAAGATGAACTGTAATCAAAATATTTACAAGATGTGCTTATCGTTTTAATAGTTTTCAATCTATTTATGACTACTTTTAAAAATATACATCGATTTAATTAAGAAAAGCTAAACATGTTCTCAGATTTAAACAATGGACACACTACGTATACTTGATTTTATGAACAAGCATGTTTATAATTAGTGAGCTTGATAATCAGTGTAATATCGTTTTTGAGTTATAAAATATCTCGCATTTGTTTTTAATTAAATTAAAGATACACTCTCTCAATAGTTAAATTATTGTTATACAATTTCCGATCACACACCGATTATAAATCAACAGTTTCTTGAATATCGATAACACAATCGTATTCAAAATAAAGTACCTTTTATGGTCGTTTGTTCCCAGAACTCAATCATATTGGCCATTCGTTGTCTGACAGCCCAATGGTTATCGATGACGCCTCACAGCGTGCGTTTTGTGGTTACCAATTTCGGGCCAGAGTAGAATTCCACACCCTGGAGATATGATGGATTCGGCCAGCGGGTGAGGATGATGACTCACTCGCTCATCGAGCAAAGTGCTAGGAAATAAGAGGAACCAAAACAAAAAGCGAGCAATGACAAACAAATGGCCAAAAGCAAACAGAGGGCTGGGTGTATCTTTTTGTTTTTGTTTTGGTTGTTTTTTTGCTGGGCTTTTGACTAGTGACTACTCCTCAATGGCTTTATCTAATCGGAGCGACGGAGCAACTGCGTTGCCCGGAGTCGATAGATGGATGGGCGTCCAGTCTTGGCAATAGCTCGCTGTGGATCGCATCGCAAATTACGGCCGGAATAATATGAGTTTGCTGAGAGTGAAAAACAGAGAGGGGGCGGCGGCGTCAGGTGATGGGTCTGGGGTTATGCCCACCATGAGGCCCGTAAGCATGGGCAGACCTCTGGTCACCATGTCCACATATCAGGTACTCATAAGGGTCACGATATATAGTATATCTATTAATATATGTTATATATTTGCTAATCGTTTTGTTTTTGCTTTACAGGAGCGCGGCGAGACTCTGAAACGCACCTCAATTATGCCCGATGATAGCTGCTATCGCAACAGTATCAATACCAATGGTTTTACCAATGGCAACAGTAGAAGCCACAACAATATCAATGGGAATCGACTGCAGCCTGCGGCACAGAATGGCAGCCAGCAGGGAATTCCGGAACAGCCGCAATTACCGCCTCCGGTAAGCGAATGATCCGTGTCCAAGTCCAATCAATAAAATTCAAAACACAAAAAATTCGAATAACAAACAATTGGTTTACATACATTACTTTGGGTTAATACAAGTATAATAAAATTTATACAATTTCAAAATCAGAATGACTTTTAAGTAGTTTACACAATAAAAAAACTACAACTGCTATATAATGCTTCTAGGAACTTATATCAAACTCTAATCAAGTCTTAACTTTCTTTTAATCATATCACGAAATAAAATTCTGATTATAGCGTCAGAGTTTGTACTAATATTAAATATTATGCGATGAATCAGTTTATCAAAGTTATCTTTCCTTTTTTTAATCGGCTTATCTAACAGTTTAATCTGCTTAGAATAAAATATATAAACAAAGATGGTTAAGAATGGAAAAAACTATAAACTAAAGTAAATACTTGAAAAAGTTAATGTATTTATTGGACTTTCTGGATCTCTCTTATCTTGTTTTTCGAATTTTACTAATTTATAATAATATCTCTTTTGCAGCCACCACAGTTTGCCAATTCCCAGCCAAAGCAAATGCCACCCCCCTCGCAGCTTAAGCTAAACACCGGAAATGGTTTAAGCAATGTCAACGGAAACGGAAATGGTTTCAAGGCCAAGCAGCCGCTGTCGCCCATGCGCAGTGCCAGCATTAGTGTGGGCGGCTTCCGGCCGCCAATCACTCCCCAGCCCGACTATGATGCAGTGCAGCTGCGCAAGGCATCCTCGCCAGAAACGGGAGCCGCTCCAAGCCAACAGCAGCAGAGACGTACCCTGCGTCTGGGCACCGTAACCATTGGGGAGTACGGTGACCAAAGCAGGACAAATAAACGCGAGACCCTGCGAAAAATCAATGGAGAGACAGGAAGCAGCTCCTCGAATGGCATTCTCAAGAATGGCACCAATCGGAGCAGCGCGAGCTTCAACCATGGATCCTCCACACAGCACGCGGAGAAGTCCATCAAGTTTGGAAACTAATGAGAGGCGCCATACCCCAAAAATCCAAACAATTTTTGTGCAATAAGTTTGAGGAACAGGAATTCGAAGGAGAGTACAAAATCGGACGTGCAGCGGCTTTCCATATGCATATATTAACCATAACCACATCTTTATATAATATATCTTTTTTTTTACTACCATAATAAATGCCTGTCTTATTATATATATATAATTTTTTGCTATTTGTTGGAAACACTGTATCACTAGTTGCTATTATTTGACTAAACACTGTAAATAAACCACGGGCAAGCGTGTGCCCGGAGTTTCCAATAAAAATTCAAAAGCAAATTATGAATATAATATGTATGTATGTATGTAATTACCTTAGCTCTAGATATATGTATTTACATATATATATGTATATACATATATAAAAAAACGACTGATAAGGCAACGAAAATGAAAATATTTAGCCGCTTGCGTCAGCTGGTCGTCGATCGTTGAGAACGAGAACCGCAAATCCCAATTACATTCGGGCCCAAAAAGATATCGAAGCGTAGAGTTCAATTGGAATTGATTTATATATAGATTCTTCCTATATCGAGCAGTATTAAGTGATGGCATACATCTTTGTTGACACTTTCAATTAAAAATCAGTGTGGAATTTGCCGAATCTTGCAATTCTCAAATAAAGTAATTGATTATATAGTGTTGTAGCTGATTTATCTTTTAGAGTATGTATATTCCTGAAACTAAGGTCTATTTAAGGTTAGTTTATATGGATTATATTGAATATATTCCACGGTTTATGGTTTATAATATTTATATGCAAAATTATTAAGAGTCAGTGTGCTTAAGGATACATTTTAAAAGTTCTAAAATTAGAGATGGTGAGTTGTCTAGATTAGCTCTTCTTGTATTTGTGTTTATATGATAAAGTGAATTTCAACTAACTTAATTTTCATATTGTCTAAGCATTTAAAGCCGATATAAAAGTGACAGCTCTAAAAAGTACGGTAAGATATCCATATTATAGAATATCAAAGTAGTCATTGAAGTCAGTGTTAAAATCGAAGCAGAAGCTGAAAAGGCAGAATCAAAAAATTAGACCTAAAATAGCAGAAGCTGAAGCTAAAATAGTCCAAGTAAAAAATAAGTGAAAGTAACAAAACCAAGAAAAGATAATCCAAAGAAATGGAAGAAACTAAGAAGAAATTCTCGCACATCCGTGAAAAGGTGGACTTTACAGGGGAGTTGGCCACCATGACTCTGGGTAAGATTAGCTTAGAATCCATGGTTGGGATGACAACCATCAATCCATCCTCCTTAGATATGTATTACAAGAAGCATGTGGCCAAGAAGCGTGGGGCCAAGAAGCGTGTGGCCCAGAAGCATGTGGCCCAGAAGCATGTTGACCAGAGGGATGTGGCCCAGAAGCGCGAGTTCCCGTCATGGAAGTGGCGGCGTCAATTCAAACGGACCCACTACTTTCGGGTCAATGTGAAAGGGATGATTTGGGAGATCGAGAAACGCATAGATAATTTCCGACGCAATATCGGTGAACTTAAGCTAATGATTTATCGTAGGATCCAGACGAGCATTCAGCAAAGTTTAGTCAATCAGCTTAAGGCTAAAATTGCCCAGCGGGATACTTTAGTAATGATGGTCGATGATGATGTTTTGTACGATGAAGACTATATGCTTGATTCTCTCTGGGATTAAGTATGAGAAATAAGGATCCAGCGAGCTTTTGACACAGATGAAGAAATCAGATGGCTAACATTTAAAACACTTAATACTTAATACTAAAATTAAGTGCGGCTAGCAGGGCACGTCTATACAACTCTTAGTTACTGAAAATCTAAATTTCATTTCTCAAGCAAAATTTAAGTTCAAGTTACATAGTTAAACAGATTTCCCTATGTTCTATTCAAGTTTATATTAAAGTTTATTGTTTCAAGTTTATTTTTGGAGTATTATCTTTAAGAAAGTGGTACTTAAGGTTAGGTCTCTCTCCCTCCCTTCACAAAATTTGATTCCAGTGTAAAGTTGACAATTGCACAATCATCCAGTGGAAAGTGGGGGAGGTGATAGGAGGAGAGGCGGGGGAGACTGACTGCCGATTGACCAACTAACTGAGTAAACGAACGGTTTCCTTCCTCATTGTTGCGACAGAGACAGAGACCGAGTCGTTTGGCGGCAACATTTGTGGCCAAGCAACATTTGTGGCCAGCAACAAGTTGCCGGTTTTGATTGCAAGCATTTTAAGTTTTTGTTTTCTTTTATGTTTTTCTTGTTATTGTTGTTATTTCGGGTGCTGCTGTTACCGTTTTTAGTGCTATTTGTTGTTGCTATTTATTATTACAATCGCTGCGCTATACTGTCGCAAAAATTAAGCGGCTTTAGTGACACTGAAAGGGGTTTTGTCAAGGAACATTTTAATGTTGGAATAAAACTTGTATTTTCTTGATGTTAAGGAAGTTTTAATCTTTTATTTATTTAATTAATTATTTAATTGATTAAATACGACATTTTACTATAATATAATAAAATAAATAACAAAATTTATACATTTTGAAGGTGTTATATACATATGTAATTTAAACAAACTCCATCATTCGCTCAAGTCCCGAATGTTTTCCAAAAATCAGGTGAGTAAACAAGCATTGATTGAAGCCCTTCTCCACAAACCCAGCCCTTACCTTACCTCACTCAATCACCTGTTTTGGCCATCAAACAAATCAACAATCTTGGGGATCACTTGACAGTGGCTTTTGCAGTCGTTAACCCCCGGATTCTCTCCTTCCCCTCCCCCCCCCAAAAAAATACACACACACAGAAACTAAAAGTTGAAATACTGAAAACTGAAACTAAATGCTGAAAGCGCACTGACGACTCCAATGTCCAAAGCGTTTTGGTCGGGTTAAGTCCATAAAATCGTTGCGCAGACGCGGCCATTCAGTTGGATTTTGGACTTCACAGACTTCGCAACGCGGCTTAGCTCTTTGAGGAATATATATATATTTTTGAACGACATATTGTAAAGATGATGCAGCCGCCGCTTATAGTCTGCCTACTTGTTGCTTCACTGATGCTGCAATTGATCTGTGGTGCACCTCTTGCACCGGCCACGCCTGATGGCGCCACGCCCATTGATGCCCGGGTCTCGGCCGCTGAATTTGGTGCCCAGGATGTCTTTGATGTGGCCGAAGCCGCTGCCGGCGAGGCCACTCAAGCGGAGGCCAGTGAAGCCGGGTTTAAGGTGAGTTGTGTCTATCTATATAATGTAGTTAAGAAATATATAATATATTTAATATATAATATATATCTTTAACTCACAGATCTCCCTGCTCCCCACTCCCGCCAAGACTGCGGAATCGGTAAACCTTGAGCAGGAGGGTATACCCTCCAAGGTGCTTAGTGCCTACGATAACAGCCAAAAGAAGCTGGCGGACTTCACCCAGGTAAGTGCAAGAAAGTCTATCCAAGTAGTAGAATCAATACTATTATTCTCAAACTAATCCTAATTCCAATTTCGATTTTGTTTAAAGCCTGCTCCCATTTTGGATACCATCAGCGAGCATGAGAAGTATGGCAACAATGGCGACATGTTCGATGGAATCTCCCGGACTCTTGTCAATGGTTACGAGGCCTTCTCCAACCTGCTCAACACCTTCATACAGGTGAGTTTTTCGTTTTTTTGTTGTTGTTGGATTGTGCCGAAATTGCGGCAGCCTTTGTTTGTTTATTTATTACTTTCGGTGCGGCGTGGCTCCATTCGCACACGATGTGTGAATTGCATAAGTCTTGTTCAATGCTGGTTACTTTCAAGAAATAAAAATAATTTATGTCTTATTTATAATGAAATGAAATAATGTTCAATTTTAAGTTGAACTAATTTTAAAAACTTAAATTTGGCGGTAAAAAGTCAAGTTTGCTGGTTGCATTGGAGCACTGCTTATGCAATTGTTTGAGAGTCTCTTTTGACCAAGGTCAGGTTCCGCTTCCGCTTTCGAATAGTTTTCTCTTCTGACTCTCTTCTTATTATTGCTCTCTCTTACTCACTTTCTCTTTATCTCTTCTCTTTTGCAGAAGCCCAGAGAGCTGGCACGAAGCGTTACCAAGGGAATTACCGCTCAGTTGGATATTATTGGTGGGAAATTGGTGGGACTTTAATGGTAAACCAAAAACCAAAAGCTGCCTGCACTGCTTTCATTTTTTTGTAATTTAAATAAATACTTTAATTTATTTTGTAACTTAACACAAACATGTTGTGTAGGAATGTATTTCGATATATATAAATATATATGTATAAATAAAATAATCATAGTAATAATAGTAGTTATATTTGCTTTAACTATTATTCATTCTTCCCTCTTCGTTCTGCTGGGCTTTTTTTGTTTCGTCTCGTTTTCTTTCTTGCTCTGCGGGCAGTTGTTGTTTCTGCTATTTCGAATACTTTAGTTTCATAAAGTAACATAAATATAATTTGTATAATATATATATATATATATATAAATATATATGTATGTAGTTGTTATGTATAGCTGATATATTGATTTAGTTAAAGGGTTACGAGCATAATTAAGCCTTGGGTCTCGTGTATTTTGGGTACCGTGCGTTTTTTTATATAATTTTTATATGTTGAACTTTAGCCTGATAGTTATGAAACGCACAATAACCATAATTTGAATACACTAAGGCCTTGGACTGGACACTATACTACTAGAGAGCACATCACAATATGGATACACCGCTAACTAAATATCTTTTGCATTTTGAGAACCCTATGCTTCCTTTTATGAAAAGCATTATGCGGCATTTACACTGCAGCACAATACCTCTCACTGCTTTTTTTGTTCAATATGTTTTTGCCTATAGATTACAATAAAAAAAAAAAAACAAAAAAAAGATAACTAAATAAAATTATAATAATACGAGTACACTTTTCATTAAAAATTAATTTTTGGCACATATCGCATTGATTGAATTAGAAACTAAGTGGATTAAACAAAGGAAAAAATAATATAATTATAGATAAATAGGGAGAGAGATTTTTGAAGCTCGAATTGTGTGTTTTTTTTTTTAGAAACATTCTACATTACAACCGCGTTCAGTCCTCCCAACTGCTGGTACGAGTCTGGGGATCAATCGATGGCGAATATGACTTGTAGGTGTCCGAAGCCCGCTTGTGCTTCACCGTGCAAAAGAGCAGCATCGAGGTGATCAGTCCGAAGAGCTGGACAAAGGCAATGCCCAAACCCACGGCACCCACTACATTCAGCTGGCCGGTGAACCAGCTCTGCAGGGAGTGGGCACAACCCTTGTCCCACCACAACGAGGGGTTCTCGGATCTGGAAAGGATGGTGGGGTTATAATGGGTTAAACCATGAGGAGGACGTGACCCTTACCTGCCGCAGTCGGCACGCAGCAGACCATCTCCAGATCCTTCGGTCAGCACCTGACGCTGGTCATACAGAGTGCGGCAACAGGATTCGGGCACCCAGCGTTTTCCTGGCCACGTCTGGATATCGTACCAATCCTCGTACGAGGACACACCACAGCACTCGAACTGGAAGCAAGGAAGCAATTAGTGTCACTTTTGGCAACAAATGAAAAGAGACTAGAAAGCTTACCGATTGCTGCACACTGTCCCAAATGGCGGACACCGAGGGTGCCACCAGGGAACCCCGATCACTCACATTATAGTGACGCTCGATACCAAAGCGGAGCTCATTGGCCAGCGTACGTCCCAGGCCACCGCGGAAGAGAAAGGCAATGGAGCCCACTAGGAATTCACTCATGAACAGCATCACAATCAGCATGAAGTACTAGGGAGAAGGAAAGCAAAGGTAGGTTGAGGAGAGAGAGGTTCTATGTTGAACACTTACCAGCACCAGAAGACACCGAGACTGCGCCCAGGCCCCGCAGCATCCAAAGAAGCTCACCACAAACCCAGTGCCACCGATGCCCATGAAGATGGTGTCCGCACTTAAGGCGGCATGCTGAGGCAGGAGAGTGGCATAGCCCTCATAGCTCAGTCTCAGCCAAAGTCCGGCGCCCAGGAAAGCGCAGCTACAAAGCTGCAAGGGAAATGGAAAATGCAGGAAAATTTAGAAATTAGAAAGGCAGAACAAACAAAAAAATTAGACAGAGTGAGGATACAGAACTGTGACTAAAGCAAAGACTAATTGCCAACTGGATTGATCATCTTAAAGCAGACTTAAACCACACTTAAAACCATTAAGATTTATAACTATATATAATAGAAGTTTGTATTTAATCCAGACCTAAGAAGCTTCATTAAACCATGACTACATCAGACTTAATTAAAGCAATTTGTCTTTTATATTTTTCTGTAACATTTTAAAGCTAAGTTTGACAGCTTTTTTCTGAGTTACAGCTCAAAGCTGTTCTTCTGACATCTTGAAACATCTTTTAAACCTCTTTAAAGTCCCCCGCGAAACGTACTTGATTAATTGCCTTTCAACTTAAAGGATCTAAACTGATCCTTAAAGGTTTATGTACACCTGATTGACAGTTGAATGCAACAACTGTTGAATGTCTGGCGAAACGGAAGTCAAAGTCAAAGTCGTAGCCCCAAAAACTGAAATTAAAACTGAAACCAAAGCTGATGCTGATGCTGATACTGAACCTAGAGTTGAAGTTGAAAAGCTGAAAAGCTGGGAAACTGAAAAGTTGAAAGCCTGAAAAGACAATGACAGGCGTGCAGACAATTGCAGCTGGTGACGATGACAACAAAGACACTTCCGCTGCAGACAACGAAGTCGGCAAAGTTCTGGTTTTGATTCTGATGCTGATTCTGATTTGTTGTTGTATACACCTTTTTTTCTGTCTGACTCTGATTCCGATTCCGATTCTGATTCTGATTCTATATGTTTATGCTCTGTTAGTGTTGCTGCATATCCGTTCTCAATGGCCAGACACTGCGAGAAAGAGTCTTTCTTCTTTTTGGTTTTTATAATTAAATAGCATGTGATAACTGCTTAAATAAAATTTTTTTGTGTTGGAACAGACTTAATTTCACAATTAAATTTAAAATCTATTAAAACTTACCCATAGAATAATGTTGAGCCAGCAGAAAGTGCGGCGAATGCATGTATAGCCGGCATTGCCCATCGCAGGATCTGAAAGGAAAGCGTCTTTAGATTGTCATTCTCTTCTGATTTAAAGCTTCCCCCTTTTCTGTATCTACACACGCACAACAAAAGGCATAAATCATTAGAAATGGTTTCCATACATTAAGTGGACACACACACACACACACACCAAGTGGTGTGGTGACCCCAATCTTCATATAAATAACACTGAAATTCATCAATTTAAACAAAACCGAATATTTGTTGATTCTTGCTTAGCTTATTTTGATCTCTTTTCGAGGTTTTTTATTTGTTTGTTGAATTTTTGCTATTTTGTTGATGGTTTCCATTGGCATTTCCTTTTGTAACTGGAGTAGAGTGTGTGTGTTTGTGTGTGTTTGCCAGCGGGGGTGTGTGTTTAAGCAATTGCAGCTGTTGCACATTCATGAACGAACGGGGCCGCAGTTTATGCAAATATTTTATATGATTTAATAGAAACAATAACTAAAGCAACAACAAAAAATATATATATAAATTAACGACAAACAACTGACTAATGTACAGGGTCACAGAAGCATATGCACAAATAAATTGTGTGTTCCAAACTGTAGATTTAATAATAACTAGATTTAAGTAAATTTGAAATTTGTTTTTTTTTTATAAAAATAAAAAAAACTATGATTTCTCCTAGCAATTTTAAGCAATTTAAATATTGTAATCTCTAAACCATCAAAACTTTATCTGGAACATTGAAACATTGCCAAAAAATTTCCATTCTTCTCAACTTTCATGGGAAAGAGGCAGCCGCAGAAGAATCACTTTTCAGTTTCATGCAAATGATCACATGTTGTGCTGCAATCGAGCTCCATGGATCTGGGAATATTCGTGTTTAATGGCCACTAAAAAAATAATAATAATACAAAAAAAAACACAAAAAAAAAAACATTGCGTGTGAATTGGCAGTTGAACAAATGACGATGAAGAGTCTCTTGCAGTCTTCAACGAAGAAGATTTCAAGTGTTTTGAAATCATCTGTTTGAGTGGAAGATACTGCTTGCAGGATAATACATATTTTAAGGGACTTCTTGCTTATAAAATTGATATGAAAACAATAGTAAAAACAAGCTTAAAATGCACAAAGCCAGCCTGGGTTTTTATGCTCTTTAGAAGCATTTAATCTTAGGAAAGAATCGATTCTAAATTGAATAAATCCTATCCTTGAGGTTCTCCTGCCCATATCCATCCACAACCCCTAAAACTAATGGATTTGAACTTGAAATCTTCAAAAGAGTGTGGAGCACGCGACAGACGCATGCGTGGCAGCACATCTGGATGCTACTCCTATAATCTCGTAACCCCTTCCAAATGCGGACGCGGACTCTGACTTGGTTTTGGTTTTGGAATGCCAATGCGGGAATGGGAACACGCCTGGCCGAGGGTCGAGCACTAAACTATAATTGAAATAACTATCATCACGACGATGATCGTCCGCATCAAACATAATAATGAAATAGTGCAAATAATAAGCGACAAAGGGGAGGGAAACGCGGGCGGTTGGCTAATGGGCTTGGCCCAGGGCTGTCCAGTTTGGATCGCCGCGGTTTTAGTTCCATTCCCCATTCCCCATTCCCAGTTCCAGTCCCACTTCCAGTCCCGTTGTCGTCTTCTCCAAGTGCGAACAATTGCAAAAGGCATACAACAACGAGAGCAACTGTCGCTGGCTCGCTTATTTTCCAATTTAACTCAATAACGCGCACTGGGCTTAATGGCATTTGACGCTGAAAATTTTTTGCGATTTACCCCATCGTCCCCGCCCCATACACTTGGCTGCACATTTATCATAATTCGAGGAGCCTGGACCTGAGATGCTGCGGATGTGGGCTAGAGTGATTTATGCCAGCAAAATGCCACTCAAATTGCTGCCATTTCCCCAAAAATAAGAAAAAACCAAAAATATAAATAAGATATTTTCAAATCACAGCCCTTTTTGTCATTATTTCTTTTTGAAATTTAAAGATTTTTATCTACTGGGATCTTAGAAATACATATAATTTGCGTTTAATTATAGATTCAAATTAGAAATTAATAACTTACTTAACATAACTTACTAAAATATTTGCATTTGAATAGATATTTTCCGATATTTGTATTAGTCAATTTTTTTGGTCAAATCAAATATTAAAAAACTCATAGCTAAGTCAAAAAAGCATTAATTTTAATTCGGAAACCTTCCCTATGTTAATTTTTAGTTGGATAATAAATCTGCATACTCAATTTAATATTCACGAAATTTAAATTTTTTTGTCAATTTTTAACAATTTTAACGATGTAACCCCTTTCCTTTTTTTGAAAAAAATTAAAAAAAAATGTTTTTCTGCCCGAGATAGCTAGAAAGATTCGCCTGTTGATGCTGATCATGAATATATATAGTTTATAGGGTCGGATATGATTCCTTCACTGCTTAATAAGTTGCTGACTGAAACTATAATCCTCTTTAAGGGTGTAAAAATTATTATTGAATTACTAAAGTATAATCATCTTAAGTGTTATAAAAATTATAAATTAAGCTATATTCCATTTACAAAAGAAATCACTATTTTGAGATCTTTATAGTAAAGATTATCCTGGGTCTGGAGGACAATGGTACGTATACGTGATATTCCATATTGGTTGGGAAAATATTACGTATACGTAATTTTATTTTTTTGGTTACCGAAAAGATAAGTTTTAAGGGGAAATGTGATTAACTTAATTAAGATTACTAAACGCAGACCTACCGAGGGGAGGCTAACTTCGGGAAGACGAAATATCGATACTCTTGCAGTGAAAATAGATCATAAAAATTTCAAGGCAGCAACTTTTTTTAAACAAATCAAAGTTTTAAGCCAAAAATGCATTAAATTTAATTTAAAAACCGTTCCTATGTTTTAATAGTAAAATTCCTGAACCCAAATTTCACTTGGCTTACATTTTATTATACAAGAAAAAAGGTAAAGAAGAATGTGAAATTGGGAACATGGCTTAAAGATTTCTTTACTAAAGCAAACTGCTAAACTAATTAAATTTAATGCTTTACAGCACGAATCTTTAGTACAAGTGAATATTGTATACATTTAGGAATATCATAAAATCAAGTTCAGACCAATTTTAAGCAACAATTCAAGCTGTATTTGTATGGAAATAAGTAAGAAGTGCTTGGGGCAATTGCACCGAAAGATCCGCCAAGTCGACGACATTTGCCAGCAGGCAACAAAACCAAAAACAAATAAACAACAACAAAAACAATTACAAACCAGTAACCGACAACAAAAACAGCAACAACAGCAACATTGACAACAAGATCAGTAGCATTAAAGAAAAGATTTTCACCATCTGACCATTGGAGACCTCCCCTTGACTTTATGTTGCTGTTACTATTGCTGTTGTTGCTGTTGTTGCTGCTGTTGTTGTTGGTCTTTCAAAGTGTCGTCCACGAAAAGTTTTCTCTTTTTTTTGTTGTTAATGTTGCTTTTTTGCATTGTTGTTGTTGTTGTTGTTGTTGGTTTTGGGGCCTGATCGGGCAATCTATGTGTTTACTTTGTTTGTGCCCCATTGCCGCATTTCTTTTCAGTTGCAAATTACTTCAAGTTGTTGCTTTGTTGTTGTCCTCCGTTTGGCTTGGCTTTCAATCGGGTTTTTGTAGTAGTAGTAGTTGTTGGTGTTGTTGAAGTTTTTGTTGTTGTTATTGTTATTGCAGCCGCTGTCAATAAACTGCAAAAGTTCGTTGTTATTTGTCGTCAGCACTGCATCTGGCTTCTATATAGGATGGGGCCTGTGTATATATGGGATATAACAATTCAAAACAGGACATGTATCGTGTGTGTTATCGTTATTTCTCGGTTCTAACGGTTTCTTTTCGCACTATTTAACACAGAAACAAACAAAAATAATCACAATTTTGATAACAATTTCAATTTGATTTGTGATTCTTTCGTTGCACTTTTTCTTGATTTGGATCTTGATATTCTTTTAGATCTTGCTTTTTTTAGGGGGGTTGGTTAGTTGGTTTCTTTTTCTTTTCGATTTGCGTGTTCTATGCGCTCGCCGCGGTTGTTCAAAATAAACTGACAATTCTGCGCGACGTTGGTTAAAAATAGTCAAGAAGCTCGAAGCGTCGCAGCGCAGCAGCCGAACTGCCGCACGAATGCCAAAAGCAGCCGAAGAGTGCTTTCGACTGCAAGCACTGCAAGGGGGAGAGGCAGGGGCTAGTTGGCGAGGGGGGCCCATGGACTTGGAAAAATAAAGCCTACCAAAAATATTTAAACATTTACATACGTTTATCAAGAGTATGGAAAAATATAAAATGTGCACTGTCTATATTTTAGATAGATTTAAAATTTTGTGCATATATTTTAATTGAATTTTTAGCACAATCTAGATTGATTCGGATATTTGTGCTGAACAAGAATATATATGATTTATAAGGTCGGAAATAGCTCCTTCACTGCCTAACAAGCATTGGACAAAATTAAAATACCTTGGTGAATTATTTATTTTGAAATAGTTTTACATAGGCCATAACCATTATTTGGAAATTATTATTGTATAAATAATGATTAAATACTGTTATAAAGCTAGAACATTCTTATATTTATATTTGTAATGCACAACATTAGCCTCATTTCGCATGTTTCATTAAACCTGTATTATATTTATCTTAAAAAAAACCCTACTTTTTCTTTAGTGTATCCCTGGTGACAGTTGCACACAGTCCAAGCGAAAAAGAGAAAGATAAACCCTCGATCCGGAGAGAGAGCGAAAGAGAACGGAGCCGAGAGCGCGTTGTCTGCATACTTTATGAATGAGATTTATGTTTAGATTTCAGTGTCACGTTTTGATCCACATTTCGGTACGAAGCGCGAGTGGAAAGAGTGCCTTACTCCAAAAGCACTAAACAAAAACGCTTCAAAACAAAGCAACAACAAATAAATAATCCAACACAAGCTGTGCAGATGGATTTGCCTTTTATTTTCTTTTCTATTTTGAATTGTTTGTGAGGCGAAAAAATAACGACGGGAAGTGGAAGTGGTCAGGGATCACTCATACGCCCCGTTGCATCAGCTGCATCAGCTGTGACGTCACACAATACGGCGTAAATAATAACAATCAATGGGAGATTTTGTAAAAGAAAGAAAAGTAAAAAATAAAGAAAGAGAAGAAACCAAAAGAAATGGCAAACAAATGACATCAAATAATTGTTGAACGTAAAATAATATCAGCTGCGAGTGATTGCTCTAGGTATATACTTGCTTGCCATAACGTAACGCCTTAAAGGGTTAACGAACTTCAGTAATGTAAGCATGGGAAGTGGGGAATGATAAGAATTTGAAAATTATAAATAAATGCATATAACTTAGATCATTTTTAAAAACGTAAATAAAATATAATTCAACTGGCCTTGTATTAAATATTTCCAGTTTTATTCTTCTTTTTTAAAATTGCTTTAAAACTTATTCGTAGTCTTAATACTTGCATTCTTTTAAGTAACATTTTATAGCTTACAATATTCAATTTTATTTAATTTTACCAAACAGAGCTTTAGCCTTAATGGCAGTTAATTTCCTCTTTTTTGTGGGAATCCCAACTATCAGTTTTCCAAACTCTGCATTATTTATGTTTATTTTCTGTGTGAAATTCGCAAATTTTTAAATTTTGTATTCATTTATTTTTATTTTTTGCCTTATCTCTTTTGACCGCCAAATTGCTGATGGTGCAATCAGCATCGTTATGGTGTTGAGTAACCCGAAAAAAACGAAAATCGAAGAGACAGCATTATGGCCAGAGCCATAACGGAGCCAGAAAATGAAAGAAAACTATTAATATACACAAACAAAAAAGAAACAAATTATAAACAATGTATAGAGTTATTGACACCGACTTGGCGTTGCGTGATATCGAATTTAACATAAATGAAAGTCGAGAAATGAAGCACAGGCGGGCTTTAAATATATACAAAACCATTTCAGCTGAAAATTATATATTTAAAACTTAAGTACACTGTGGAAAACAATGTAAACTAGTTAAAACTTACCTGATACTTAAAAAATATATAATATTTGTTACTTTTTATGATTGCCAAGCAAAGGGTTTATTTCCAAAGCCATCACAATGCCATACAAAAAGTAGCTTTACTAATATTATAATAAAGGAAATATGTAACAATGATTTAGTATGGAACCAAGCATATATTTTCCCGAAAATTATAGAATTAAGATCAGACTATTTTAACTATTATATATACAACACAAAAAAAAAAGTATATGAGGCAAGTTTAGATGAGTTGAGAACCATCCTCGGAGCAGAAGATTCCTACTTGTCCTTGCGCAACTTCTGGCTGGAAACCTCAATGGCATCCAGCCACAGCTTCAGCTCTTCGGGCTTCTCCGGCCGCTTGGTCGTCTCCGGATAGGACTTCAGCACATCCAGGACATTGCAGTTGGTGATGTTCTGCTTGGACATGGCCACCGCTCGCACAAAGCCATCGGCCAGTGTGATGAACTGCTGCTCCAGATAGATGGCCTTCTCATCCCACCACACCAGCTTGGTGGTGATCTTGTACGGATGGAAGATGGGTATGGTACGGCGATACCTAACACTGCTAGCACCCTGAACGGCTCCACCCTTACGTCCACGGATCTTCTCATAGAGACCCGTCAAGGCATAGAAATGGAAACGGGCAAAGTCCAGCTCACGCACATAGCGAGCATTGTTCATGTGCCGGATGAAGATGTCCACATCCTGAGAGGTGCACAGACCATAAATCGTGGTCGTATCCGTCACCTTTCGTTTGCTCTGGAACAAACGACCGGCAAAGACAGTGAATACGCAGCGGATGAAGTAGTTGACATCCCAGATCACGTACAGGATCAGCAGCACCACCAGCCAAGACATTGTTGCTCTCTGTGTCTACCTTGAGCTTAGTATAGTTCACCTGCAGAGATCGAAGCGGGGAGGGGAAAAACCCGTTATTAAACAGCGAAAGTTATTCTCTTCACCGGCAGGGAAAGTTTATTAGCTCATCTTTCAATTAGTAAGGAACGGGAAACGGAACATTCCCTGTTTTGTCTCTGTGCATGGACTTTGCTGATCACCAAAGTCCGCGAGTCAATCGTATCCAATGACCCCTGGAAAAGTACTCACACTGGATCGATCTTTAACACACACTGAAAGTAACAGAGAGCGAGGCGAGCGGTGAGAGAGCGACACAACCGTTCCACGTAGCTGGAAACAGAAGACTAACAACCTGGATGGCACTGGAAACTGGCTGCGACGACGCAACGGAGACGAAGCGAAGAGAAGAGGAAAGCAAACACTCACTCGAAAGTTGGGCAACACACAACACAACAAGGCAGTGTTGCCAACAATTGTTTACAAAATTAGCTAAAATTAGTACGAAAAAAAGCTAAAAGTTAAAGACTAAAACTGATCGAGGGTCAGACTAAAAACGTTATCTCGTTAAAGGTTTAAATAAATCTACAAAATATTGTCTGAATATATTATTTTATTACATTATTACATTATAGTATATATATTGTTTTAAAACAAGTTGCTTTCAAGGTTAGAGTTTATATTTCATATATGATTTATTAATTATTGTTATGATAGTTTTTTTTCCTCCATCAGTTGGTAAAAAGCTTAAAAAGCATTAAAGAAATCATTTCCGACCCTATTCTTGATCAGCATCAAGAGCTGAATCGATTTGGCCATGTCTGGAAAAAAAAAATTTTTACCTTTTTTTCAACATTTTATAAGGGCTTAAATTCTTAAAAAAAAAATATCAAAAATTTTATTTTTTTTTCATTTTGAATTTAGTATGCAGATTTGTTAAGCTTATAAAAAATAGCACAGAACAGCTTTCCGATTGGAAATTAAGGCATTTTTGATTGAGTTATGATATATTTTCAATGCAAGGGTATAGACATTTCTGTTTCCCGAAGTTAACCTATTTTCAGGATGTCTGCATTAAGTAGCCTAAATTAATTTTAAGTTAGTCACTTTGCCCTTTTAAACCTTAAAAATCGGTTTCGGAAACCAAATAAAAATAGAAAATTACGTATACGTAATATCGTCCCAAGCAACATAGAATATTACGTATACGCACCATTACCCTGGATAACAAAAAAAATGGTTTTTGCTCCCAAAGCCAAAGAATATACAAACTTCGGCTTCAACGACTTAAAAATATCCAATTTAACAACACTAAACGCAATCAACTGAAAATAACTTGGAGTATAGGGCGATAAACAGAGAAACCCAAGACCAGATATGACAGCTTAAACTTTTTATAGTTAAGATTGAGAGGTTATTCATTAATAACAAAAACGGTTAAGTAAATAATTAATACGTCAGTATTTATTATAAAAGTATAAAATTAATAGCAAGGTCTAATGTAAAACCTTTAAAACTCAAATTGAAAACAACAACTTTAAAAATCAAATAATTTCTACATAACAAGCTGCAAACTAGTTTTAATAGGCAAATAATAATAATTTGTATGGCCTAAGGTCTTAAAATAAATATTGCAGGCACCATAGGCAACTGTTGTTATATATTTATTTATTGTAAACAATGTAATTTCAACGATACCTTACCCAAATATTACCCACGAAATGTCTAGTTTATTTTATATATATTCAAGTTAGTACTATTAAAAAGCCTTACTCACTCTTTATATAGTAACTTCTATGATCGCCGATTTCTGTAAAGCTGTAAAGCTAATCGATGAGAATCTTTGTTTTGAGGTAATTAGCAAATTCGCGGGTAAGCTCAGAAAATTATTCATACATATGTACATAGGTGACTGCGATCGGTAAACACCACTCCAAGCCATCGAACTGTGATCATTGCAATGTTTTCCAGCTGCCAATTAACCGAATAGACAAAGTATCACAAGGGGCAAAGAGAGAGAGAGAGAGAGTGAGATGAGCCCTGTGCTGAAAGTTCAAGATGCCGAAAGGGGAAGTCCAATAATTACAGGTTTTTAGTCAACAAAAGTGTGGAAGAATATATGCTTCAACGTTGTTATTAACTATGTAATCAGCCAAGTTGTTTCCAATTATTATATTTTACTATTTTACATATAAATTAATAAATAATATAGTATAAATAATTAATATATAATATAGTTTGTTAGTTTAATAATCTAGCACTGGTTTCTTTCCCAAATTAACTCCCCTTTTTGTTGCATACCCTAAGGCGCCCAAACCTAAAAAGAAAAGAACATTCCTTGACATTTTAACTATCTTTTATAGTTTATGTTTCGCTTCCTTTTTTGTATTTTTACTAAACAATCATTGTACAATGTAATCTTACACACTGTGGACTACCAAGGGGAATATCAGGGGTGGAGAGGCGTGACAGACTGACTGATCAATCATCTCTGGGTAATTATACAAATAGTTAAGGCCAAAGGAGGGCGGGCTTTTGTTTCCAGACACTTAAATAGCTTACAATTTAAATACTATTAACATTAGCACACATTTAGCATACAAACACACACATACACGCAGGGGCACAGGCACTGACGTACACACTCACATGACACAAAAAAAATAACAGAAAAAAAAATTTGTGGGGTTCCGTTTCCGGTTTGCCCTTAGTACTTCCGGTTTGCCACACCAGTCAGCAGCCGCTGCGCAAATTCTTGCTAGACATGTCATTGTACTCAATCCACTTGCCCAACTCCGGCGGCAGCGAAGGCTTCAGCTTGGCACAGTGCGCCGTCGCAGCTGCTCCGGCTCCGGCTCCGGCTGAAGGATTCGTTGCCGTAGGCGTGGCATGTCCATTCTCCGCCAGCGAAGTATCCATAGCTGGATTGCTTATGCCACCCTGATCTCTAGTTCCGGTTCCGGTTACGGTGCCAGTGCCGGTACTTAGGGGCAGCGGCATTGGCGTCGCAAGAGCTGTGGCCCGGAAGCCATTAGAGGAAGTGCGTGGCAGGAGCTCCGCCATTACAGCCTCCATGGACACATCGATCACACGCTGCCGGCAAATAGCAATGCAGTGCACAAACCTATCCGAGGGACGCACAAAACGATGCTCCATGAACAGCGACTGCTCATCCCAGTAGATGATCTGAAAATGGAGATATATAAGTCATAAATATCTTATATACATAAACGTTCTTACCCGCGACACAATGTTAAACCTATGAAAGGGTCGTATGAAGCGGCGATAACGTATGGTGGCCGCTCCCTGGAACACGGATCCACCCATTCCTGTGATGGTGCGATACAGGTTCGTCCGCTCATAAAAGTCCACCCGGGCAAAGTCCATTTCACGAAAGTATCGGGCATTATTCATATGATACAGCAATGTGTCCACGTCATTGGTGAGGCACAGTCCTGGAGCAAGCCAGGGAAGATCCATAAAATGGGAGGAGAAGTTAATTAATGGAGCTGATGATTGAAACTGTTTTCGTTTAGAGGGTTAAGTAATTATGCAGTCTACAGTTGGCACAACTAATTAAGCTTTTGTAATCAGTTCTGTCGTAAGAAACCATAAGTTTTCTTACAACACTATACTATATATAACTCATTCTATATTATTTAGGAATTTTTTAAAATAATTCTGGACAAACGAGAGCTGTATGCTTTATCTAGCTGTTGAATTATATTTAAAAGAAAAGCTTTCTCCCTTTTAGCTCAATAATAACAAGCCCTTCTCCGCCTGGTTCCTAGCTAATACCCACCATTGACTGTGGTGGCATCCAGGATGTGACATCGCCGCTTGATGAATCGCGCCAGCACCACGCACAGGCACATGCGCAGGAAGTAGTGCAGCTCCAGCAGGCCATAGAGCACAACGATGGTCAGGAGTAGGCCCAGCGCCAGGTACAACAGCTCCTCCATGCTAGAGCCAGGCGAGAGCTAGAGCTAGAACTAGAGCTGGTTGCGAGGGGTTGGGCGAGAGGGCGGCGGAAGCTTGGAACCTGGAGCCTGGAGCAGGAGGTGCTGCAAGTAGATAGTGATGCGGATGAGGAGGCTACCAATAAAATTGTTAGTTGATTGTCAACTAATTGGAAAACGCGGAAGCGATGAAGCCAGGCAAGTGCCGGCATAACCAGGGGTTGAGGTTGACCAGGGTTGAGGTCTCAAGGGTTAAGGTCTGGGTTCTGGTCCCGGCTAAGTCGAGATGCTGAGCAAAAATAATAATAATTGGGTCATCAAATGATTCCACTGGCCAGGAGAATGTCCTTTTCATAATATTTTATTCCTTGAACCAAGGAAAGGCTCCACAAACACACGCACACAGCACAGACACACACTCTCAGGCAGCCCAGGACAACCCCTAATTTGTTGATTCCATGGCTCGTTTCATGGCCAGGACATTGGGACTTTGGGACGCTCGGACATGCAGGCGTCAGGCGGCTTCTGCCACTCGTGCGGCTATAGCTTCGGTCGAATTATATTTTCGACGGTTTTCCAATAAACAGGAAAAACCACTGGCACGCGCACACACACACACTCAAGACTTTATTAAATTACAAACACAACAAAAACAAAAAATATATAACGTTACCCACGAAAGAAAATATATTAAAAAACAAAAACAAGAAGAAATGCAAAAAGGAAAAGAAAAACTATAAAAAAAGCTAGCGACGCGCCTACCGACAACAGCGCACTGAGACTGAATCGCTTTTTTGGCCAAATCCAAATCCACCAGCCAGCCCAGCCGCCGACGTCTCCGCCTCCGTCTGCGTTGCCGCCTTCGCTCGCAGCCTCTGCCAGCGCCTCTATCGCCCCCATCGACGCCGGCGCAGTCAACGTTGAGTTCGACATTGTGTGTGTGTGGTGTGTGTGCACTCTCAGCTGACGTCCTCGCAGCTTTTGGCCAAAAAGCGGAAAGCTTTGCTGGCTAAGGGTTGAACCTGTTGCCGGACCCGGTAAGGTCTCGGCCATTCCCGGGGACGAAAGTCACAGAGTTTCATAAAAACCAAAAGATACCCTTCTCTGATTCACTTTTAAATACTAAAAATGTATTAAAACTTAAGGTTTAAATTTAATTTGTAAATATTTAAAAAATACATTTTATTTTGAATACAAATTTTTAAATATTTTTGGCAGCAATGAAAGGTTTCACAAAAAGTGCTAAGTACCTAAACGTATCTACTTAAATTTGTTCTTTACCGCTTGTATTGTATACTTTGAAATAAATTCCTAATAAAAAAACTCTAGCAATATTTTAAAGGATATTTAAAATTCAAGGCCTCAAGGCTATTGCCTTCTTAATTGTTAATAATAGTTTTTTGTACAAAACAAAATTTTGTTGTAGGTATTATAATTTTAGTCAGAAGCTTGTAAAGCTGTGAAGGAGTAATTTCCGACCCCATAAACCATATATATTTTTGATCAGCAACAACAGCCGAATCGATCTGGCCATGTCTCGGAGAAAAAATTTTTGTACCGTTTTTCAAAATTTTATAAGGGGTTACATAGTAAACATTTTCAAAAATTTACAAAAATGTAAATTTTTTTAAATTTTAAATTGAGTATGCAGATTTTTTAACCTGCTAAAAACTAACACAGAACAGCTTTCCGAATTGAATTTAATAAATTTTTGGCTTAGTTATGGTTTTTTTTAAACTTTGAAACCAAAGAAAAAATAAACGTATACGTAATATTGCCCCAACCAACATTGAATATCACGTATACGTCCCATTGTTCTCCAGACCCCGGATACTCTTTAAATAAGTTAAAATAACCTTACTTTTAGTGATTTATTTTGTAACTGGGATATAGTTTCATTTATAATTTTTATAACATTTAAGGCGATTAAGCTTTTAGTAATTAATGTATAATTTTTAACTCTTAAAGAGGATTCTCGTTTCAGTTAGAAGCTTATTAAGCAGTGAGGGAGTCATTTCCGACCCTATAAGCCATATATATTCTTGATCAGCATCAACAGCTCGATCGATCTGGCCATATTCGAGAGAAAAAAAAAGTTGATAAATTTTTTTCATTTTAAATTGAGTAAGCATAGTTTTTAATCTATCAAAAACCAGCACCGAACAGCTTTCCGAATTGAATTAAAGCATTTTTGGCTGAGTTATGATCATTTTAAGATACGTTTCCATGATTAAACTTTAAACTTCAACTTCCGCATGACAAAATTAGCTTTATTAGTTTAATTTTTAAAAATATCTGAAAGTAGACTTGCTTGTAACAAAGTTTCAAGTTATAAACTGATTTTTGTACTTTTAAGCTAAATTTAACGTCTCTGGCAAATAAAGCAAAGTTCTTGAGACTGTTCCTTGAGCCAGAGCCGAGAGCGTGGTATGCCTTCTCCCCCTCCTTCTCCCAATCCCAGCTCGAGATGTTTCCGCTTACTCGGATCGAAAAAGGTAAATAAACTAAAGATCGGTTCGGTGCTCAGTCTAAAGTGTGTACTCGGGTGACAAGCCAGGCGGATGCCAAGAATTCACACCTATCGATCTGTAAGCTTCGATTGGAAGTCATCGTCGTTGCGGGCAAAATCCACCGGATCCGTCGCATCCCACACACCCACATCTCCGGTCCAACAAATGGTGGCCTTTTCGGTTCGCTGCTGGCAATGGGGAATGTGTGTTGTTGTGTTCCATGGATATCCAATACCAAGCACTCAGGCTGGGAGTTACACAAATTAGCTGGCTGTAAACACTAGCAGAGCACACGCTGGGCAAATATGGGAAATTGGCACTCATCATCGAAACACAATAATAGGGAAAAAACGTAGGAGAGAGAATATTAAAAGCCTTTCCCCTTTTCCCCACAACATTGATTTTTCTTTGCAATTTTTTGTTTTCGTATTTTATTTTTAGCTTAAACAAATTGAAAAGTCCAAGCGAGTTAAGCTTTAAACTAGAATTTTTTGTTGTTAGTTGTATTTTGTTGTTGTTACATGGGTGTTGTGATTGTTGTTGTTGGGCTTTCGATCGGACAATATATTATAAGGTTAGTTTCCACCCTCGCTGCAAAGTTATTGCAGTTAAAGTTAAATAATTTAGTTTATTTACTGGAAGCAAACTTCCTGTCAAATCAATTCGTTGCTTTACATCAGTATTAATAGCACTCTGTTATTCCTAAACGTTCAGATAAATAACAACCAATTAGTTTTACACGAACTTTATCTAGTTATTAAGATTTTCGATCAGTGATTTTAACAGCGAGAGCAGAAACCTGACCTTAGACATTATGATAAGTGATTAAAGTCTTAGGCGCTATGTACAAGGTGCCTATTTCCCTCTCTCTTTCTCCTTTGCGCTCTGACTATCTTGTCATCTCTTTCTTTTTCAGTGAGAGAGAGAGCTGCCTCGAGAATTGATCTTTAGGAACCCAACATTTATTCAATTGCCCTGCCTTTGCTCCCCGCCAATCGTTCCTATATAGTATATATATATTGGGGTTTTTGTTTATAGGTATATAACACAAGTTAGCACAACGAACGTTCTTCTATTCTGTCTTTTTGTTTTAGTTTTTCTTTGGGAGGGGCAAAGGAAGGTTTTGAATTTATGTTCTTTTATGCTTGTGCATATATATAGTTGCGTATATATATATAGATATAAATAATTATATATATATATATATATATATATATCTATATCTATATATATGTGTATCGAAACATTATAATTATTTATAATCTAAGACATCAGTATGTATATATGTACACTATGCATTGCCGTTTAGCTGGAGCTTGGCTTTCAATTTAGGCTTAGGATTAGGAAGGTTAAGGGGCATATAATATGAATAACAACAAAAATGGGGGTAAGAAATCAAGATTAATTAGTAGAAATCTTTTACAGCAGAGGGAGTCTATATAGATTAAGATATATATATGCATATAAAGCGTGACACGCTCCCTCCCCGTCTGCACCTTCTCTAGCTCTAGCGCGCTCAGTCTCACGCGCTCGCCCGTCCGAAGTTCGCTTTGCTCTGGATTGGATGGTCCACATTGAATAATAAGGCATACAAAACACACAGATTTCGACTCGCAACACTCAACACGCTGTCCTCTCCAATGACTGATCAACTTCTCTCTCTTCTCTCTACATCTCTACACTTTCTCAATCGCTTACTTAAACTAACCTTAGCTAGATCTTCCACAAACTCCAGCCCCATCGCAGCATCAAATTTCAAACTAATCGTAACAGGTGTATCCCAAACATTTCGACGAATCCTTCCATGGTCTTGCAGCAGAACAGCAACGGTATTCAGCAATAAACAGCAGCTTCTCACTCCACAGTAGCCGTCACGCGGCACAGCTCCTCAAAGTCACAATTCTCCACGCTGTTGGCGTAAATGCGACGCAACGTGGATAGCGGGCAGAGGTCCTTGTCCTGCGGACACTTGGGCAGGCGCACCACACGCTCTTGGTGCAAAACCAGGACCTGCGGCTCCTTCTTGTCGCAACTACACAGGCGAAAAGGATAATTAAAAACTATGCTATTGTAGGAGAACTGGGAGTTACTCACTCGTAGCGCAGAAAGGCCAAGTTGGTCGCGAAGGCATCGATCTGGCTTGTGCGCCATCGACGTTCGCTGGTAAAGTGCTTGTGCGTCAGCGGCTTCTCGTCCCGGGCCAGTCCCAGATGTGCCAGCAGTTTCAGCAGCGTGCCCGAGTGCGTAAAATAAAGTGTGGCATTGGCCCTGCCTGGCAGTTGATTTTCCTCGCCCTCTTTCTTCACGGAACTGCAATTTGTGGTTGTTAAAAGCTTCATTAATGATGGTTGTAAAAGTTAAATAACAATTAATTACAAACTATTCTTGAAAGCACACACAATTTACATGCATAAATGTGCCTTAAACATTCTCCCTATTATTTGCACAAGTATTTAGTTAGCTAAGTATTATTACTCACCCGATGGCTTCAAACATATCTGCGATTGCCGGACAGGCAATGCGATGGGTCAGTTCGTAGCCGTAGCCATCGTTCCAGTAGTACTCCAGATCCTCGAAGAACTCCAACGCATCCAGGGAGGCCAAATCGAAGAAGCTGCACCACACCGAATCAGCGTTTCGGGTGTTGTCACGTCGACGATGCCAGGCCGTTTCAAAGGCACACACCGTAAACATAAGCTGCACATCCTTTGTCCGGAGATCTGATAGACCTGTGCTGGTCCGCAACTGCTCCACTGCTGACTGCATCGGCGGCTCCGCAAGGAATCGGCGTGCGTTAACCAATGTTTCGGGATTCTTATCGACGTCAGTTTGCCACCTGCCACAGCGCTTATAGAACTGCAATAAAGACAAGGGAAAGGAGAAGAGTTGTTTTAATCCATCGCTAAAGGGTTGTATATAATATATAATAATAATAATAATAATAATAATAATAATAATAATAATAATAATAATAATAATAATTTTAATGATTCCTAAATGCTTAACGAGCCAGTCTCGAACGATCTCTACCTGGCGTGGGACTGTAGATGGCCACAGTGTTGTCCACGAAGCCCACCGCCAGCTGCACCTTGTACGCGTGGAATGACAAGCAGGTGGGATGGCCAATTTTCGGGCCAATGAAGCCCTCGTTCGTCCGCAGCACCTTCTGGACGCGTCCATCCATCGAATAGATGCCAATCTTTGAGGCATTGCCGCAAGCTACCCTGTCCGCTATCTGGTGACTAGCTATCGCTGTCACATCACCGCCGGCATCCCATTCGTATAGCACACGGTTGCCGGCACCCGCCCGCATGTCCATCACACTGATGCGTCCCTCGGAGCAACCGCTGACCAGGACCGGATTATTGGCTCGCAGGCTGGCGTGTAGAATGGGCGCACTGTGGCGCCGGTGCACAACGATTGGGGAATATTGCAGGGAACAGCGGCTGTCAAACAGCCGCACGCTGCCATCTTCGCAGCCGGCGAGAATTACATCGCAGCGCATATTGGGCAGGTAGGAGGCCAGCACACGGGCGCTGGTTTCGCTTCGTCCCAGCGGTATATCGATGACCTTAAGCTCCTTCTCCAAGTCCCATATTCGAATGAATCGACAGCCACCGCCACCCACCACCAAATGTTGATTGCACTGCTGCCACGTGGTAACGATGCTCCCAGTTCCGGAACCGCCGGAGAGTAAGCTCGAGGCATCTGCACCCTTGCCAATGCTTCCGCCTGAGGCGATATTACGTTGGCGGTAGCCCTGTACAGTGGGCAGCCCAAGGGCTGTCCAGGCGGTAATCAGTCGCGCCTTGGCTGGCGGATCCTCAGGGGCAGAGTTGGCTGGTGGAGAGGATTGCCAGACTCGAACCACACCGTCATCGTGGGCCACCAGCTTGAGGGCCTGATCCTGGGCGTTAATGAATTCAATGCTGCTCACACGGGCAAAAGTCGAGGACGGGCCCGACTTGCGAGGCGTGCTGCCGTTAAGCGACGAGGATGATCCGGAGCCAGAGCCTGATCCAGAGCTATTGCCAGTGCTGGTACCTCCCATAGCCTCGGCGCCGTACGTTCGCACTGAGTTCCACTGGAAGTCGTACACCAGAACCTTTTCCCGGTAGGCCACCGCAATCTGTGGCTCGTATGGCAGCAGCTTTACGATGGAGGGTGTGAACTGTGTCTTCCGGTTCCACACGCACACGTCGTAGGCAAAGCGATCACTCTGCTCCTGCTGCTGGCGGCGTGCCAGCCTTCGTACGTAGTCGTTGCGTAGATACCGGCTCCGTCGTCTCCGCAGCTCTGTGGAGTTCCGATCGACAGGGAAACGCTGGCGTCCCTCCTCGGCCGCTCCCTCGGCGCTGCTGTAGCGCTCCTTGCCCGGCCGTGTGAAGTAGGAAATGGCCCAGGGTATGAATTCCGTTTGCACAATGGGCGTCAGACAGTGTCCGGGCTCCATGTACTGATTGCTCTCGCTACCGCTGCTCCTAGCCGAGTGGGTGCTCTCCCTGGGCCCGCTGGGCAGTCCCAAGCCGGCGCCAGCGGCTCCCGATCCTCGGGAATAGCCAAGTCCACTGTCAGTCTCATCGTTGATCGAGCTGGTGCGCAGCTTGCGCTGCAGGATTGCCTGTGGATCTCCGGCAGCTCCGGCTACACCACCGCTGCCCGATAGTCGCAGCTTTTGGGCCCAATGACTGGCGCCTGATGCAGCCGCTCCCACTGGCGGGGATTCTCCGGCCGCACCTGCTCCGCCCGCTCCTCCGCCGCCTAGGTAGTTGCCCCTGGTATTTGGACTGGGTGGAAGGCTCACGCTAAGGCTGCTGCACTTCTCCGTGGCCGTGGCCATGGTGGCCTCCTTGGCAGCCATAATGGGGCACAGAGCGGTGTCTCTGACATGATCCACAATCTCTTGAGCTATCGCAGCAACACGTGGAAAGGGATCCTGGGCGAGATTGCAAATGCCAAGCCACAGTTTGGTGAAGATCGACTGGAAGGGTATGGTGTTGGTACCGCCAGCCGCTCCTGCCGCTGAACTGGCTCCCGAGCCGCTTTTGGAGCGCACCGAAGTGCCAGACGAGTAGCCACTGCTCGCAGTGCCCGAGGCACCGCCCATGTTGGATATGGAGCTAGAGCTGGCGCCACGTCGCATGGTCACATGACGCTCCAGACTGTGCGTTGACGAGGCCAGGTCCCGGGGGTCGCCGCACATCACAAACGAAGACGCAGACGCATGGCCACGCATGTGTTCCGCCAGATAGACGGCCACGAACTGCGACTCAAAGAGTAGAACCATCCACTGCAGGGCGGCGGCAAGTTCCATGCGCACCAGCGGTGACATATCCTCGCCTACGGTCTCCAGCATGGTGATGGCTATGATACGATCAATATTGTTGGCTTGCTCCTCACTGCGGTCCGTCACAGAACTGATGAAGGTGCCCAGAGCGAAGACGGCCGCGGCTCTCACTTCTGGAATCGAATCCCGCAGCAGGACGTAAAGCTTCTCGTGTGCCAAATCACGGGCACCCGACCAGCGCGCCTTCTCGAAGTTCTGCCACAGCATGCCCAGGCAGATGGCTAGCCACTGGCGCAACAACCAGCTGCCGTCGTTGAGCTGCTCCAAACAAATGGACAGCAATGGACCCTGCAGGGCGCTCGTCTGACCCAGCAGGAAGTTGTGCACGATGGAGGCGAGAACGAAGGCGGACAGGGTGCGGTGCTCCTTAGAGACAGAGGTATCTTGCAGCACGGACAGGAAATATTTGTATTCCTTGACCAAATCCACCTGGCAGCTGGGATCGACGGCCAGGATCTTAGCCCAAATGAACACTAGCACCGGCCGCAACTCACGCGTTGAACTCTGCAGCAGTTTGAGCACATAGGGAAAGATGCCCACGCCCAGGGCGAGATTGACGGCCCAGGGACCCAGATCCAGAAAGCGGGCCAGCAGTTCCAGAGCTCTCAGGCGATGAACTTGCGAGAGCAGCACCTGCAGCACTATGGGCAGCTGCTCCGGCGGCGTTCGTGACTCCGATTCACTGTCCAGCCACACTTGGAAGGCGGTCAACTGGTGCTCGAAGAAGGGCAACTGGCGGTACGGTGCATTGTGATCAAGAATGTCCGGCAGTTGCTGCAGGGCAAGATCCACTACCAGGTCCCAGGCCTTCCACATCGGATGCCGATAGCAGGGAGGCAGAGCGGGCAGCGACACCGGTGTACAGTCGTGGCTACGCAGGATGCGTTCGGCTAGCAGAAAGTTGCGAAACAGGCTCGCCACGAGTAAGTCCTGGCGGAACAGGCGCTGAAACAGCTCGCGGGGCAGCGTATTCCATGCTATCGTGTCCGTTATGGCGGTGAAGATCCAGTTGAGTTCTCCCATCATGGTGCGACGATCGTTGACCTTTCCTGTAAATTGGTAAAGAGGTTAGAATGGATTCTGGGGTTAATGAAGGGATTTATATTCGCCATGCCTGGTATCTTGTCGATCAGCTCGCTCTGGATGCGCGGCACCATGCCCAGCTTCTCTTGCATTGCATACCACTTGAGGGCTATGTTAATGGGTGTGGTCAGGCAGCTGGTGAATAGGTCGGCCGGCAGCTGGGCGTTCATAGGCAGAATCTCATTGGCCGCACAGGCGGCCAGGTGAATGCAATTCTTGTAGCTGACCAGCTGATTGGGCAGCTGAACCTGGTTGGCGGCACCGGCCACTAATCCCGGCGCTAGCTGCTGCACTCCACTGCGCTGCAGGGCGGCGGCCAGGGCCTTCTCCAGTTCGTGTTCGTGCTGCTCCGCATATGGCTGGAATGAGTTGATGATGATCCCGGCATTGGAACAGTCGTATACGTAAATCGAGGGCGCGGACATCCAGGTGATTAGCTCGAAGATGCTCAGCGGTATGTACTGGGTAAAGGTCTTGTTGAACACCCAAATCTCTCCATTGGCCGTCGGCTTGGGCACCCCATGGCCGTTGTAGTGGAACAGGATGCGTTCGCCCTTGGCATTGCGGCGTAACGAGGTGCACAGCTTCTTCACATCGTCGACGGTGGGATCATGACACTTTTTGTAGCGTGCCCGCGGCTGCCATCTCTCGTACTGCATTTGCAGGTTGTTCCCAATCTGCTCCATGGCCTTGGGCGGCGACACTGAGCTGGGATCTATCCAGCACTCGAGACGCGAGCACGGCTGGATTTTTACCACATCCGGTGGGTCGACACCAATGTTCAGGCAAAGCACCAGAGCAACGCTGGCCGTTTTCATGCGCTCCCGGATGCGCCAGGGCTGCCGCTCGTACTGCATGGACTGGATAATCTCCTTGTGACGCTTGGCCGTCAGGGACAGGGGGCACTGGTCGTCGCGCAGCAGTTCACTACAGAAAATCTGTATTTTCCACGGATAGTTTACCTCCTCGTCGCTTAGAGGTGTCTCCTGGCCACTGGGCGGTGCCTCCTGGCCGCGTGATATGGGCATGGCCATCTGACTGACAATGGACACCTCCTGGCTGCCAATAATTTCCACGGAGCTGCCGTTACTGCTGCTGCTCGATTTGCTGTGGCTATTGTTGTCGTCGCCAGCGGAGGCGGCGGCTGCAGCAGAGGCTGAGGCGGCAGCAGAGGCAGAGGCAGAGACGGAGGCGACGGCGCCCGAGGCAGAGGCCACAGTACTGAGCATGGCGTTGTAATGGGACTCCAGCATTTTCCCGGCGGCGCTCTTCACGTTTGCTGTTTTGTGTTTGTCTTTCTCCTTTTACTTCTGGTTCCTGGTACGGGCCGTGCCGTTCACTGCCGCAGCTGCAGCTGCAAATGCACTTGCTGCCGCTGCTGGCGTTGGCGTTGGAGTGGCTTTCGCGCAATTAGCGAGTTGAGTCTGTGATTACGTCTACGTCTCCGATTTTGCCTTCCCGATTCCACCAGCTGAAAGTCCCTCCGAGGGGAATCTTGCACATAACCCCAAACACTTTTAGCACTTCTCGCCTTTGCCTTCTTCTTCTCCCTCCCCGTTAGCCGCCCCTCCGCTGCTTCTCGCACGTTTCACGACTACTACGGATCGCGGCGGCCCATTTCCCCGCACACAGAATGGAAAACGATGCGTAAAGTGCACGGAAACACGCGGCCGCGACGCCACTCAAGGGTCTCGCGCTGGCCAAAACAGAGGCGGAAAATCGTCGTTACGTTTTGCGCTGTGTGGGCGCTGAGTGTGTATGATGCTGTGTTTGTGGATAGTTAAAAAAAAATAATAACCACGGTGAAGGAAATACGCATTTACGGTACAGTGTGCTCGCAGGTTTTCCGCTGAAAACGTCAAACTCCTACGCAAAAACAGGGGATTTTTATTTTCGCGGTGGCTGGTCACGCTAACATTTGAGGAAGACGTAATCAAACAAGACAGGGTGATCAAAGACGTAGTAATTAGACGTAAGTCAACAAAAGATGAAAAGGAAAAGGCTTAAGCTGATGGGGCCGTGAAATATTAAACTATTTATCACAGCTTTGCCAAAATAGAGGTTTTTAGACATTGGTTTTAGCGGCGCCCTCGCTAAAAAGGGGGTGGAAACTTTGATAAGGGAAACCATGCTTTGAACAAAAACGTAATCAAAGAACGTAAGGGCTCAACGTAACAATACTAAAATACTACCCAAGTATTTACAAATTATAAAATCTCTTTTATTTTGAGTATCTCACCTTATTAATTATAAAATAAAATAAATAATATTTCAACTTACCCGTAAAACAGGATCCTTGTGCATTGGTGGCGGATATTGGACAGTATGAATCCGATGGCGTCCGAATAGGCCTGTGGCGAAGCTTTGCGCACTCTTTAAGGTCCTTTGCGTCGCCGTGTACTTGAAATAATACCACTCCGGACTGTATATATCCGGCAGGACAGATGGGAAACGGTTTTGCATTCGCTCCGCCAGGTTTATTAGTTCATCCTCGCCTTCCGCCACTAGTAACTTTTCATCTTCGCTGGCATTTAGGTGTTTCCAGCTCCAACGACGTAGTTTTTCCACATCTTCAGAACAAAGATTCGGGTGGGATTGCTCCAGTATCAGAGTCTTGATTTCCTCCAAGCGATTTTGAGCTTGGAGGATAACAGACTCGCTGGGATTCCGGGTTCCATGGCGGATGATGGACCAAATTCGCGTCGGGTGGCAACCTTGTATGGCGAACCGGGAACGAAAAGAGAATCGATAAAAAATCAGCTGTGGCACCAAAACACATGCAAGCAAATACAGTAGGCATCGGCTAAGACAAATGGTCACGTGCCTGAATACAAGGCAACATTGAATATACAAATTATATTCTCAATTGTGTTTGTTTTTAAGAACAACTTCAAACATGTTTTAGGTGATTAAATTGTTTATGTTTTGCTGACGTAACAAGCTATTCACCGTCTTAGTGGATGCGCACTGTATTTGATCCAGGGGAAATACCCACCCGCGTACTGCGGCGGCGTCTCGTCGAAATTGGCAACCGACCGGTACGGCGTCTTGGTGGACAGTCGCTTCTCTATGTCCGCCCGGCTCAGGCGGCTGCAGTGCGTCCTCTCGCCGCCGGCGTACTGGAAGAGCGGCAGCAGCAGCAGCGGTAGCACAAACAAAAACAGACAGTAAAATGGTTTTAGCATTTTTCCGGAGGGCGGAAAAACTTGTCGGAGGTGGAAAGCGTAGTTTGGACGAAGAGGAAACGAAGTCAAAACATGGAAAATGGTAAATATATTAATTAACACGCGACGCGCTCGAGCGGAGAGGCTATGGAAGATGACACCAAAGGAGAGGCTGCATAAAATAAACACATAAGGGAAGTCAAAACGTTGTCACCGGGCGACAGCAGCGATGTGGCAACACTGTGATGGGTTTGGGCCACAACAGTGTGACCGTTAGAAAGCCGGTCGTATTCAAATCGTCAATTTGAAATTTGAAACTTGAGCTTGTAATGTAAGTGAGACTTTTATACGATGTTTTTCCTTTTCTTTGCAATGGATTAAGTATTAAAATTGCTTTGGGTACAAATTATATATATATTTTCAGGTATGCCGTTCTCTTAGCCGCTCAACAAGTGTTCTCTTAACCGCACCGAGCTTTCCTTGGCCAAAAGCTTTCCCTTTACCGGTCCGCCAAGCCCAGAAGCGGCTACTGGGCTGTGTAGTCGCTCGACGAACCCTCGAAAGGAATAAAGCGGTTGCCAGTTGGGTGCAAACTTCTGTTACAAAACCAATTACAAATGAACCTAGTATAAAGCGCAATTCAAAAGTGTTCAATATTGAAAAGGATACGGCGAAGGATATTATTCCGTGCACCGCAACCGTTTTGGCTTCCTAGTTCGCTGTTTTCTTAAATTCCGGTTCCCTGAGGCCCCGCGCACACTTCTTGTTCGCTGCCATATGGCGCCCGAGTGGGCACAATCATCATCATCCGCCAATGTCAACAGGAACCGGAGCAGTTGGATGAAGAGGAAGCCAAGCCACGCACGTGCCGTGAAAAGTTTTGCGCCAAAACTAGAACTCCTTCATCCAGGTAACACGTTAGGGAGAGTGGGTATAAGGTGGCACGGTGTCGTTGTCCTGTTTTATGGGTGAATACAGGCATTCAGGGATTTCAGGAGGGTTGGCGAGGCTTTGATTTGTGGTCACAAAGCACGCGATGTTCGTAAGGCACTGAAACCAAAGCTTAAGCAAAAATGATTTGTCCCAGAGGAGCACTTACTATATGGTGAATTTTTGAGAAAAACAATCACAAGGTCACAATTTAGTTTAAATATTCAATTTATTCAAGCCTACGAAGAAGGTTCTAAGAGGACATAGAACTAAGCATCTAAACCCAAACCAATATAAACAAAGTTCCAAAGCAATATAAACACCATAATACTACCTATTTCAGTTACAAATTCATTGAAATTACTTTCTCACTGTGTATTAAGACCACCTGTTGTCGTGGTTTTGAGCTTTAAGCGCGTGTTTGGAAACTTTCAATCTATTTTTGGTGGGCAACGACGAATGCAGGATAATAAAGGGCTAACGAAAATCGATCAAATTATGCTTTATATTTGGGGGTGGCAACGGGTAATTGGAAGTGGGAATTTCTCGAATATATGTATATATATATAGTCTATATGGACAGGGGAGGAGTTTTGACAGTTCAGTTTACAGTTGAACTGAATGATCGGTGAGAAATTGTTCGGGGTGGATAGACAGGGGAGACAGGTGTTCCATCAATCAGCCAAATCGAAAGGAGAACGCAATTTCGCCGATTACCAGAGGCATTGAGTGGCCAAAACAAAGCAATAACACCTCCCATTGATTCCCATGCGGCTTGCTCCACCGAGGAAGAGCGCTCACCCTAATCTCCCAACTTATCGGACAGGGTAATTAATTTTTTTTCTTTCGGTTCGGCCCCCGAACCCATTGACAATGACACGATGATCACGCACTGATAATGCCAATGCCAATGACCACTGAGCAGTAGTGGGTGGGAGGTGGGATTCCGCTTCAGATTCCGCATGGTCTAACTGTTGTTCTCCACCATGGGTTACAGCGTCATGCTGGCTGGTTGGTTGCCTGTTGTGTGCGGAACGTGCTAAATGGGCTTTCATATTAGACCGCATTGGAAGTAAATGGTGTCTGGTATCTTGTATCTGGTAACTGGTGACGGGTAACAGTAACAGGAGAACCGCAGCACCTGCCACAGAGCAGGTAAACAGGTGATGCGTCAGTGTGCCACGGTGTACACAGTTACTAGAGTTACTAGAGTGATTGATTGGCCAGTTTGGTTATCCTGTAGAGCTATGTATATATATTATATATTGAAAAGCAATAGTTCGTTCTTATTATGCAGGCCAATTAAAAGGTGATCAATAAAATCTATTGAAGACAATATATAGGTTAGCTTATTTTTAATTAGTTATCTATACCTATTAATAATTTAATTTTTATAAAACATATTTTAAAATTTCGTATTTAAAACCTTTTGGAGATCGTAATTCAATTGTTTTTCTGAAGGCAATTGTTAGCTATTAAGGATCTCAATAGATCCGCTCAAGATTTAAAACTAGTACCCATTTAGAAAATATAATAATTTCCTTTAAAATGCAAACCTAAATACATTCTTAAATTGATTTCAATCTTACTATTTCACAATGTTTAATTTTATTTAAACTGCCTTGAGATTAATTGAATGTAAACTATAACTGGCATCCAATCTCCTGAGGAACTTTACAGCCTTTTGCTGGGCCAATATTGATCCCCTATTTGGTCCATAAGTTCCTGGCCATATTTCAGCTTGTTCGCTTTTCGGTGCTCGGGAGGGGCGCTCTGTTGTAACCAACTTAGCATTAATTTAATATACACCTCATGGGTGTCACTTGCCATTGGCAATACTTCTCGTTCATATTGTTGTTACTTTTGTTGTTGTTGCTATTGCTTTTGTGGCGTCGACAGCGACGCCAGCTGCGACTGCGACGGTGGCCGCGACAGCGGCAGCACCAGCGACTTGCTTAAAAGCTAAGGACACGGGCTCAGAACGCTCAGTTCGCATCGAGAAGTCGCCTCGCGCGGTTTTTTTTGTTGTTGCGGCAAGGCAAAAGCTAAAAACAAAAGAAAGAAAAATTAAATCGAATAAATTCGAGACGGAGTGAAGGAGAGCGAAAAACTCTAAGAAACAACACACACGCACACCCCGCAAATGGTATATGGCGGTTAGTTTATAACAACAAACAAACAAAAAACGCGGCGGTGAAAGTCGTTAAGAACGTTAATATAAATAAAAACAACAACCAGAGCCAGAGGAAGGCGTCAATAATAAAAATAATAATAACAATAACAATAATAATAAAATATAAAAACCAGCCACACAACAAAAAGTAATAAACAAATGAATAATGTTTTTAAAAACTAGAAAAAAAACAAATCATAAATGCACAGCTACAAAATTGAAGATCTTTAGGAAACACCAATGTTATTAGCTTCAACTTTTGGATAATAATATATTTAAAGTACTTATTTTAAAATGTATATTTTGATATTAAAAGTCTACTTCAATTAGGAAGGAAGGCTAGTTTCAAAATTAAAACAAAGTAAATTGCACAAATCCTATTTAAATGTTTCAAAATATTTCAAAATTGTAAACAAATTTAAATAATGTTTTTTACTCAAGTTTACTGGGAAAAATATATACTAAATAATTTAATATTTAATATTTAATACAACCGCGAACAATATTTAATGTTTAAGCTTCAAATAATATTGATCTGTTTCCTTTTATCTTTATCTTTTTTAAAGCTTCAAAACTTAATTTTTTATGTGTACATTTAAAAATAAACTGCATTAAATATATAGAAAATATAAATTATCGACTATTACCCACAAACACTAATAGTTTTTTTTTAATTTTTTGTTTAGTTTAGCGGCTCTGACAGCGGTTATACAATGCGAATTTAACGACGGTCGTATTAATTTATTTTAGTTTGTGGCGTTCGGTTCGAGTTTCCATTCCACACTTTGTTTGTGTATATATAATATTGTTATATATATATTATTTTTTCTCTTTTTGCATATATATAGCGATCGCCATCGGTATTATCGGCGTTTCGCATTTCACGTGGCTAATCAAAAGTAACGAGTTTAATAACCATTTTGCCGGCGTTCGATTGAAATATTCATGAGCGTCACGAGATTTTGACTTTTTCGGCTCTTGAATCAGATCAATCGTGGGTTCATCAATATACTATATAGATTTTGCTGTGAAGATATAGACGGCACCGACCCCCCACGATGCCGTCGCCGTCGCAGCACTGCCTCGAGCTCGGTCGACGCAGCAGCCGGCGCACAGCTGGGTTAACTAGTTTCGAGTTTTGCAAAATTTGCCGCGCATTAATCCGAGCTTTAAGCCACAGTGGTAATCGGTTTGGCAAGTTCCCAAAGAAAGTGTAGAGTCTTAGCTCACGGGAGATATTTTATAAACCTTTTAAATACCACCAAAATAAGGATTTAATACCATTTATTTCCCTACCTTTAAGGGTATTGGATTATCATTCAGGAGCTTAATAGAGAGCGAAGGAATCATTTCCGACCCTATAAATCATATATATTCTTGATCAGCATCAACAGGCGAATCTTTCTGGCCATGTCCGGGCGAAAAAAAATTTGGCCATTTTTTCAACATTTTATAAGGGGTTACATCGTCAAATTTTTCAAAAAAAAAAAACTCGATAAAAATTTGAATTTTTTTAATTTTAAATTTAGAATGCAGATTTGTTAATCTACCAAAAATTAGCACAGAGCACTTTTCCGAATTGAAATTTATGCATTTTTGGCTTAATTATGGATTTTTTAAGCTTTGAATATCCTTTATAAATATCAATTTGAGCGATTTACGGTTTGTTATACTTTTCAGGGATATGACCCCTAATTTTGGCTTATTTTAAATACCTTTAAAAAGTTAATACCTTTATAAATACCATTTTCTATTTAAATTATAAATTATATGGTAATAAGCTTAGCTTAGCTTAGCTTGGACCCATTTTCTGCCTTACAAAAATAAGTTTAACATAAAAAATAAATTTAAATTCCCTTACCAATATCAAGACTTCCGGTGTAGTTAATAATCACTGTAATCAATAATCACAGCACACAGAACCAATCCATTTGGCTTTGCATCCCCTGCTGACCAGAGGCTGCGATTGCGTGAAACACGTTGGCCCTGATCGCACGTCACAACAGCAACAGCAACAACGACTATACAGAAAGTGGCAACAACTTGGCCAGAACAGATCAGAGCAGAGCAGAGAACCGATCAGAACAGACCAAGTCAGTGCAAAGGAGATGATATCACAAGATCATTAACTATCAAAGTCGTAACTTCGGAAGTGTCCAACTAGAAACACTGGACACGTGAATGGGGCTCGTGGAGGGATCTGGTTGTGTCCAGTGCTGACCAGTATCGGTATCGGTATCGGGTTTACACAAAAACACCGGTCATAAACCATAATTGCAATGACTAGCCCTGAGTTGACCCTGTCGCCTGTCCATCAACGCCCCGTCACGGTCTGCCAATTGTATATCATCTGTTATCTGTTATCTGTTAATGGTTATCAGTTATCTATTTATCGCTAGCTAAACTCCTTTGTTGTTTTTTCTTTTTTTTGTTTGGTTCCAGTGCGATCGCCGCTGATGTCGCCAGCGTTGCCGGCGTTGTTGTCGCTCTAACTGCGAACGGTGTCTGTGCAGCTCCGCTCAACCTGTCCGCCGGCTCAACTGGACAACAGCCGCTGTGCTCCCATCGAGAGACAAGCGGACGAGCGGCCATAAATTAGTTGCCCGATAAACAGCAGCAGCAGCAGCAGCAGCAGCAGCAGCAGCATGTCGCAGTCACAAACGCTGCCGCATGATGCCTCCGGAGGAGCTACTCTGGAGGAGAAGCCGCTGAACAATGGCTATGCACCGATGGAGGAGCTAAATGCCACAGTGGTGTCGCCGCTACTGGGACAGCAACAGCAGCAGCAACAGCTCCAGCAACAGCAGCTGCAGCAGAACAAGTTGCCCACGGTGGTGTTCCTCTCACCTGATGGCAGTGGTGGCGTTGGCCTGGGCAGTGCCCTGCAACGGAACAATCCCAATCCAGGCAGTGTTGCTGGCGGAGTGGGCGTAGGTGGAGGACAGCCATCGCGCAGCAGCAGCGATTGGTTGCTTAAGGAGTCGCAGCAACGTCGTCGCCTTCTCATCCTGGCCATTGCCTTCACCGTTTTGGGAGCAGCCATTGGAGCACTGGCCATCTACTTTGCCAGTGTGCACCAGCGATGTCAGCTATATCACCTGGAACCAGGTGAGTCTTCAGTCTAAAGCAGATAACATATTCTTCTAACTTGTGCTCTAATCATGCTAAGGGGAATTCCATCTAACCCATCATCATCAATGTTATTTTTGTTGCTTTGCTTTTGGAATTTATCTAGAGCTTATGGTTGCCACCAATGGTATTATTGTGGGAAAATCGAAATAGTCAGTATAGTATTTCCAAGTCCCTGGCGATAAGTTATTAGTACATGACATACACATGTCTATCTTGGAGGGCTTTGACATTGATTAAGTTTGTGTGTCGAGGAGAAGGAGGAGGAGCTCCACTTTTGCCTTTCAGCTTGTTGCCATTACCCGTTGCTGCTAACTGCTAAATGGGCCAACAGCTAATCAAGCGTCATCCTGTGCTCCTGATTCCGTATTTTGCCCTGCCGTAGTTGGCATGTTAAGTGAATTTAGCGCCAAGTCTCGCCATCCTCTCTCGGGTGGCTCAAACAAATGGAGCAAAAACTCAATTTCCTTGCCCGTAGAGTGAAGAAGCAGGGGCGCAACAGGACAACTGAGCAACAGGCTAAAGGATGTCCCTTTTGGGTGTGAATGAGGCTGTGGCTGTGGCTGTAGATATGCCGATATGTCGATAGGGGAGTGTTGTAATCTCCGCCCTGTTTGAAATTCAATTACAGAATATGCCAAACAACAAGCGGCAACAGCTCTCGGTCTCCTCCAGAAGCGGCAGCAACAATGATGGCACCTCCTCGGCTTCCTTGATGCTGATTCTCTGATTCCTGGATTCCTCCACTCGCACCGATGTCAGGAGATGCTTTTTTGTGGTCTGTCAGTAACCACAGTGGTGCGATTTGTGGCCTAAAGTGAAACCTAATACTAAAAATTACATGATTCAATTTGAAAAGCGATACAGTTTAGGAATTATTCCTTGATAACTATTTATTAGGGATGAAACTTAATTTCTTTTCCTTTTTTATGACTCTGAAAAAGTATATTTATTTTGAATACTGTGGATGCTTTGTAAACTCCTTTACAATGTCTTGACTTTTATCTACACAAAGACCCCTGTTTGTTCTCCTTCTCTCCTCCCTTGTCTTAACTCCTGGTATCCCTGGTTGGAGGCTGGGACATGTTCCGACTCCAGGACTCTACTTCCTTTTGGAACACATGGAATAATGCGATTCAAAGCAACTGAAATATTCAAGAGCTCCGAATCGAGTTGCTGCTGCTTCCGTTTTGGGGCGCAATTTACATCTTCATGTGGTTCCCTCGATTTCGGTTTTATTTATATTTTTTTCTTTGCAAAAATAAGACAAGAAGAAAAAATAAACATGAAAATAATACGTACACAAAAAGCAATCAATCGGCATTTGCTGGGGATGTCTATGAATTTTTAACGGCCGTTACCATCGATCGTGCAACCTCCAGGCTCTTTCTTGGACAATCTAATTGAACATGCACACACACACACACGCACACACACATGCCGACCATTATCCTGTTTATATTTACCGTTATAAAACGTGTTTTAAATGTTTTCATTCATCGTTTCTAGTGGAGGAAACGTGGACGTGGGGTGAATTTCAGGCCGAAAGGCAACACCACCATCAAAGCCTATTTAAAAATATATCTCTTTGGCAGCATTTCCATAAATACCGAATGGACATCATCATAATCATCATCATCATCGTCATAATCATTGTCATTATTATTATCGAGCAGAGAACTTGTGGTAGGCCTGGCCTTGACTATGATTTTCCACCCGCCACATTTTTTTCCCATTTCCATCCCTGTTTGGTCCATCGATTTTCCTTCAGGCCTTTCCTCTCACCGCTGTGCCTTAAAGCCTAATTTATGAAAATAAATAATACAACTTCTGGAATATATATTCTTTTGATTCCTAAGTGAATGGCAAGCCTGCCATCTAATTATTACCTTTCTTATGGTTTTATTTATGCCTAAGAAGGGATCATAAAAAGTACATTTTAGGACCCTTATTTAATAGCAAATCGATAGAGTTTAAAGAGCCTTCTTTTAATTCCCTGGCTTAATGAAATTCCTCCTCTTCATGCATAATTGCCAAGTCCCCTCGATGGGCTTCTGGACATTCAACCCAAGTTGCCAAAGGAATGTGGCATGTGGCCAGTGGCAAGTATCCAATGACCACTGGCTTGCGGTCCACTTAAACCTATTAACGCCATGGCAAATGTTATTAGCTGGCCACTGGCCAGAAGAGTGGGCGAATCGCTTTAATTAATAACTAAAGCTGCTCGGAACATCCCATTTTTATTGACAGCCTCGGACAAGGACAACGTGCAACATGTGCCCCCTTCGAGAGGGAGTCAAGAGCACACAATGAAAATAAACTAGTTCTAAAGAAAGTATTAATATAAATATAATTTTTGATGAATCTAAAATATATATTAATTAACTGCTGGGTTTTTTTAGTATTTTATTTATGTTTTTTTATATATAGATCTGGTTTCAAGCAGTTTATTTCTTCGTGTGTTTCGATGGCAGAAGCTTAGCATTTCGTTATTTTAATTTAATAAAGGCCATGGAGAACGGGGCTCCTGGCTTGCCCTCTTTATCACTCGCTCTCTTTTAATGAAAAATTCAAATTCAATTTACTTGAGTGGCCCGCGAATCACTTGTCGTCTTGGCAAAGGTCTTCGACAGAGGCCCCACTCTCATTGCTCATACGCCCCGTGTGCCATGCACTGAACATTGAAAATCTGTTAACTCTAATTGCAGGCCACGATGACAGCAGACCCAACTCCAGGTGGAATCAGGAGGGACAGGAGAACAGCCACGAGGGGCAGGACAACATTTGCATGACCCAGGAGTGCGTGAGAACAGGTAAACTGATGATATCCTCCCTCATTTTGAGGTGGAAGTCCCCTTGGTTCCTAATTGAAATTAATGCATGTTGGGGGACAAGGGACTGGGATTGATAACTTTGGGACTTTGACAACTTAATGATACCAATAAGGAAATAATGTTCGTAATGATTACGGATGAAGTTACCAAGTTTTAGGCCAAAATTCACATTTTAAGCAGAAAAGTCAGAATTTTCAATACATACATTTTGAAATCTTTTAATTTTCTTTAAAAATAAAACCAGTAACTACTTAGAAACTATTCTTAATATCACAGAACTTCAATCCTAGCTCAGTTGTCCTAGAATATATCCCCCAATTCAGACTAGGCCAAAGGGATTAGTGGTTGTATGTATTATGACCAAAGGGTGTCAGGGCCTTGCACAATCATCTAATATGTGCGGTTTTATTTGTGTTGTAAATTATTTATTAGCTATTAAGACAGTTAAGTGCCGCGGACATCGTTTAGTGATGGGTACCGCGACATCTGCTCCTGAAATGTCCCATCCAAATGCACTTATGCCCAGGCCCATATCAGACACCTCAAAGTCACTGGCCGGTCTTTCTCCCTGAGGGGAAATTACACTGTTGATTGATGGCTTGGCATGCCGCTAGATACACCTGTCCAGGTACAGGACATTCCGGGAATAAGCACAGCTACAATTACTGAACAAACGACCGACATGCCGTAGTGATGCAATCAATTGGCGGAGGTCCCTTGGACTGCTCCACTTTGGTTAGCATACTTTTTGGGGCCTGCATGAATATTGATAGAATAGGATTTACGTTAATTGGTAACCCAGATTGGGCCATTGGAATATGTAATCGATGTACAGCGGAGGATCAAAAAGGGTTGAAACTATATTCTAAACAAAGTTAGGTAAGGTTAGGTTAAGTGAGGGTATTTTAGGATCCTTAAAACATTATTTATTTGTTTAAATTTTGTGAAGAAAACCTACACTAAGGCAGGGTGTTCCAACAGCGACTTCCCTCTTGTTTTTTTTACAATTCCAAGGCAGACGACTTTTAATTAATTTTAAATTCCAAATTCCAAGAATGCAATATTCGTGCCTTGAATGGCTTTACCGGCATAAATCAATGGCTTTTCCGGAAAATACCAGAAAAGTGCAAAATGCTCTGGGTTTTTTCCAAGACAATGAAGTTGAGCTTAATGATTCCCAGGCACAAGGTTTTGATTTGTGGATTGTCAACGATGCAGGTCCTCAGGTCGGCGGCGGCGGCGGCGGCTCTTTCTTCATTCAAAACTTTTGTCTGGCGAAAAAGTTAGCGACTGCAAGTGCGCCTCGCTTATCGGGAAAGTTTGTTTGTTTTCTGGCCTATGATTTGTGGGCCAAGTTTATAGCTGCGTAAATTATGACCCCAAAAAAGGGTGGTGAGCCGCTAATTGCGCGTCAGCTGAACCGCTTTCCACGCCAGGTTAATAACAAGAGATATAATCACTATCCACAGCGGCCTCGCTGCTCTCGGCCATGGACCTTGGTGCCGATCCCTGCGAGGATTTTTTCCAGTATGCTTGCGGCACATGGAACAAGTTGCATCCTATACCCGAGGACCGTAGCTCCATTAGCACCTTTGAGGTAGGTCCAAATGCTGTCCGAGGATCACCGGCTAACTTAAACTTTACTTTACTTACCCTTAGGTGCTGTCTGACCAGCAGCAGGTCATACTGCGAGGTGTCCTTGAGGAGCCCATCGATGAGCGTGACAACCAGGCCACTATCAAGGCCAAGACCTTCTTCAAGAGCTGCATGGATATACGTGAGTATATATGCCTTTATGCCTTATACGAAATTTTTAGCTTCTCCCTATCTTCTCGGTAATACCAGCCCAGATCCGGAAGATTGGCATAGGACGACTGAAGGAGGTCCTGCGCTCTCTGGGCGGTTGGCCGGTAATCGAACGCGACTGGCGTCCTCCGGAGGATCTCTCCGTGGAGCGTCTAATGGGTCAGCTGCGACTGAACTACAGCGAGCCAGTCATGATCGAGCTGTATGTGGGCGCTGATGACAAAAACAGTTCGGTGAACATCCTGCAAATGGATCAGTTGCAGTATGCTTTGCCCTCCAGGGACTATTACCTGAAGGAGAGCAGTGCCAATGACAGGCGGGCCTATCATCGTTACATGACGCAGGTATCATTGCTACTTGGAGCAGATCCAGCTACTGCTGCCGATGAACTGGAGCAGGTGGTCTTGTTTGAGACGCAACTGGTGAATGTCTCCCTGGCGGAGGCGGATCGTCATGATACCAGTGCCGTCTATCGGAAGACAACGCTGCCGGAGCTGCAGCAGCTAGTGCCGGAAGTGCAATGGACAGAGTACTTGCAGTCGGCTTTGGGCAAGAATATTGCCCTGCAGGAGGATGAGCCGCTAGTGACCTACGGTCTCGTCTATCTCACCGAAATGGGCAAGATTCTGGCCCGCACCGATCGACGTGTTGTGCACAACTACATGTTGTGGCGTCTGGTCATGTCTCTGACCACGCACATGATTGATGAGTACCAGCGGGAGAGGGTGGAGTTCCGTAAGATCCTGTTGGGCATTCAGTCGGAGCGAACGCGTTGGTCCCAGTGCGTGGAGTGGACCAACAAGAAGTTGGGTGTTGCCGTCGGTGCGCTCTTCATTCGCGACAACTTTAATCAGGAGAGTAAAGCCGTTGCTCTAGAGATGATCCATACCATACGGGCGGCCTTTAATGAACTGCTTGCTGAGAACCATTGGATGGATGATGAGACGCGGGCGGTGGCCAAGGAGAAGGCGGACTCAATGAATGAACGCATTGGCTATCCAGAGCTGCTGACCAATGCCACCGAGCTGGAGCAGGAGTATGTGAATGTGAGTAGCGGAGGGTTTTGTTTGGAGTTTATCTTAAACTTAATTAAATCCCTAACCAGCTGACCATTGTGCCGGACAACTTTATTGACAATGTGCTGAGCATCCTGCAATGGGAGTCGGAGAAGGTGCTTAATCTACTGCGACAGCCGGTGGATAAGGAAAAGTGGACCACCGAGCCGGCGGTGGTGAATGCCTTCTACAATCCCAACAAGAATGATATAGGTGGGTTTGCAAAATTATAATTTTACTATTACTTATCTCAATAAATTATCTTAAAACCCCTTTAGTATTTCCTGCTGGCATCCTGCAGCCGCTGTTCTATAGCCAACACTTTCCCAAATCGCTAAACTATGGCGGCATTGGTGTGGTTATTGGCCATGAAATCACCCATGGCTTCGATGACAAGGGCCGGCAATTTGACAAGGAGGGCAACATGATGCAGTGGTGGAACAATGCCACCATTGAGGCCTTTCGCGAGAGGACGCAGTGCGTCATTGATCAGTATTCGCGGTATAAGATCAATGAGGTGGATATGTTCATGGATGGCCGGATGACGCAGGGCGAGAATATAGCGGATAATGGTGGCCTCAAGCAGGCCTTTAGGGTGAGAATATAGCTCAGCTTAGATTTCATTTTCCTAGAGAACATAAAGCGTAATCATATTATTATTTTTCCAGGCCTATAAGAAATGGGAGACCCTGCATGGTCGAGAACCGCAGCTGCCCGGTCTGAATATGACCCACGATCAGCTCTTCTTTCTCAACTATGCCCAGATCTGGTGCGGATCGATGCGACCGGAGGATGCTTTGACCAAAATCCGCTCTGCGGTCCACTCACCGGGCTTTGTCCGTGTCCTGGGACCGCTTTCGAATTCGCGGGACTTTGCTCGCGCTTATAGCTGCCAGTTGGGCAGCACTATGAATCCAGAGGATAAGTGCAGTGTGTGGTAGTCATCAGTAGTAGTCATAGTTGGCGTTTTTTTTATATATTTATATCGCATACTATAACGGTATATATAGCATACACGATAATACAAGACGAGTACACGAAGTAGATGATCGATCACCTGGGAATAATGACAATGCGAATCGGATCACTTGCTCCAACTTTTTTTTTGTGTAGTTTCCTGTTTTCTTTTCCTTTGTGTTTGTTATAGCGCAGTAATATCTGCATGTTTACCCTAAAATACCTGGCTATTAAGATATATAGGTGTAGCTGTATGAGTATTTATGTGCTAGGCGAGACCAGATTACCACAGTAGCTCCCGCACTTGCCACATCCCTCCTAGGCTCCTCCCCAAGCGAAGAACAACAATATATTCGTGAATAAAAACAACAAATTATGAAAAATAACACGAAAGATTCTTTATTGTTATTCGGGGTATTGGTGCGTATACGTGATATTCAATGTTGGTTTGGGGCAATATAACGTATACGTAATTTTGCACTTGGTTTATGTTTCCGAAAAGATTAGTTTAAGATGGAAAAGTGATAAACTTAAATTAGGATACTTACTGCAGACCTCCTGAAAGAAGAGTAACATCGGGAAACCAAAATATCTATATCCTTGATGTGAAAATATATCATAACTCTGCCAAAAATGCATTAATTTTCAATCGGTAAACTGTTCTGTGCTAGTTTTTGTTAGCTTAACCAATCTGCGAAATTTACTAATTTGAGCACATGAAGTTTTTTGTAATTTTTTTGATAAATTTAACGATGTAACCCCTTATAAAATTTTGAAAATTTTGAAAAAACTTAAATTTTTGTCGGACATAGCTAGATCGATCCTACTGTTCATGCTGATCAAGAATATATATGATTTAAAAGGTCCGAAATGATTCCTTCAATGATTTTTAAGCCTCTGACTGAAGCTAAAATCTTCTATAAGGATGTAAAACTGATAAATGAATTACTGAAAGTATAATCTCCTTAAACGGTTTAAAAATGATAAATTAAACTATATTCCAGTTACAAAGTAAATCACTAAACGTAGCACTAGTTTTAGATATTTAAAGTAAAGAATATTAGGGGTCTGAGGGACAATGGTACGTATACGTGATATTTTGTGTTAGTTGGGGAAATATTACGTATACGTAATTTTTTATTTGTATCGAGTTTCACAGTTAAAAAAATGCGTAGCCAAGCTAAAAATGAATTAATTTCAATCCGGAAAGCTGTTCTGAGCTAGTTTTTATGCCGTTAATAAATCAGCATACTCAATTTAAAACTTTAGACTGAAATTATAACACCCTGCAAGGGTAATAATAATGTATCAAAAGTTGGCACCAAAGTCAGTTTCAGTTTTAAAATTATTAAAATGGTAAGAAATCATTACTCGAGAACAAATTATGAATCAGTTAGGCTGTTTACTATGAGAATAAGTTTATGCTGTATCACTTAAAATCATAATTAATTAATGGGATTTATGGCAATAAGGGAATTAATAGAAAAAAATAAATGCATAGCTAGCATATTTATATGTATATGATTTAATTGTCATGATTAAGACTTACCTCAGTAGAGGACACGTCATTGTTTACTTCCTTCCATTGTAGACTTATAATCTTGGTGACCTTAATTAGGGTAATCATGGTATCGAAGATCACTTCCTGTTTATCCAGCTGTATTCCATTGGCCAGATGATATTTCAGGCGTAGAAGGGTAACCATAATATCACTGCCACAATCACTACCGATGTAAACACTAGGTACCCCTAGGACAGACTGAGCTCGCGGCGGCCGAAGTGCCTCTATTTATAGTTCCCGAGGCAAGAGAATAGAGAAAGTGAGAGCGGGAGAGTAAGAGCTATCTCTTGAGCGGCAACTACAGATGCACAGTGGGAGTTGGACACACCGGATAAAAAGAGATAGAGTAAGAGTGAGCGAGCCAGCGAGCGAGGGAGAGAGCTGTTGATGCTGATCAAGAATATGTTTACTTAATAAGGGAGTCACTGCGTTGCAGGCTTTTGATTAAAATTAATATAGTAAGTAAAGTAATATAGTAATAATGGTATAATAACAAAATACAGACCCCCAGAAAGAAGTAACGATTAAGGAAAAATGGGACATTTTGTCGATGAACAACGACTAACTGCTGGAAAACTGATAAAGCGAAAGAATAACTTCAACACCTCGTTCTTTTCAAATTCTCTTTTATTTATAATGTTTTTGTTTTTTGTTTTGTTTTTCGCTGCTTTACATAGTATGTGTTCTCAGTATATATGTATACGTATCTAATGGAACCAATTGAACCATTCAAATCATACGCAAGGGGCACGCAACGAAATGATTACAACTTTTTGGCTATGGCTAATTTTCAGTTTTTCCTTTTTTTTGTTTTTTATTTTTTTACAGCTGAGAGGGAGGATAGTGATGCTTGATTCTAATTTCCGTTTTTATTTCTTTCTTTTGAGGAAAACAAATTCATTCACATTTAATTTGTATTCCTTGCTCTAACTTGGCAAAGAGAACTTATGTTTTATGGTTTCTTTTGGGGGTTGTTGTTGTACCTGCATGGAGCTAAAAGCAAATTTGCTTAATTTGCATTTCGTTGGCCTTTAATGGCATTTAATTTTAAATTTAACTCACTTTTCGCTAATTTGTTGTATTCGTTTTCTTTTACGTTTTTTTCTGTGTGTTTTTTTTTGTTTGTTTTTAATCAACTTATGTTTTGTAGCAGTTTTGTTTACCTAATTATTAATCAACAAGAAGAAACGCTCATTATTATGGGCTGCCTGACTCTTCGCACAAGAGAAACAAACACACACAACTAAGTTCAAGAAAAGAATATAGTTTCCTCATTTCTGGTTTACTTCAAGCGGCTACATTTAAAAAATTACAAAAAAAAAAACAACACACACTTTCAAAAAACTTCTAATGCGCATTACATTTAACCTAGTCATAAACATCATGCTGTTGTTGTTTAATATTTAATTTATTTCCTTGTTGTTTGTTTTTTCTTTTCATTTTAGTTTGGTTTTTAGCTTAAGTAATTGTTTTGGTTTTCGTTCTCTTTACGTTTCTTTTTTAAATAGTTTTCAGAGTTCGCTTTGCACTGCTTTCTTTTAGTTTACTTACAACGCGATGCACTTGCTTCGATTGCTTTCGGTTTTACATTACGCCTTGCCGCGCTGCTTGCATGGTGTCTGTGGTGTGGTGAGTTTGTGAGAGAGAGATAGATAGAGACAGGGAGAGATAGATATATCTATAGAGAGAGAGAGAGAAAGAGAGACAGGGGACTGACTGGAGCTAGGCGAGAGAGAGGGATAGAGACAGAGAGAGAGAGGGCGAGTTTTTGTCGGATAAATTTGTATAAATTGTATATATATGTATATATATATATATATATATATATATATATTCGTAGAGAAAGGCACAGATGAAATTATCATATAATTAAATTTGTTCCTCCTTCGCTTTCGCCCGAATCCGTTTTTTTCATTTTTGCTAAGTTTGATTTTAAAGTTTATCTAAACTGGATAGCTCCTATTCTTCTTTACCTCCTACCTTCCCTTCCTTCGTTTCCTTTTCGTTTCATTTCATTTCGTTTTTTGTTTTTCCTACAGTAACAGTAACAGTGTGTACAAAGAGTGTAAAATTGTTGTCCTTTCTTTCCTTGTCCCAGGGGTTTCCTTTTTTGAAAAATTAGCTTAGATCATGTTTTTTAAAAAATTGACAGTGTTAAGTTAGTGTTAATCTTAATCTAGATCAGTGCTCGACACCAGCTCGGCACACGATGTGGGGAAAAAAGAACCCGAAATTTTCCGCATGCCTGCAGGATATAGGGATGTATGCCGACCACTGATCTAAATCTATATATAATCCTTGTCTTGTTCTACTTTGTTTTCTATTTCCTCTTAGCTGACGCATGCTGCATTCAAGTGCCTAGAAATACTCTCTATTGTAATTCGTTGATAGTTCCATATATACACTTTATATAGTCATTAAATATTAATCTTTAAGTTTCTACTATTTCTCTGGGTTTTGTTTTTTATAAATGCTACCTTTTTAAGTTCATCCTTTTCATGTTCAAGTTCAAGTATTCATTTTTATAATCTGAGAATTATACTGTGTTTATATATATATATATTAAAAAAAAAAACAACTTCTTGAACTCCTTGGCCTTGGCACTGATTTTGTGGGGTCAGGGGATCTAGAGTCTGGAGATTTTGGAAGCCTTTGGTGAGAGATAGAGATAGACAGATAGTGTGAGAGAGAGAGGTGAGCAAAGATTGTCGACCAGATCGTAATAGCTATCTGTACGGGTGTTCCAGTATTTCTGTGTGTTTAAGTACCTAAGTAAATTCGTTTGCACAAGGTCCATGTTCTGCCCCCCCAAATACCGCATTTCCGGCGCCAAGAACGCCATTTTGTTTTCTCATTTTTAGATTAGATTAGGTACGATCTTATGAGCTACAGTTTTTCTATTGCTTATCAATTCTGCTTTCTGTTTTATACTTTCTGCTTTCTCTCTTCTGATTTCTGCTTCTGCTTTAGGGTTTTCTCCTACATAAAATACACTCAAATACATATGCATACATACAGGCCTCCTATATATACAGATCGTGTTCCGGTGTATCGTATATAAACGGTTTAAACTTTAAGAGCTAATCACAGAGTTGATGATTCTTTGTTCACAAATTTCCATCATGTTTTTTGTATGTATGCAGTATCGCTATAAGTATTTATGTATGTATATTTATCTGTATATATGTAAATCGCATATAACACTTGTATATAATCATCATCGACATCGTTTTTTTGTTGTTTTTGGTAATCTCGGCTGCTACTTGAAACGGAAAACACTCTAATCAACTTGAAACTTAGCTAATCTGCCACCTGACTTCGTATAGTTTTTTGTTCTTATAAGTTCTGGTTTGTTAAAGTTATGAAAACCATAGGATTGCACTAAAAACAGTTGTCAATTTAGCTTACTTGCATATCTTTACTTATGCTTTTACGTTTTACTTTTTACTTTTACAATTCTTTCATTTTATTTTCCGTTTTTTTCTTTCTGGCTAAGAGTAGTTTTACCATTTATCGTTTTAAGTTGTATTTGCTATCAATTGAACATTACATGTGTTTATTTTCCTTTTCTCCATGCTCTTTTATCGTCTATTACCTATAATTTTAGTTGTTGTTTCATTCTCTTGAAAGCTCCCTAAAGTATTTTCCTAATGTGTGTGTGTGTGTGTGGTGGGAGCCAGGACTGGGATTCCCCCCAGCCTGGACTACATACATTACATACATATTTATAGTTTTCAAGGACAGTGGAAGTGTATATATATATATATATATCTAGGATCTAGTCCATGGAGGACTGCGGCGACTTGACCAACAGTAGCTCCTTGTAGTCACTGTCCCTGTCCTCCGTCTCATTGTCCTGCTGCTCCCGCTGGTCCATGCGCCGGCGCTCGCTGATGATCCGCAGGATGTCTGCCGAATCGGATTTGCTCAATCCGGACACCTCCGAAGGCGGCGGCTTTGCATCGTTAATGTCCAACGAGGCGCTGCCAATGGCAGCCACCGAACCGGAAACGGAACCCGAGCCGGATCCCGAACCTGCAGATCCAGCCACGGGTAGCAGCAGTGAGCTCTCGTCCATGTCAGCATCCTCGTCGAGGGCCTGTTGCTTGAAGAGCTGCTTGGTGCTGCCGCTGCGGCTGCGCGGCGGCATGGACCGGGGCACGGACAGGAGGAGGCTGCTCCGCATGCAACCCTGATCGACGGACTGCGACCAGCCAAAGGGTCGTCGTGGGGCCAAGGGCATGGGCATAGGCATCGGTATGGGCATCGTCGATGGCAATGGCAGCTCCATGGGCATTGTTATGGCCATCGGAGGAGGCGTGGGCGTGGGCGTGGCCAGAGACTGGGTCGGAGGCAGTGGCAGTGGCAATGGCAGGGGCAGCGGTGTGACCGGTGTGGCCACCAGCGAGCTAACCACGGCCAGGGTCTCGCTCTCCGAGGTGTTGTCCAGATGTCCCACATCCGCGCTGCGCACACTGCGTATGTCGTAGGGTACCGCGGACTGCACACCGCCGTCCGACGACTCGAGGCTCTCGAAGATGGTGCCGCGCCTATAGTCGAGGGCGTCTCCGCCCCAGGGCAGCGAGTCGCAGCTGGTGCGCTTGGCCTCCAGGTTGCGTCGTCGGATGGCCTGCTCGTCCAGCGAGCGCTCCTTGGACAGCACGCCGCGCTTGCGGAAGCCGGCGGCCGCGGAGGCGCGACGCCCGCGGCGGCGACTATCCAGCGGCGGCAATGGGAGGCCGGCACCGCCACCAGCCGGCAGTTCGCCCGTTCCACCTCCCGTCGCCGTCGCTGGGCCGCCGAAGGGCTCACCCAACCGGGCGCCGAGCGCCTGAGGCGTCAGCGTGCCGCCCATCTCGGCCAGACTCAGGCCGAGGACAGTCTGTGGCTGGTTGAAGTATTGAACGGTTTGGCGACGGGCTCCAGCTCCAGTACCCGCTCCCGTTCCGGTGCCGACAGCAGTCGCTCCCGCTGCCTGGTTGATATTCGTGGCCGCTGAGCTGGTCAGGCTCGAGCTGGGATTGGCGCCCACCAGTGATGAGGCTGGGAACTTTTTGTCCAACGATGGTGTACTGTAGATAAAGTTCTTGGGGAGCGACTTGACCTTGGCTAGGGGACGCGGGGGAGCGGCCGCCTTGGATTGCGCCTCCGCCAGCTGCTGGCACAGCTTCTGCTCTTGGGCGAACTCCTGTTCGCGCACCAGCTCGCGCTCGAGCTCCACCTCCATGTCGAGCTCGTCTTCCATTTGCTTGTGGCTCTCCTCGAGGTGTTTCATCAGTACAGCCACGACGACGTTCACTAACACGAATTGCGCCATTAGCACGAATATCACAAAGAATATGGGAGCAATAACCGAGCTGACGCAGCAATTGCGTACACAATCGGCCGCGTCATCGCAATTATCCCTCAGCGTGTCCTTCATGATGCCGTTCCAATTGTCGCCAGTCGCTACGCGAAACAATGTGAGGAAAGCCATGCCAAAGTTGGCGAAGTGCGCGTGCTCGCCGAGCCCCTGGCACGGTATCTCATCGGAGCACTCGAGTCGCCCGAATAGCTCCACGCCCAGCGCTGCAAAGATGAAGAACAGCAGGAAAAAGAGTAATCCCAGATTGCCCACCTGGGGCAATGCCTGCATCACGGTATCCAGCAGTGCCCGTATGCCCTTGGCCATCTTGAGCAGCTTGAGGACACGAGCAATGCGCATCACGCGCATCACCCGTATGATGGTCGGGTTAATGGGTATAATCTTGGTCTCCAGCTCCTCGAGCACGATGCCCACGATGGAGAGCAGAACGATGCCCACGTCCAGCTGGTTCCAGCGGTCCTTGAGATACAGCTTCCAGCCGAGGGCCACCAGTTTCATGTTTGCCTCCAGTATGAATACCGCCGTAAAGAAGTAATTGAAGATCTTCAGGGCATACTTCAATGGATTGGGCATCCGATAGTATTCCATGGCCATGGTGACCACATTCAGACCGATGACAGCGGCAATGGCCAAATCAAAGTACTTGGACGTGACCACATTGTGAACGAACATCCGGGTGGGCGTATAGTTGGTATAATATGGTGGCTCATGCATTCGCCGGCGCTTCTTCTCCATTTGCAATGCCCGCTTGGCCGCCCGCCGGATCTTCTCCTCCTTCTCCTGCTCCTCGCGACACCGATGGAAATTCTCCACCACAACGCCCACGAACATGTTCAGGACAAAGAAGCCCACCAGCAGGATGAAGGCAATGAAGTAGAGCAGTCGCCACTCGTTGTAATTGACAATCGGTTGCTGATCAACGCCAACGGCATCCAGTCCAGTGTACATGATGTTTACCCAGCCGTCGCGGGAGCTAAGGACGAACAAGGACATTAGCGCCTTGCCCAGATCGTCAAAGTTGTATTTCCGGTTCGTCCAAACGTTGCCAGGGATGCGACGGCATTCGTCCGCATTGCGCACACCCTTGATATTCTCGCCCTCGCAGTAGTAGAAGGTGCCCTTGAATAGCTGCACGCCTAGGATCCCAAAGATGATGAAGAAGGTGCAGCAGATCAGGACGATGTTGCCGATGGGACGCAGGGACGATAAGAGCGTTTGCACGACTAGTTTCAGACCCGGGGCGCGGTTGATCACCCGCAGCGGCCGCAAGGATCGGAGTAGTCGAAACACCTGCAAGGATACGCGCGTTCCCCAATACAGAGAACGGAAGAAGAAGAGGGAGGAAGAAACGAGAAAGAAATGACAGTTTCCTGTCTTGAATTATTTGTGCTTTACAGTGGTTCGTGCATCGGCTATAGCGGATATCCGTTTGCACTGCTTGCGCGCCCAGGACGAAGCCAAGCAGCGCCACTGGGCAACATGTAGTAAGCATGAAAGCAAGAGTAGCAACGGTGAAAGGTGATTAAGTTAATTTGTTACATTTTATTAATTTCAAATCAGTGTTACAACAGCTTCAAAATGATCTCTAAAAGAAAGATAAATCAACTGTAAATATTAAATGCAAATAGAAATCAGGTTTCAAAATAAAACTTTGCATGAGAACTAAAGCACAAAACAGGTGAGCTTTATTACAAAATAAAACAAAAGCAAAACTGATAATGAAACCAACTTTCATTTTCAAAACAACAAGAAAGTTATGGTCAACATTGCCTGAACAACAAAGCAAGGCCAAGTGAACTGGAATACTGACAATTCAAAATGAAGATGAGTATAAAGCGAATGGATTTTGGGGTATCATTTAAATATATAATTTTATATTAACTATAGATGAGTAGGTTTTTTTTTTGGGGTAGGCTTGGACTGACACTGGCTCTGGGATAGATATAGGGGTATGACACTAACTAAGATAACTACTGACCACATGAAATCTTTGAAATTGAAGGCTGAAAGAATTATAGTTGGAAAGGAAGTTTGTATTTAAATTTAGGGCCTTATTTATATAGCATCAAGTGTCATATCCCTATCAACATTATTGGAATGAAGGTAACAAATAACTATTTACAATTACGCAATGAAGGCGAGATCAACAGGATACTTAAATTTTGAGGGGGATTTTATATAAAATTTGTATACAAGTTTTTTTTTTTTAAGGGGTGAGAATTGGGGATTTTCTACACACACAGAATAAATGGTGAACGCAAATTGGATTTTTTGTTTTGCATTTGTTTTTGCTGATTTAACGCATATGTCAGCGGAAATTTACCTGAAGGTTTCAGATCGATATACAATATATATATTTATATAGAAATAGAGAGAGAGACCCGATTTAGATAGGAAACCAAAACGAAAGAGTTTTCGGAAAGTGTTTCATCACAAAACGTATGTGTGGATGTGTGTGTGTTTAGGTGTGTATATGTATAAGAGAGATAGAACATTGAAAGACAAAGAATGCCAATCAGCAGAGAAAGAGAGATAGAAGACAGAGACCAGAGATAGATAGAGAGAGAAAGAGGGAGAGGAAGAGCTCTAGGGCGAAAGAAAGCGAGCAGTTTCGATTTCGGCTGTTGGGCTTATCGATAGACAGAGCGATAGCGATAGCAAATATAGCTTTTCTGATCCGCGTGCGCAGCGCAGCAGCCATATTATCACACATATCAGTTATATTCTATATATAATGGGCGTGGTCGGATCTGGGCGTGGTTCTTGGCAGTAGCAGTAGCTGTTCTGGCTGATTTTGATGGTCTGCGCTGGTGGTAAATCGCTTGTAATCTGAAGATCGACTGCTGCTGCGATTAGATACCTGTCCCGGTGCCGTACTTACCCTTAAAATCCCAAATATCCTTGGACTCGATTCGCTAATCAGGGACATTAACAAATCAATTATGGAAATGGTAACCAAAGATCCGTCCATTATATTCCAGCCGGAGGTGAAGTAGGCATCGTGGCCATAAAACATGCCAGTGGCCACCACCTAAACGGATATACATGTATATTAGTCTTAATAAAACAAAAGGATTTATCTGAGAGACAGAATCCAGACCTTGATGAACATTTCGACGGTGAAGACAACGGTGAACACGTAATTGGCTGTGGCCAGGAACAATCTTTCGGTGCTGGTTGGAGGGATGTTTGGTCTTTCCATCGCCAAGGTGATGCAGTTGAGCGCAATAAAGAGCAGGACCACGTTGTCGAACCACTTTTGGTTGACGAACCACGTACAGATTTGCCGGAACCTGCAGCCCATCGAGAACAGAGAGAGAGATGAGAGTAATGGGAGCAAGGTGAGAAAGTTCAATCAGGAAGGAGAGATGTAAAAAACACCTAAAGGACATACACCAAACAAAGTTCGAAATTGAATTTTCCGCTCGGGGGGAAAGCGAACGGAAAACTGAGAGCAGAAGAGATTAGCTAAAGGGTTTAATCTTTGATTTCAAATATGTATCTCAAAGATACTTGGGAGAAAGAGAGATGTATCTCAAAGGAAGTTAGGAGAAACAGAAATGTATCTTTAAGATAGGTGGAAAAGGGAATTGTATCTCAAAGTAATCACACTTGGAGACTTAAAGAGTTTGGGAGGGAGCTTAGGAGCTTCTAAGACGCCCTTGAAGCCAGTTTAAATCATTATCTCATTTGTATTTTCAAGTATTACACGATCCGTTCTATGTTATATTAAAGTAACTGAAAGACCCACCTATTGTCCTCGGGGAATATGTATAGCGAGTAGTCCTCGCGCTCGGTGGTAAAATGCTTTGGCGTGAGCTGCTCGATGAGCATTCTCAGTTTCGAGACTCGCTCGCCACCATGTGGCACCATGGAAATGGAATGTGGCTGCATCGCCAGCTGCTGCTGCTGATCCTTGGACAAGCGGTGGCCGCCGGATTGCTGATACTGCTGTTGCTGTTGCTGCTGCTGCTGCGGACTTGCCGAGGAGAAGGAGTCCTGCCGTTGCTGGAGCAGCTGCTGCTGGTGGAGCTGCTGCAGCTGCTGCAGTTCCTTCTCCTCGAGCCGCTTCTTCAGATTGTAGTGACTGATGGAGTTCTTGCGTTTATCCCGCGCCTCCATATACTGCTGCAGCATGTTGTCCGGATCATTGAGATTGCCATACGACTTGTTCCACTTGTCTAGGTCCATCTTGGAGTTCGTGTATGACAATGACTTTCGATTGGCCTCCAGATTGTGTAGATTCAAATGCGAGGTCTTGCTGAATGCCAGCTCAATGGAGCTCATCCGACGCTGTCCCGATCCGGGTCTCAGTTTGGGCGGCTGATTGAGGTTCTGGTAAACCTGTGAGTTGAAGATGCAGGCCGAGGCGCGCCGGCTGCCAGCTCCGTAGGCCCCGACGGGGCCGCTGCCGATGCTCAGAGTGTTGGACAGCCGACGGATTGAGTTCTGGGGACTCAGACGGTTGGTCTCCTTGGTACCCAGGGCCGACGAGGAGGAGGTGCCCGCCATTGCCATGTTGCCGCTGCGCAACAGGCAGCTATTGTCGCTGCCATTATTCAGATGGTGATGATGATGAGGATGCTGCTGCTGCTGATGCTCCTCCTCCTCCTCCTGCATCTGGGCCTGGCCATCTTCGAGGGTCGAGGATGTGCCAGGCTGTGGGCGACGCTTCTTAGAGCTGCTACGACGGAAGCGCTGCTTAAAGCTACCACTGCCAGTGGACAGCTGTTGCTGGGCAGGCGGCGGAGCCAGAGGCAGGCGCTCGCTTGAGGAACTGCCGCTGGTGGAAGCTCCAGTGCCACCGGAGCAGGGACTCGGGCCCACGCTCACATCGTTGAGACTGTGGCTCTGACTCTGCGCCTCCGCCGTGGACGAGATGGTGGGCACATAGATGGGCGTGGCAGCCGCCGTCGAACTGGAGCTCTTTGAGATATCATCGATGATCACACTGTGCATGCTGGTCGAGCTGCAGGCTCCGCTGCCTCCCGCTCCGGAGCCCACGCCCATACCCATGCCCATGCCCATACCCAGCTGGCTGGCATTCAGTATGTTTAGGGGCTTGTGGGCCAGCACCGGTGACGGCGGGATGAGATCGATGGAGGGTATGCCCTCGTCCAGACTGCGCTGGCCGCCACTAAAGATATTTGGCGGTCTCAGCAGCGTGGGAGATGGCGGTGGCTGCGGCTGTGTGTGTGAAAGGAATACATTAGCAAAGAGCATAAGGGACACAAAGGACTGCAGGACTTACCTCAACGTCGCCCCACTGACGGAAGCTCATGCCCGGCTCCAGGGTGGTGCTGGGCGAATCCTGCGGCGTGGCCGCCGTGGTGGTTATAATCGGCGGATCCCGCACCAGTCGCATCTTGGAGAGACGCGATGCACCGGACTCACTGCGCCGGTCCTTGATGGAGTATGTCTGTGTGCAACGACAGGTGGTGTTGGTGGTTTCACGTGTCAAGTGTATATGTTTAGGATGGGGCACCCATGGAGTGCTGCGCTCTGTTTCGGCTCTTACCTTTTTGAGGCCGCCGCGCGACTTTCCATGAGCACCTTCCTCTAGCGGGCCCAGCTTGCCACCCGCCTCTCTGTCCCGGTCTCGATCACGGTCTCGATCCCGATCCCGATCTCGATCCCTGTCCCGCTCCCTCTCGCCAGCGGAGGCGGCCGGAGGCGTAGCAGATGAGGCGGGCAGTTCGTTGATCTGATAATCCTGGCTGGGCTGCAGCAGGCGCTGGCGGTGCACGTTGCTCTTGGCCTCGATTATCAGCTCCGCGGAGTCCTGCAGCTGGGGGACGGTACCGGAAGAATACAACTCTGGCCGCTCGCAGGCATACACTCACACCCACACACACACACACTCAAAGGCATGCAGCATGCAACACATACAGACACACACTCAGGCTCACTGGAGGAGAGCAGGAGGAGGAGAAGGATCCCCGCCTGCAGCACCACTTACCTTGCGCACATCCTCCGCCGAGCGCCAGCGGTTGCGCACCTCATAGTAACTGTCATTGGTGGTCGAGGAGTCGGCCTCGCTCCGGGACTCATCGTACATACCATCGCTGTAGTTCTCGGCCAGCGTCTCCTCGCGCAGTTTCTTAACCAACTCGCGCTGTTCGCGCTCGCGACGTTCATTTCGCTGAGGGAATCAAAATTTCAAAATTAGACTTTCTCGTCAACGCGACGTGGATCTTGGAACGTGGATGGTCTTGGTCGTAGTCTTGGTCTAGGTGGGTCTTGGGCGGATGGACGGATGTTAGCCAGTAGCGTGGACGTAATCGTAAACGTAAACGTAAACGTGGACGTGGACGTGGACGTGGACATGGACCCTTCATTGCTGGCTTCCTAGGTCCGGTATCACGATGGATTGGTTTGGAGGGTAACGGAGACGCGACTCTTGCCATGCTTCATATTGTGATATTGATGGTTATAGTTTACCAAATAAGTAAGTATATCTATCAATAGTCTCGTGAAAAAATAAAAATGTATGCAAAATTACGGAAAGATTCTTTTTGTTAACGGGGTTAATGGTACGTATACGTTATATTCTATGTTGGTTGCTGAAATATTCCGTAAACGTAATTTTATCATAACTCGGTCAAAAATGCATTAATTTTCAATCGGAAACCTGTTCTGCGCAAGTTTTAATTATTTTAACAAATCTGCATACTAAATTTTTAAGTTCACGAAAATTAAATTTTTTGTCAATTTTTAAAAATTTTAATGATGTAACCCCTTGTAAAATTTTCAAAATTTGGAAAAATTTTAATTTTGTCCTCACATAGCTAGATCGATTCTCCTGTTTATGCTGATCAAGAATATATATGGTTTATAGGGTCGGAAATGATTCCTTCATTGATTTTTAAGCCTCTGACTGAAACTATAATCCTCTTCAAGGGTGTAAAAGTGATAAATTAATTAAAATTATAATCTCCTCAAGCGGTATGAAAATGATAAATGAAACTATATCCCAGTTATAAAATAAATCGCTAAAAGTAACGCTATTTTTAAATATTTAATGGCAAGAGTATCCTGGGTAATGCAATGATACGTATACGTGATATTCGATGTTTGTTGCTGAAATATTACGTATACGTAATTTTTGTATTGGGTTCCAAAGTTTAAAAAATCCATAACTAAGCCAAAAATGCATTAATTTTAATTCAGAAAGCTGTTCTGTGTTAGTTTTTGATAGGTTAATAAATCCGCATACTCAAAAAAAAAATCCAAATTTTTGTCAATTCTGGAAAATTTTAACGATTTAACCCCTTATAAAATTAAAAAAAAAAAAAAATGGTTAAAATTTTTTTTTACCGAACACGGCCAGAAAGATTCGGCTGTTAATGCTGATCAAGAATATATATGATTTATAGGGTCGGAAATGATTCCTTTGCCTTCTATTAGGCTTCTGACTGAAAATATAATACTCAGAAAGTGCAAAAATATAGGTATATATTATGCGTCTAAATAATGATCCCCAATATCTTCAATATCAAATTTCTGAAGCATGGCACGTGTATAAAATCAATACGTATTAATTTCTAGAGTAGAATCAAATGAATTCTTTTGATATATTTATTTATTTACTTTTTAATTTTAAATAAAATGCGCGACCAGTCTAGGAGGGTATTTGAGGGGGACCAGGCATGGGACAGGGGGATTGTTGTTTGTTGGCAAAACTCTACCTCTGAACTGAATCCCTCAACCAAAATGGCCACCAATAAATTAAAGAGCACATAATTGCCGAATGTCATTAGGGCCACAAAGTACAATGCGGCCCAATGACTTGTCTTTTCCATTCCGTTGAACAGCACGACGTTCCAATCCTCTTGCGTTAGAATCTAAAAACATTTTTGTTGTTTTTTTTTTCGTTTTTTGTTTTTGTTGTTGATTTTTTTGAGTTTTTGTTGGAGTTTTGGAGTTGTAGTAGTAGTAGTTGTTGTTGTTGTTGTTGATCGGTGGCGGTTGCAGTGGCGGGCGGCAAAACGTGGTGCAGATATAACATACATACGCATGGATATACATATGTCGTGAGACACGATATCGATATCGATACATATCGAAAGAAGCGAAAGAAAAAAAAGAACGAAATACGAATAAACAAATTTTGTAATTTTGTCATTGTGGCGTTTAGTGGCAAGTAAAGTAAAGAAACGTAAGGAAAGCAAGTACATAAGGCAAAGTTAATAAGTTTATTTAGAAACACGAAATATGCCAAAAGACAGACAGACAGAGAGAGAGAGAGAGAGATATAGAGAGCAGTATAGAGAGATAGAGAGAGAGAGCAAGAGATAGAGTAACGGCAAACGGTGTTATATTGCATATATATATTGTGTATATGTAGTGGTCACATATTAGTACCACATACACGTACATATAGCATCATAGGGTGGTTCTCAGTGATCGGGAAACTCTAGGTTTTCAATCACCTTCGGGTTTTCACATTAACTCAGGCGCATACGTGAAATAAGCGGAACTTAAAATATATATTATAAATCCTGAAAGGACTGACACAGGGTGATAAATATAGGTTAGGCCAAGCCGGGTTCCACAAACGAAAGCAAATAATTATATCAGGTGTTTCTGGAGTTCTCTTTATTTCATAATTATTAAAATTTAATTAAGAATGTTTCGAGATATGGACACTACCAGGAACACCCTTGAAGATATAAGAGAGCTTAGAGATGGCAGACCAAGCTGAACTTGACCTAAAATATATATAGGCAGTGGGCTGCTCGAGCCGATTTCAAACAATAATTCGTGGTGTGGCATACATAACATAACACAAAAAGCAAAATAAAAACTAAACCAAAACTCGAAATTAGGACAAAAAACATATACACGCTAGAAGCAAAGCCAAAAGCAAATTATTTACGAGAAGCGGCAAAAAAGTCGCGGACTAAATCAAAGAGCAAAAAATTGGCGCACAAAAAAACTCTTGCATAGAAATTTTTAAAAGAAACTTGAATATTTCATTAAGTTTTCTCTCTGTACACAAGGTGCCAATGGAGTTTTCTATTTCGTTTTTATATTTTTTTTGTTTTTTTTTTTTTCTATACAGTACGAATGCGGTTTATAGAAGAAGCAAATTAAATGTATATTCGTTTTGATTTCGGTTTTTTTTTGTTTCTAAACTTTTGTGGCTGTACATTTGTATTGCGCATAAGCAACTTTAAATATATATATATTAATATATGCATAAGTAACGCTTTTTATATAGCTTGCTTAGCAACGGATTGTCAAACTGATTTAGGGCTAGGTGGATGGAGGAAGATAGCAAGAGATATAGGGATTTAAGCAGCAGCAGCGGCAGCAGCAAATTCAGAAAATAAAGACTTTCGTTTCCTTTTCAACAAGCCAACGGAAGCAACAAACAAACAAACAAACAAACAAACGAACGAACGGAAAACTTAAATCAAATATATACATTTTCAATGAGTGTGCAGGGGTTTGTGTGAGTGTGTGTGTGTGTGGGTTGTGTGTGATTTGAAAACAGGTTCGTAAACTGATTCGAAAATTGTTTCGAAAAGCTGAAAGCCAAAAGCCAAAGGCAGAGGCGAGTCAGGGTGAGAATATCCCAAAAGCATGCAACAAAATTTGGAGCATTGGCGTTGTGAGAGTGTATGTATGTGTGAGAGAAAGGGAGCGAAAGAGACAGACTGAGACGGAAACAGAGCCTGTAACATTATGTTACAGGTACATTTTACATTATTTTTTCTTCTTAGCATTTCGGTATTTTTAGTTTCAGTTCATCTTCAGTTTAATTATTTCAGTAAGAAATAAATAAAAGTATTGTCAATCAAATGACATTGGACTCTGCACCCATATCAATTGTAATCCATTTACATTATATTCTGGGAATCTTGTTTCCTTTTTCCAATGTTCAGGAGATATGGTTCTTGTGTAATGGTTTAAAGCGTGTGTTTGTGTTTAATTCTACTTCTACAATTGCTGGCATCTGAATCGAAACAAAATCGAAAATAAAGTGGAAACAAAGCTGATCAAGAGAGAACTCAAGGAATACAATCAACTGGATAATTGTTTAATACTTAGATAAGGCTAGGATCAGGATAACGAAAGTGAAATCAAATCAAAGAGGACAAGAGGAGAGAGAGTGAGAGAAAAAGAGCAGAAACTAGGAACTGGGAACTTTTGTGGCTATACGTGAGAAATCGTTAAATACTTTGTCATAATCACAAGAATTTCAGAATGGTTTTACAGGTAATATTGTTGTGGCTGTTTGTTTAAAAGTAGTAGTGGGGTATAGTGGGAGCCTTGAGGGAAATGGGGTACTTGGGTTTTTGGGTTCGGTAGTTTATTTGCTGTTTAATTGTTCTTACTTGGAATACTGTGACTGTGGCCCATAATATGTTGTTGAAGTGTTTGCGATCGCACTCGCATTGCGGATGTCGGCTGATTATTTCGGGACACGTGCACTCGCGTTCGAGTCCGGATTCGTCCAAAAATTTACAAAACTTACCGCCAAACAGATACATGCCGAGTATGCTGCAGGTTTATATATATGTTTTATATATACCGTATACATATGTATTTATTTATAGAGTCATAGATGTGTGTCTGTTATCATAGTTCATTAATGGCTATATAAACTGGTTCATAGATATATATATATATATATATATATATAGAGATAGAGAGCTGGGTTCATATATATATATATTATGTAGATATAGTTGCGATTCTTATATTTAAGGATATAAACGAGTGGGTTCAGCTAGAGGTCCCTGTACAGATATATCCAGGTGATTTAATTATTGGCAGAGAGAATCGAGACTATAGTCTCGTCTTCACTGGGATGCCTGGGAATCTTTTGTTCTCGAAGGAGGTTCTGTTCTGTCTGTTTATATACAGAGTGAGATTTATATACACATATTCAGAGAGAGGGGGACCTTTTCTTTATTTTACAATAGGTCGTGGGTCCTTGGAAACTTTCTTTCTGGATGAGTTCTGAACTCACCGGAACTCTACGACGGAGAATCTGTATGTGTGTGTTTGGCATGTACGTATATGATGTGCGTGTGCCTGGGTCTCAGGTTCAGGGGTCTGGGGCTCGAGGGTCAGAGGGGCTTAGTTTACAGTGGGATTCGGTTGGTTATGCACGTTTTGTGTGTCACATGTGTGTTTATGTGTGTGTGCGTGTTTTGAGGAAGAGACAGAGACAGAGAGAGTTCTCTTTTCAGAGGGTTTTGTTGGGCGGAGTTCTATACAACTTAGAGTCTAGAATAGCATATGGACTAAGGATAGATATATTACTTAGACATAGGACATAGAGCAAAGAGTGACAAAAATCGAAGCGTAAGAAGAGCACATGATACAGACAGTGATACAGAGAGAGGGAGAGAGAGAGATAGAGAGAGAGAGTAAAAGAGAGTGACAAACAGTGTGTTCTTTCGGTGGTGTATGCAGAGTGTTCGAGTCAAGGCAGATGCTGGATGCAAAAAAACACAGAGTTCTATATATCTATAGTATACTTAGCTAAACATACATATACATATGTACATCGGATCGATCATGCAAAGCGCAACAAACTCGAACGGAAATGCTTACCTGGTGCAATGTACATCACACAAATTCTTACATTCATACATTCATTGAGCTTATATGGACATGGCTGGTGCGAGGATAGAGCACTCGCTCTAAATACTCAATATATTCACATTCTCAGATGAAAACTTCGTAAACGAACGACATGCGGATGCGCGCTGCTTGCTAAGGAACTTGAAACCAGTAACGATAACGGGAATGGCAACGGTAATGCCAACGGTATAAGGCTAACGCTACTAACACTAACATAGTAAGGCAAAGGTTATTGAGAATCGGCCATCGTTAGTCGGTAATCGATAATTGATAATCGCAACGGTCAACGCATGCATGCCAAATCAAGAGTCTTAACCGAAATGAAGATCAAAGAATACCACACTCAATTAGAGACACACCACAAATTAGTGCGAGCGACGCCTGGCAAATCGAAATGCATATTGTTACCAAATCATAAAATCATAAGCGCTGTGTGGGTGTAAGTGATCCTTGAATCACTCATACACACACATGCGCGCACGCACACAAGTAAATGGTTAGACAGACAGACAGACAGAGACAGAGGGCGAAAGCGACAGTAAGACAGTAAGGGCAATAAAACGTCACGATAGTTATCGATCGAGGCGGAAATCAAACGGTTAATCGAATTGAAACGGAAGCGGAAATCAAAGCGAAACGAAAAATGTAAGACAGAAGGCGGAAGAAAGCAAAATGCTTAACGTATTTCTTCTCGGGGGGATTTATCGGAATTTATCTTTTTGGTTTTGTTTTCATTTTTGCTTCATATCATTAATCATATAAGTTGCAGATTATGACGTAACATTAGGAGTAGTAGTAGTAGTAGTAGTAGTAGTAGTAGTAGTAGTAGTAGTATAGATATTTATATATATATATATAGGTTTACATAAGGTATAAGGCTGATAGCAATGGGTCTACCTGGAACACTGTGACGAGCGCCCAGAGCAGGCTGTCGAAATTCTTACGATCGCAAATCATCTCTCCGTTAATTTTCTCGCAGAATTTACATCCGAACAGATTCATGCCGAGTATACTAAAGTGATGGTTTGGTTTTGTTGATTTATAATATGATATATATAGATTTTTTGTTTTTTGATTGTTTTTTTTCGATAATTTTTTAAATATATATTCTTATATATTTTTGTGTTTTGTTTTTGGGTTGTGTTAAGCATACAGTTTTAGTTTTTAAGTATTTATTTTATTTTTCGGTTTTCATTTTATTTGATTATTATAGGTTTGGTTTTTAGTAGGTTTTTATTTTAAATTGTGTGGAGTGTGACAAAGAGAGAAGAGAGAGAGAGAGAGACAAAATATAGAAAGAGAGAGAGATAGTTAAGAAAGAAAGAGACAGAGTGTGAGTGAAAGATAGACAGATGGAGAGAGAGAGAGAGAGGTGTTCTTGTAGGCGAGGTGAGCGGCAAACGAATGCTAAAAAGGAAATAAAACACTCAGAAATATGGTGATAGTGATCTCTTCAAGGATCAAGGCTCACCCAAAGGACTGGCATCGGACGACGGAATGGAACGTAATGGAAACGAAACAAGGATACAGTTCCTGTTACAAGGAGAAGCTAAAGCCTGCGATTAATGGGAAAGAATTGGTCCTTTTTCTTCATTTTGTTTTCAGTTTTTTGTATTTTTGGTTTCAGCTTTCAGGATTTGTTTTTAAGGTTTCTCTTTCGAGTTTATTTTAGGGGGATTTATCGAGTTGGTTTATCGGTTGGCGATGTCGACTTCATTTGCGTGTTCAGCTCCATTTACAAGTTTAATTGGTTCATTATCGATTGTTAATACATGTATATTGGATGTGTTGCATGGAGTTATTTATATATATATTTAATATATATATATATCATATATCATATATATATATATAAAGATAGAGTCTGGTTAGATGTTGGTGTATTTGTTTGCTGTTGGCTGTATTTTAATTTTGCTATTCTAACTACACAAACTCGATTACGTTTACTTTACTTTACCAACTATGTAGGCTAGCCAGCTAATGTGTGTGTGTTGTTGTAGCTGTTGTACTGATTATTCATAGGTTGTGTGAGTATATCAATACGAGTAATCATATATATTTATAGGTATATATAGAGATAGAGAGAGAGAGAGAGTACGGGTATATAAGAGGTATATGTATCAAACTGCAGCGACTGCAACTACACAATAAGTAAGCGTACGATCTTTTTATTTTAAAGGGTATTTTTCTTAATATTTATTTTTCCAAATACGTTTGTTTTCTGTTTGTGTGTTTTGGGGTGAGTGTGCGTGTGCCGTGTCAGTGTGTGAGAAGCTCTGAGCAGCAGCAAAAGCCTTTAAGCCTCAAACCAAGCCGAGCTTGTGTGTCTCTGTGTTGGTGTTGCAGTGGCTGTATTGGTTAACGCTAAAAGAAGCTAGGATACACACTTATTTAATTTGAAATGGAATAAAGCGTTTTTTGGCTAACTAACTAAGCTAACTAATTGTTTCTGTGGCTGATATTGGCATAGTTGTGGCGTGGTGTTTGTGTGGAACTCAACTTAACCAAATGAGCATGATACAGATAGAGATACAGATAGAGATAGAGAGCGACAGTGAAAGAGAGACAGCAATAGAGAGTTGAGAGAGTGAGTGTTGGAAAGAGATTTGAAAAGCCAAGAGAAGAACAAATTCCACAAAAATTGATCAGGAAAGGCAGCGACTTGGTCGGTGCTTAAAATTTGATATCAAATCGATTGTAAGCCGAGCGGGAAAGTGTTAGAAAGAGAGTATATTTTGAAAATATAAAGGGGTATAGCATAAGTCCACTCAATTTGTCCGTGTTTCTCAGTTTTAGCGAGTGTGTGTGTGTTCGAAAGAGTAATGCAAAGTGAACGAGCGAGGAGGTGTACGACAACTATCGGCACTTTGAGGGTTTAGAGAGAGATATAAAGAGGGGTTAACAGGATCGGGATAGAGGGGAGAGAGATAGAGAGATCAATATCAAGTGATAAGGGTTCTTGCTGATACGGATACAAGATCGATTGCTTAAAAAGTTACTCAAACAAGTAACGTCATCTAACTACGATTCTTCAAGATTATCCAAACGTTACTCAGAGACAGTCAGTGAGAAAGAGATCAAGATTTAGAGCTTAAGAATAACAGGTGTGTGAGAAAGAAATCATTAATAGATCGCTTATAGAGAGAGAAAGAGTAAGAGAAAGAGAGACATTTAGGCAAATCTTTACTCATATAGGCAATACTCAAGTGGTACGCATTGGACATTAGAAAATAGGATCGTGTCAAAGGAGCACATAAATGAGGGTTGGGAACAAGGGCTCAAGAGATACGTGTCTGTGTGTTTGATAATGTCATGAAAGGGGATTAATGAGGCGGTCTTGGGTTAATCTTTGGTAGGAATATCTTTTTAAGTTAAACCGAGAGATCACTAAGAATGGGGAAAAAATGGGGAAATTTGAGTCTACTTAAAGTTGCAGCATTACGAACTTAGAAGCTGACAGATAGACTTGAATCTTTCTAAAATTTTAAGAAGCATTAACTTTTAGATCTTTACAAAGTTACTTATATATTGTTGGCCTTGGGAATGATTTCTTTTGGAAAATGGGTTATGAGTTGATGTTCTAATGGCTGGACAAGGTGGATCTGGTGGATCGGTTGGCTGGCGGGATCTGGGGTTTAGCTATGTGGGAAGCAGCTAGTGAGGCGCTAGGAACTGTTAGACATTAGACGACTGCTATGGGCTAACGAAACTGAACTGTTTCTGTTTCTGTGGCTCGGGTTATATTTTGGGTTAGTCACTCTGCTTTGTTGTAGTTTTTTTCTTTTTTTTTTGATTGTTTTGTGCAGGGTCGCGTTTGATAACTGGTGGGCTATCGTTTGTTGATTATATAGAATATTCTTTCTTTTCATCGATTACATTTGTTATCTCCACATTCTTCTTGTGTGTGTGTGTGTGTGTGTTTTGTTGTTTTGTGTGTTATTTTCTTTTCTTATTATTTTTGTGTGGTGTCTGGCTGGGTGTGTTGTGTTGGTTTGTTGTGTTGGTGTTGGTGTGGACTAATCGGCGCGGCGAACTCACCTGAATATAAAGATGAAAAGGACGAGCAGGGAAAAGAAGACAGCCACATTGTCCATGGTGCGCAACATCACGAACAGTTGGCGCCGCAGATTGGGCATAAATCGGACCAGCTTTAGGATGCGAAGCAGCCGGAAAGTCCTTAACACGGACAGACCGGAGCCACCGCCGCCGGTACCATTGCCCACAAACTGTTGGCATATCTCAATGGCACTGCGAGGATTAATTAGTTACAAATCGTAAACACCATAAACCAAATACTTAGCTGAAAAGGACTTTCCTCTCCTCTCACTTACCTAAGGATCACAATGATGCCATCAAAGACATTAAACCCGTTGGCAATATACCGAAACGGACCCTCGGCCACCACCTTGAGCAACATTTCCACGGCAAAGATGCCGGAGAAGACAACATTGCTCGTCTCCACAATGGCGGTTAGCTCTGGCGGCTGGTTGTGATACTCAATGCCCATGGACAGCGTATTAATCAGGATAGCCAGCAGGATGCCCTGCTGAAAGTATTTGTGCTCCACCAGACGACGAATGTAGCGACGCACCCAACTGCAGACCCTCGACAGGCATCGATACACTGCGATCAGGCATCGCGTTGTCGGTGACCTATGACGCTGGCCGCGCTCATCCAGCGGCGACAGAGCGTTCTGGTAGAGATCATAGCAGCAGGCATAATCCTCCATGTAGTTGCCGGTGGGAGCATGGCTGTCCCGTCCACGGGACTGCGAATGTGCCTGCCTGGCCCGACTGCCAGTATTTCGGCTATGACTGGTTGTATTGTTATTATTATGATGATGATGGGAGCCATGCGATTGCTGCTGATGATGGTGCTCCTTGCGCCGATGGTTGGCGGTCTGGGTCTCACCGGGCACAACAACGGCCGACACGGTAGCAGGCTCCAGACTCTGGGCAGTTTCCGTACCCGTTGTGGCCACCACTCCACCTTCGGCAGAAGTCTGGCCCGTCTGATTCTGGCCAGCAGTCAGCGATCGTGGCTTGTGGTGTGCCTTCAAAGCCTCTGCGGTGTGGGGATCACAGCGAGCCAGGGATGTGTAGAAGGACTCCAGGGTACTCTGACCCGTGGGCAGGGCCGCCGAGAAGGCCACAGAGAAGGCCAGTAGCTCCTGGCAAGTCATGGCATCGTGAATGCCCAGCTCAGAGCAATCGGCATAGGGATTAGCAATAGTGCCGATGGTTTGCGGTAGATTCACCTGCAAGGAAAGGCACACACAAACACATTTGGGTGGAATCCTTTGGAGAATTGAGATTGTAAGGATCTTGTTACTTACCTGCCAGATGCTACCATCGCCAGCCTGGGTCATTTTCTCGGTGGAAAAGATATTGTTGCTCTTCTCTGTAGTTCCACTGGCGCTTGGTCCGCCACCGCTGACTCCACCACCATTGGCTCCATTCTGATTGTTGTTGCTGCCTCCACCGCCGGTGGTGTTGGATGCCGCCGCTGCTGCAGCCGCTGCTGCTGCTGCTGCTGCAGCTGCCGCCGTTCCTGCCACGGTGGCCACTGTGGTAGCCGCACCGGAGGAGCCACTGCCCACCGCTGTCACCACTGGATCCGCATTGAGGGCAGGCGGTGTGTGCAGGAGCACATACTCGTTGAACATCACCGAGGGCCGGCGACTGGCCGAGGTGGGCGGACTGAGGAAGCCCGAGGTGCACGGGTGATTCTGATGATGGAACAGTAACGGGGGTTATTATTGTTTCCCATGGAGGATATGTTTTACGGGGGATATGAAATGAAGGATAACGTTCAACGCAAACTAAATACCAGCTCTGATTATTGGGAATAACTCTAGCATACTGTACATCGGAGGACTAAAAAGGGTTTTGGTTTAAACGCACCTAGAATTGGAAAAGGGGTCTGTGGGAGCTTCTAAATATTTTTTTATTTATTATCTACTTTTTAGTGCATTACTTCAAAGCTGAGATGAAGTCTTTCAGAAGTATTTCCAATAAGTCAACATCTCAGGGACTTAAATAGGATCTTAATATATAGAACATTATCCAACTATTGGATCTATAATGTATGTCAGTTCTTTTTAATTATAAACCTCTAATTTGTACAGCTTTCGAAACCTAATTCCCTGTCGATTTTAATCCTTTAACACAGCTCTTATATTTAGCCGGCCTTTTTTCGTAGGGGGGACAACAGGACAACACAGCTATATCCTATGGGGGCTTTAATGGGAAACATATGCACATATAGTATATAGATATATAGTATACGGGTCGAGGTGCTGTCTCCGCTCACAAACGGCATTTACATACGCAAACAAAACGAAATGATATAAATAATTAATGGGCATTTTGGCAGGACAATGGGCTGGAACAATGGTCTACGGATTTATCAATGGGACAATCAATTCGCTATATGTACAACCTATATACATATATATGTTTATATAGACAATAAAAGAAGCTATTCCAACTGCACTTAATATGCAAACGTATCGTTTATATCTACAATTTGTAAGTGTTTTTTTCTTTTCGGTTCGTTACATGGGCTTTAATGGGAATTGCAATTGTCAGGTTTACTTGTTAACCGGCTGAATGCCCTTGCCGATGGTCAGGTCAGGACATTGCCTACTTATTGGCAGGACATTCAGACTTCGGCGAGGCCGAAGCTAAATGTTTTGGGCTAATTTATAAATTATGCTAGATGCTGGCATTTTATACATACTATTTTACTGGATTTTTGTATATTTGTTTTGTTCAGTACCTTGCCTAAATTTCCCAACTGCAGCTATTTGCGAGGTTTAACATAACAGATATATGAGAGATTATTATTTATTAATTGTACTTAATTTTTATTTAGTTGTGGCCTCAAAAGGTGGTCTGTTTTTTGGGGAATTTTGAAATATTCATATATTGATTTGGTCTTTCTGTGGCTGTTAATCTTTACTGTTTTTTATTTTATAGATTTATTTTTGGTTTCGAATCGCTTGGGTGTTCTATTGAGTGGATCTGGGCTCTGATTGATATATCGCTTGATTCGAATATATACTCGATTATACTCACAATTAACTGATCAGAGTCGATCATTTGCTGAGGGAACTTGAGTAGTATTGTCTTCTGCTCGGCAGCACTACCCTCCGGCTTTAGTTGATGGTGAGCCGAACCGGATCCCGAGTTGGATTTCTTCAGGGAGGAGCTTCGGGGCAATCCATCGGGAGCCAACGATTGCTCCGTGTTGTCCGAGGAGGAGTGCAACTGCTGCTGATGCTGCTGCTGCTGCTGTTGCTGCTGTTGCTGCTGCTGATGTTGCTGCAAATGCTGTTGGTGGTGTGCCGAGGACATGGTCACACTGGCTGCACTACCATTGATACCATTAACCAGTGCCACGGTTGTACAGCTGGGACCACTGTTATTATTGTTGCTGTTATTCCCACCACCGCCATTGTTGTGGCCATTGTGATTGCTATTATTGTTGTTATTATTGTTGTTGTTGTGACTGCTAGCCGAATTAAGCGGCACCATAACGGTAATCATCTGATCCTGAATGCTGGACGGCTTGCGATTACTGTACTTGGGGCACTTGGGATGGTGGCACTTGATACGCGACGGCGAAAAGGTCAAATTATCGGCATTGGGGAGGAGTCCCTCCTTGCGCTGCTGTCGCTGGTACCTGATGTGGTGCAGTGGGTGGTTCCGCAGGTGGTGGTGGTGGTGGTGGTGGTGAGTGGGAGGTGGGTAAGAGTAAAAATTCGATTAGCGACACACATTTCACTGACAGTTCGCGGGGTTCACACACATGTCTGTACACAAAACATCGTGTTCTCTGTGGGGTTCGGGGGATTGAGGGAGAGAGATAGAGAGGTTGGTCATTGGGGTCAAGGGTCGGTTTGGTTCTGGTCGGGTTGGGTCGGAAAATAGGGGGGTGGGGGTTCCTTTGGGGTGGCATTTGCACGTGCACTCTCGTCTCCGTGTTCCATTGTACGTGCGCTCTCATCAGTGTCGGTGCCAAGTGTGTGTGTGTGTGCGTGTACTTAGCCATTAGACAGACAACAATCGCAATTACATAATTCAATCAAATGAACTAAGGACAACGACAGTACAAAAATGCAAATGATCCAAATTAACACGAGTCCCAGCTGTGGATTGAATGTTCCAAAACTCTGCTGGGATCTGTACTGGATGCTCTGTACTAAGACATGGTAATGTTCGTATTTGAGAGAGTTGGAAAATGGGTCAAGCTATCTGCTGTGTGAGGTCACAGGTTCATCAATTCAAGTCGAATGAGCTTTTGAAGTCAGTACTTAAAGAAAAGTTCGTCTTGAAATAATTAAACATTTCTTTTAGAAACAAATTCTTAAGGCATTTCGCTTTGATACATATATATCATGATATATCAGTAGTTCATTCATGTCTTAAAAACTGTAATATATTTATTGATTTTTATTTAGTACAAAGCCACTTAGAGCTCGTTCAAGAGAACAGTATTCCCAGTCAAGTGTCTTGGAGAAAATGCTAATGGATGAGATCTGAACTAATTGTAGTCTATTAACTACCCATGGGGAATGCACTTCTTGTAGTCCTCAGAACTACAATTCTCCTAGCTCTGGTCTAGCTCTAGCTCTAGATTAACACTTTCAGCAATACACATTCATGCCCTGGCCAATAATCTCGCTGTTACTTGGTCTAATACTACACTATGTGCCAGGCTCTGAATCAGATGCAGGCATACAAACAAATTAAAACAACTTAATTTAAATTAAAACAATTCAAGAGGAGAAAAGGATGAACCGAAAACTGAGGAAACCTAATCGGAATAGTCCTTTAAATAAATTTAATAAAGATACATAATTAAAAAGAGAGAACAAAGTTAATTGGGAAATGCATTTTTTTGAGAAAAGGTAACTAAATTAACGAAATATATTAACAAACAGAGAGAAAAATTTATTGAAACTATCCTAAATTAAAATTAGAAAATATTAAATAACAAAATAATGAAAAAGAGGAATAGTTTTCTTTCAATGAAATATATTTTTTTGTTTAGAGAAGTAGACACTTCCTTCATCTTGGATTTTTACTTAGAACTTGTTTTAAGGAAATCGCAATGGATTGGGGAATATTCTCCATTTTCTCTGTTCGAATTTATCCTGAGCTTTTGGCCAAGAGATTTGTGAGTTAACTAATCGCTTTAATGGGTGGAAAATTAATCAATCAAGTGACTAATGCCTAGAGCTTTTACTCGATTTTTCTTTTTTTTAAGATTTTGCGGTTGATGGGCCAAAAAAATACAAACATATTTACAGAGTGAGTTGTTAGGAGATAGAGAGACAAAGACATAGACAGAGAGAGAGAGAGACTTGGGAAGGGAACGGAAACCGGAAACCGGAAACTAAAAGTACGAAAAAAGACATAATTGAATGAAATTAAAAGGTACAAGCAGCATACTTATATAATCTGTACTTCTTTAACATTCGTCTCTTGAAGCGCCGCCACAGGTGAGCAATATATTTCACGATCTCCGCATAACAGGTGGCCGGCTCCGAGTTATTCGTGCTGCTGGCCAAGGTCGATGTGGAGGTGTACCGTGCCCGCTCCTGTCGCATCCGCTCCATTTCCCGCTTCTTAGTCTCCGAAAATTGTGTGGCAATGACGACCAGGCACAGGTTGATCATGAAAAACGAACCAATCTGTGAATAGCAAAGAAAATATCAAAAATAAGTAAATATATATTCGAATGGAAAAAGTTTCGTGAATTGGGTAATAATAGCTTAAACTCATATATAACTTCTAGGAGAGTAAATTGTACTGACTATGAAATACCCTATTCCAACTTGGTTTAAAGAGTAAAAATAAATAAAAATAAAGAATGGTCTTCAACTACTCGCATGGCTAGAAGGACTCCATTTCCACAATTACTGGGTATACACGCAAAGAAGGGAAGGAGCAGGGGAGAGGGTAGAATCGGTTCAGATTCGCGCCGGCAGGTGGCGCTTTGTAGTTGTTGGCAAAGTTTTCGCATTTCCGTTTAAAAGTTTTCGGTTTTCATTGCTGCCAGCGACAAATGCAAACTGAAAGTTTTTGTTCAGCCTTTGTTTATGCCACCCCACCTCTGCTCCTCCCAATATCAACAGCACACCGCCCCCGCTGATGGCTCCTTTGGGAAGGACCTTTTCAGCCAGCCACTTAAATTCAATTAGCTGGGGGATCGGCACCCAGCACCTGGTGGTCAGCGTAGGACTCACCAAGTCCGCCAAGACTGCGATCTTAACAAAAAACTTGAAATCACAAAAGTTCCAATTCCACCAACTCGGCGGATTAGTTTAAAACTAAAGCTGATGGAAAAAATTATTGCATAACCTGGGACAGAGATGAACCATAATAAATTCAAGCCAGAATTTAAATTAATACACTAAGACTATAAATAATAAGCAAGGAAGCTAACTGATTGATTTAAATTACAAATTTCTGTATGCTATTTTTTTGAACAAAGCAAAGTTTAAAAAATTCATATCTAAGCCAAAAATGTATTAATTTAATTTCAGAAACCTGTTCTATGTTAGTTTTTAGTAGAGTAAAAAATCTGCATACTCCATTTAAAATTTTTAAATTTTAAGTTTTTTGTTGATTTTTGAAAATTTGAACGATGTAACCCTTATAAAATTTTGAATAAATCGGTAAAAAAATTGTTTCTTCCGGGCATGGCCAGATCGATTCGGCTGTTGATGCTGATCATGACAATATATAGTTTATAGTGTCGGAAATGATTCCTTCACTGATTTTAAAGCCTCTGACTGAAACTATAATCCGCTTTAGTGGTGTAAAAAAAGATAAATAATTACTGAAAGTATAATCTCCTTAAACGGGTTAAAAATGATCAATTTAACTATATCCCAGTTACAATAAATATCACTGAACGTAGCACTTGTTTAAGATAGTAAAAGGAAAGATTATCCGGGGTCTGGGGGACTATGGTACGTATACGTGATATTCCATGTTGGTTGGGGCAATATTACGTATACGTAATGTTGTATTTGTGTTGGGTTTCAAAGTTTAATAGTTCCATAGCTAAGCCAAAAATGCATTAATTTTAATTCGGAAAGCTGTCCTGTGTTAGTTATTGATAGGTTAATAAATCTGCATACTCAAAAAAAGTCCAAATTTTTGTCGATTTTAAAAATTTTAATGATTATAAAATTTTGAAAAAAATTAAAAAAAATTTTTTTCATCCGGGCATGGTCAGAAAGATTCGGTTGTTTATGGTGATCAAGAATATATATGTTTTATGGGGTCGGAAATGATTCCTTCACTGATTTCTAAGCTTCTGACTGAAACTATAATCTTCCTCAAGAGCTTAAAAAATGTACCAGTTACAAAATAAATTACGAAAAATTATAATTGTCACACTATTATAAAACTAGTTTTAGATATTTAAAGTAAAGAATATCTTGCCAACATAGTTCCTCCAGCAAACAAGTACTATTACTTTTCAAAATGTTGTCCAACTTTAAATTGAAAACATATTTCAGAAACAAAGACCAGGCTTCTAATTTGGTACTCGTGAGACTTGGGGGAAAATGCATAAAACATAAATAAGCAATTTCCCTCCAATAGCCAGTCGGACATAGAGGGAGAGAGAGGGATGGCAACAGGGTCTGAAAACTATTTGCATACCAAAAGTTGTTGGCAACAAGAGGAAAATCATTTTGCTCACGAAATGAGCAGCCACAAAGACAGAGCAAGGAGCAGGAAGCAAGGGGAGAGGACTGAAGGGCGGGTCGAGAAAACTTCAAACATAAATAATGAAATTTTCTCATGTGTGTCTTGTCCTGTATCTGGGAGTCTGAGTCTGTGTTAGTGTCAGTGACAGTGTCCGTGTCTGTGTCTGTGTCAGTGTCTGCCTGTGTGGCATAAAGGCTTTTAATTAGTCCAAGGACACCTGAGCACAAATCCTGCCATGCAAATGACAGCACAACAGACTGGAGTCCACTCGAAGATGGCACTGGCCAAAAGTGGACAGTTGCTGGCCAAGGGAAACTGTGGGGTCTATTTGACTGCAACGGGTGCGGGTGAAGTGGGGAAAAAGTAGGAGCAGTCCCCTGCTGTCGTGTCTGCTGTATGCGTTTGCAACATGTTGCCAGCGCAGCATCAAGAAATTCATAGCATTTTTCGTAGACAAACTTTGGCCGGCCTCTCATCGTCCGCTTCCCCTCCTCCTCCACTGGCCATTCGAGTTGCGTGTGTGGCCATAGTTTAAAAGTAATTTACTTATTTACATTGCCAAATTGCTTTAGCATACTTTCGGCCAACAATTGCCGCACCTCGAGCCCAGCACCACCTTCCCCACTTGCAGCTTCGGCAGCTCAATTAGTCTAGGAAAGTCGGCCTGTGCCAGGTTGAAGCCACTTTAAGCCCTCGGTCCGCAATTAAATATTCAATTCGTGATCAAAGCGAGCCAGACATGGCCTCTGACCCGTGACCCGTAACCCGCTAACCCACTGACCCCCGCCGACCCATCGGAGCACTCACCACAATCAGCAGCACAAAGTAGATCCAATCCCAAAAGCTGTGCGCATCCTGCACGTAATACATTATGTCCGTCCAGCCCTCCAGTGAGATGACCTGCAAATCCAACAAATATTTCACCATAATTAGCGTGTGCTGTACAAAAATATATGTAAATATATATTTTACGAGTGTATGCAAAAAGAGGTATTAAGTTGGGGCAGATGGCGAGTGTTTTACTGTTCACGCCACATAACAATTAGATTGCCTGACAGGATCGGACCACGTCACGTATACGCAATGTGGGACTAAAGCGATGAGGAGCATACAGGTGAAACGAGGACACTGCTTTACTCGAATAAAGTCAAACTTTTGCCTAACTAACTACTAAAACTTAAAGACTTAAAAACACTTGTTCACTCTATTCAAAACTATTAAAAACTAGTTTGAGTTGGATTTTATATACATAGTCTTTTCAGTGGCACAACAATCTCTCCAAGATGAGCATTAATAATGGAGTGCCCCCCCTTTTGAGCCATTTGGGCCACTTAAACTCCATCGAATGCTGGGCAATTCATCACGCCCAAAACTCGACATGCCGAGATCCTAAGCTCCCCCCATGGTCATGAAATCGATGTTGTTGCTCCACTTTCTCATGTTCGAACCGCCGCGCAAATTCGCTATTTGGTTTCATAGCTTAATGTGCACTTGATTTCGGCTTAATTACATCATTTGACCTGCATATCAATTGATTCGCTTGCGGTGTGCGCCATGTAATTGGCGTATCAATTAAGGCCTCGGGCCCCCGAGGCGGAGTCCATTTCCAAGTGGTGGGAGGGCATCCATTTCGGCATCACTTTCGGCATCATCGCAATATCACCCTATCACCATCACCATTTCCCCCGCTTCAAATGGAATGCAAATTTGCTGGCGTTTGTTTTGTTAGTTTAGGGGAAAACAGGGACTAGGGAGTTTTCCTGGGTGTCACTATCGTCCACATCGAATTAGCATGCAACATTTTGTTGTTTCTATTCGCAGATTGACGCCTGTTGCTATTTGTTGAACAAAGTTGAGCGCTAATTGCCAACTCACAGGGAACAAGGAACAAAATTCATTTGTATTTTAGGGTAAGTCAATTGCTAAAAGGATAGGGATCATATATATGGTATTTGAATTGGGAAACTGACAGGCGATCGACCAGGGACTTGTATAGATTTTTAAACATTTGTTTTCCAGTTTGATCCAAGGTAGGTATTTAAACAAATCTTTGCTTTTTGTTTAAGCTTTAAATGTAGTTAAAATCTGTAAGAAAAGTGATTAAAAACTCACCAGAAATATGGCCACCCAGGCCATACCGATGTTATCAAACGAAATCGTGCCCTGAAAGGGATTCTCGCCTTTCGGCATACAGATGGTATAGTACTGGTTCCAGTTGACGCAGGACGTGTTCGTCGGCTCATTCAAGTCAAACAACTTGGCCTCCTCTGCGGTGGATGAGCAGGAGTGCCAATGGAGGTACAGTTGCCGTTTTGGTACAGAGAAAAAAGAGAGAGAGAGAGAATGAGAAAGAGAGAGAGAGAGGGATGAAAGCGGAAAGCGTATTGTTGTAATTGTGATTGCTTCGGTTACTCGGGCTGTCATTAAGCGACAGCGAGAGGGCAATTAAAAATGCCATCAAATTTGATTACAGCGCAATTTGCACTTCATTTAGCTTTAAAGTTAATGTAATTGAAGACGACCGGGGATGAGGTTGGATAACGAGTTGGGGATGGGAATTGGTCAGGATATAAAACTTACCATTGCAGACCAGTGAGCCGATGCGATATGGCGGAAAGTTGCCACAGAGATGCATACCCGAGTCGTTGGGCGTGGAGCAGATGTAGTCTTGATCCTTGGAGAATTCATAGTACTGCGACACGCTAGAGGGTGTGATGTGTACAGAGAGAATTAGGAGAGTCATGGGATGCGATCAGTCAGTATAGATTTGAAGAACATCCAGCACACAAATAAACAAAGTGTACGAAAGAGAAGTTCACACCAGATGGAGAGATAGAGAATTAGAGAGAGAGAGAGAGAGAGAGAAAGAAACAGAAAAAGAGAGATCACACGTAATAGTGAGAGTGAGAGTGAGAGAGAGAGAGAGGAAGAGAGAGAGCACAAAGAGAACAATTAATAATCGTAATCCGTATTCGTAGTTCCATTTAATCTGTATGTTCAATGCGTATTGTATAGACATTTACATCAATATTTACGTAGAGAGATGTGTACAAATAAATAAAGCAAGTATATGATCGGATAAGTCAATTTTGATGGTGCTGAGTTTCGTGTCTTTCACTCACGCTCACGCGTGACTCAAAGCTACACGAGAACATTCAACTAATTAGAGTAAGAGACAGAGAATGCCAATTTGTGAGGCAAAAGAAAAGGCTAATCAGAACTAAACAGAGAGTGACAGAGTGAGACACGGTTGACCAATGCAAGACAGAGACAGATAGTGAGCGGGTGAGCAGGTGAGCGAGTAAGCGAGCTAGCGAGAAAGAGCGAGAGCAAGTGACAAGCGAGCGAGTAAGAGGAAGTGGCAAGCGCAGGAGAAACAGAAACAGCTTTCAGGGAGTTAAGCCTGTAAACGGCTTAAGACAGAGAGAGAGAGAGATAGAGAGTTGAAGAGAAAGAGACAAGAAATAGATCTAGCTAGCAACAGAACGAGCGATTAAGCAAGAGTGCTGTTAGCGCAAGTTAGCGGAAGCTACTTGCTCAAAGCCAAAGTACAGTGAGACACAACTGTACCGGAAAAGCGAGAGTGAGACATAAGCGAGCCACAAAGCGCAAACTAACAAAAAGAAAATACAAAAAAAAAAACCAAGAAGAAGGGCAACAAAAGAGTCAGAGGCATTAAAAAGAAGAGGGGGTAGAGGAACCAGGGACTGGGACTGGGATTGGGACCGAGAGGAAAAAGACTACACACTCGTAAAAAAGGAAATGAAAACGCCAAAGCAATTTAAATTAAACGCGCAATGTTGCCACAAAATGGCCGACGCCGGAAACTCGCGACTTCAAAAAATGTCTACCTCAACCAAGTGTCAGCGTGTGCTGTGTGTGCTATGTGTGTCTCTCTGTGGCGCTTCGCAAGTGTGCCTGTTTGTGTGCGTCCCTTCTGCCCGTGGTATGCGTGTGACAATAAAATGTGTTTAATATGCACGTGCAAGCACGGCACTGACAGCAGGGCATACCGGAAACGGGGCCGAGAGGAAGTGGAGACACCGCAAGTGAATTTTGAAATATTCTCAGCTCGCATTTTCTCTACGTTTTTTTTATACTCCCACCTGTTTTTTTTTATTTATTTTTGCACAGTTCGCAACAATTCGCACGCTTCCCAATGTATGCAAAACTTTATGGAGTTGTATATGTATGTGTGTGTGTGAGTGTGAGAGTATGGTGTATGTAATTATTGTACTTGATTCGCTTGTGTGTGTGAGAGGGAGGGGTAGCGAATGGAGCAGGGCAGCTTTAAATACCTTTGCAATAGAAACTGATGGTTTTTCCTGTAAAAAGAGTTCAGCTTACAAGAGATACACGTACATACGCACACACAGACAGCAAAGGGGGTTAGTGCGGGTATAGTGTGTGCGTGTGTGCGCGTGTGGCTGCTGTGTGTGTTTACCGTACTGCAGCGTACTTTGTGTGTTTGGTGTCTCTATGTGTTCGTGTTCGAATTCGTGTTTGTGTGTGTGTGGACCCGAAATGTTGTTTAACTTGGTGAGTAAACAATCAACAAATTCAAGAGAAAAATAAAAAAAAGTGCTGGATTGTCAAGGATTTTGACTCTTAAATACCCAGCATTTGAATTCAAAGCAATTTTAAGTGTTTGCTATCGTCTAAGATAAGTGTAACTTACTAAAGTGCATTACAAAAAAAAAAAAACAGAAATAATAAAGCAAATGGGTTTATGATATGTTTCTTTAATTTTATCAAAACCTCTCTTGACTTTACATCATTTATTTATCATTTTAAAGGTATCAAACCTTATGAAGTTAATTTCCAGATATTATAGGAATCTGCTTTTCTTGAAATGAAATCAGAGGGTGTGGAGGGTGCTTTACTGCTTTTAGAACCAATGGAAACGAACAAGTATCAATATTAATTTCCGCTCAACTAGATTATTAATTAAAGTTCGCTAATTCTGCAGTAAACTTTTGCATCGTTCGGATGGAAATTGGAATTGGATAGAGCATTATGCTAAATCCATCGCCAGTGAAAGCAGCTAGAAAACACTTTTCGGGTTGGTACATACATATATGGATGTGTGCTGTTGCTAATTGGTATGCTTGTTATTTTGGCTGTTTGTGTGTGTACTCTACGCTCCCGAAACATGTCATATTTGTGTGTTGAACCCCAAAAACAATGATGCGAACGAAAACAGAAAATTGCAAAAACGAAACCCAAAATTTTGGCAAATGCAACGCAAACAAACACACAGGGGCAGCCCTGCCTCTTCTGACCCCGATTCCCTACATAGTACATATATATATATATATATATATGGGTGTGTGTATTATAAACTGTATGTGTGTGTGTGCGTGTCGGTGTGGTTTGGTTGGCAGTTGAGTTGAGATCAGGTTCAAGTGGTGCCACACCAACAACAGCAACAGCAACAACTCTAGACGACGACAACAGCAACAGGAACAGGAGCAACAACACAAAATAGGGGAAAGGGTGAGCGTACATCAAGTGAGCTGGCTAAAAATATATGAGTACTATAAAAATATATGGGATATACGAGAACGAGAACGACAAGGGGGTTCTAGAAAAGCAAATAAAATGCGGCTTTGGACGGTTTAAGACAAGCAGTTAGTTTAACTGGTACAGTTGTGCTCAGTGGTTAAGGTCGATAGTGGCAGTGAGAGTGAGTGGGTCAGATATACACAAAAACATATATATATATAGTGTAAGAGGGGTTGAGAGAGCGGGATAGCTAGCTAGCTACTCGGTTTGCTGAGTGGTTGTCTAGTTTAGCTTAGTTTAGTTCAGGTTAGTTCAGTTTAGTTTAGTTTAGTTTAGTTTAGTTTAGTTTAGTTTAGTTGATATTTAGTATAGCTTGGTACTTCGTATATATATGTATATATATTCATATATCTTCAAATATTACTAAGACAAACAGAAAGAGAGACAGATAGAGAGTTAGCAGGTAAGAGGTCAAAGATGTTAAAACAAATCGTTTTTTGTATTATATCGTATATAAATGGCCAAGTATTAACTAAGACGAGTATTTATAGATATGCACATCTACGGACAGAGTGTGTGGCGACTAACGAACAGGGGTGTGTGAGTGTGTGTGTGTCGGGGAGCCAGGTGTGTGTGTTTGTGTGAGAGAAAAAGAGAGGGCAATACAGGTTAAAGATTGCCCAGAAGAATCTGGACAATTGGCCAGCGTCTTTGTCATTGCTTAAAAGGTTTCTTTATATTCCAAGGATATTATTATTATTTATTAAAACTATATGGCAATGACAAAGGCGCTTAAGAAAAATCTCTTGAAGGACCTTTTCAGAGATCGAGAAAGAGGCAGAGAGAGGTAACGAGCTTGGGCCAAAGAGAGAAGAATCTCCACTTTGTAGCACTTCAGCTAGTGAATAATAATGGGGATTGTATTAAACTTGGAACTTTACAGGGTTAAGATCTTAGCTGGCGAAGAAAGAGAGGCAAAGACTTAGATATATATAGAGAGAGAGAAAGAGATATATAGATAGAGGCTAGAGAGAGATAGCGGCAAGGGTGAGGAGGTTACATTGATATCAGTAGCTATAGACAGAATCTAGTTGGACTAGCTAGTAGACGGCTATTAGAATCTGTTTTGTGTCAACTAGGTCTTCTGTTGGTATTGGGTGTGGGTGTGGGTGTGTGTGGGAGTGTGTCCAAGTGTTTGTGTAAGTGTGGGTTAAGTAAAGGGGGGAAATAAATCATTTTATCTTACGAGTTAACACGGACTCGAACTCTGTACACTTCAGGTAGTCCCCTGTAAACAAAAAATTTGTTCCCGGTATGATTTTGTTTTTGTTTCATATCATCTGCTTTTGTTTGTTATTTTATTTAAGTATTTATTGTATTTGTATTTGTCTTGTAGTATGTTAAATTTATTTTAAGCATTGTCTGCTTCTTGAAGAAAACTTAAAGCTCGAAACATAAAGGAAAGAGTTGTGGGGGGCGAGAATAATTCAGCTTTTAGAAATACAGATTTTAGAATTCAGATATCTTCACTTTCGCTTGGCTGCCAATTCGGATATAATTTGTTGTTCTCTTTACTGTTTTTTGGTTACATTTTGTCAGAACTAAACACAAATCGAAGAAACGAAAACTGGAAAAGAACATATATGCATATATATATTTTTATACTCTATTTGCCATTATTTGTCACTTCTTTTTTCTTTAATTTTTTTTTTTGACAAATTTGCTGGCTTGTCTGTGAGTGTGTGACGGTGTGTTTGAGGGTGTTTGTATGGGTGTGCCTGTGGTGTGTGTGAGGGTGTATATACAGCATGACTTCAAGGACTGACAATATCACAGAAAGGTCAACTTGTATGTTACAAAAATAGTTCTGACTGTGCGAATGAAGTTTATTCTTAAGAAACTAAAAACAAAATCAAAAAACTACTACCCTAAGGTCCTTAAAAAAATGCCCAAAAATGATAAATTAAACTATTTCACAAAATAAGAGTCCCTTCTTTAATAAAAAGCTTACAAAGCTCTAAATAAAAGTTGCAAAATGAATTAAGAAAGTATGAATGCTTGGCTCTGAAATATGTACACTAATTATTATCAAATCAAAAAAGTCGGTCCATGAGAAGGGACACCAAAAAAGAATTTATTTGCAAATTTATATAGGTGGGCGGGGCAAACATTTTCGTACAGCCGAGCATGCATAAGCAAATATGAAAACGCAGGATAATAAAGCGGCTAAAATGAAAGTCAAATTCAAAATTAAAATCAAAATGAAGATGAAGTTTCTTGAGCGAAGCGCGCAGCAGCCCACAAAAAATTATGTTGCCTACTTTAAAGGGCTGTGCTGTCTCCCTGTGTTTGTGTTCGCTTAAGTGTCTTTAGTGTGCGTATATGTGTATTGGTGAGCGAACACGCGTGTCCTTCTGTGTCTGTGTGTGACGTTGAAATGCCGCCGTGGCACAAACGCAAATGCAAACACAATGCCAATGATAAATGATTGTTTTGGCCAAGTTTAAAATCTTTTGTCAGCGGCCGACAAACGGGTGCACAGTGGCGGTCAACAAAAATAAACAACCAAATTGAGTTTGTACAAAAAAAGAAACTAACTTCGATATTAATCTTTAAATAGATATTTTTTGATATTTTCATAAGTCAATTTTTGCGACAAATCACTGTTTAAAAAATCCATAACTAAGCAAAATATTTATTAATTTCAACTCGGAAAGCGTTCCTATATTGGTTTTTATTAGTTTTATAAATCTGCTTACTAAATTTAACATTTAAAAAAATTCAAATTTTTATAGATTTTTTTTTAATTTTAAAGATGTAACCCCTTATAAAATTTTCAGATTTTTGAAAAAATGTGCTTTTTGCCCAAGATAGCTAGAAAGATTTGCCTGTTAATGCTGATCAAGAATATATATGATTTATAGGGTCGGAAATGATTCCTTCACTGATTTTAAAGGCTCTGACTGAAACTAAAATCCTCTTCAAGGGTGCAAAAATTATAAATGAATTACTGAAAGTGTACTCTCCTTAAACGGTATAAAAATGTTAATTAAACTATATTCCAGTTACAAAATAAATCACTAAACGTACCACAAGTTTAAATATTTTAAGGAAAAAATTATTAGGGGTCTGAGGGACAATGGTACGTATACGTGATATTCTGTCAGTAAGGGAAATATTACGTATACGTAATTTTTTATTTGTATTGGGTTTCAAAGCTTAAAATATTCAAAAAAAATGCATTAATTTCAATTCGGTTAATAAATCTGCATACTAAGTTTAACAATTAAAAAAATTCAACATTTTGTCGATTTTTGAACATTTTAACGATGTAACCCCTTATAAAATTTTGGGAAAATGGTCAAATTTTTTTTTTCTCCCGGACATGGTCAGATCGATTCAGCTGATGATGCTGATCAAGAATATATATGATTTATAGGATCGGAAATGGTTCCTTCACATCGTTTAAAGCTTCTGACTGTACGTGAATTGGCCCACTGTGCAAGCTGTTTTCTGTTAGTTTTTTTGTTTTCTGGCATCTTCCTGGTGCTGTCAAGAGCACAAGACGGCTGTTTTTAGAGCCACAAATGGGCCATTGCCCAGCTGGAGGAAGGGCCAAGGACCAACGACCAAGGACCCAGAGTCAGCTGGGTTCCTGGTTGACTTACTGACTAACAGGACGACGGACTTCATCAAATTGACGATGCTGAGGCTCTTGGATTTTATATGCAAATGGCGAGGACACGGGGAGATTTCAACACCAGAACCAGGTCTAACCAGGTTATCTTCGTGTCTGTGTTGTATAGTGTAATGTAAGCGTACTGTAGTGTAGTGTATAGTTTTTTGTGAGTGGCTAAAAACCAAAAGCTAAGCCATGGAACCAAAAAGCGAACAGCGGGGGGATTGAGAAAGCAGCCAGGCAGTTGAAAAAACTCAGCTCAAAGACTCGGCTCGGTTAGCAGCCAAGTTAGCACCACAAAAAACGTTAAAATAGAATCAAAAACAAAGAACAAATTATAGAAAACCAAAAAAAGGAAATAGAAACACAAAGTCGGGGGTTCGAATCGGAATACACGATACGAGTATAAATATGTACATTGCCTAAGGATATGTACGAGTATGTGCCTAAAGGTATGTACGATTATGTATGAGATTCAGAGAACCGCCCGCAGACAGAGGCCAACACATGGCATTCCCCACGTTTTTTTTTTTTTTTGGGGCTCGGTATCAGAATCAGAATAAAACCGAGCCAGAGCTTGATCCTCCAACCTCCGAGGAGCTACTTACGTGATGGGATAGACCAGTCCGTCGGGCCGCTCCATGGTGCAGCGCTGCCGCAGGATGCCCTCCCACAGCTGTACGCCGATGATCCCGAAGATGAAGAACACGAAGAAGCACAGGAGCAGGACATTGCCCAGCATGGGCAGCGTGTCCAGCAGCAGCATCACCAGGATCCTCATGCCTTTTTTGGGGGGTGGCGAGGAACATTAATATGTGCGAAATCAATATGGTGTTTGCATCCTTACTGGGTATGCGATTGATGGCTCTCAGGGGACGCAGCACACGTATCGTCCGGATGGCGGTCAGATTGAGGTTCTCCACATGCATCACGTACTCCAGCAGGCCGGCCAGGACGATGAAGAAGTCGAGGCGGTTCCAGGAGTCCGCCAGGTACGTGTTCTTGCCGCACATGCCCATGGCCACCATCTTGATGGTCATCTCCAGGGCAAAGAAGGCAAAGATGATGTCGTCGAAGATCTGGAACGAGGCCAAAAAAAAAGTTAAAAGATTTCATTATTATTTATGAGCAGATGGAAAAGAAAATCAATACGACCACATATGACCCTTATTCTACACACAAAATGAATATACATAGAAAGAAGCTAAGAGACTTGATTTTTCAATTCTTGATTCCAAGCAAATTAGTTCCTTTTGATCCTTTTACTGTTGTTTCTGATTTTCCTCCTCCTTCAGCCTTGATTTGACCTGATTTGTCGTGCACCTCGAAACCAATTCGATTAATGAGCTAACGAACTAACGAGAGTTGATCAAATTAAAATTAGCAAGCCGGGCCAGGACCAGTGCTAGTCGGCAGTGTGAAGCTTTGCTTACAAGGACACATCAGGATCAGGCGTCACCCACATGCACACGAAATGAGTTTGCCTTGACAACATCATCATCATCATCGCCATCATCATCTACGCTTCATCATCCTCATCGTCCTTGCCGTCGTCATCGTCGTCGTTGTCATCTTTTCGTGCACCGCCTTGTGTCAAGTAATTTTGGTTCCCTTTGGGGGTTGAAGGAAGACGACAAGCAGAGCAGGAAGGACCAAAGGACCAAGGACCCAGGACCTGAGACGATGTCAGGTTAAGGGATAGGGGACTGTAACGCCCACTTATGTCACTGCGACTGTGGCTGCGGCTGTCGTTGTCATTTTGACTTTGTGCTGTGTGCCAATTTGGCGATGCCTCCTCTTGTCTTGTCCTGCTGGGGTTCCTTTCTCGCTCTCCAGCCACCAAACTCCGCCTTGTCCTGGTGTCCTGGATCCCCGCCTGTCGTTTTACTTTACACTTGACTGCGGCCAAAATGTCGCCCGACTTACATATCATTTACAAGCATTTTCGCACGTTGGCCCGGCATCCACTCTATGCTCTGTAATTGCCTCACTGAACACCACATCTTTTGGTTGTCTCAACTGCTCCCTTCTTCTTCCTCGAAGTGGAAGTGGTGCCGCCTAATGAGCCGAAGTGCCTCGCCTGGATGTCATCAGCCTGGCAGGAGGCAGTCAGGAAGTGAGCCAAAAAATTGCTTTAATAAATGGCATTTAATGTGACACCGATGCTGACAGGCCCACCTGGGGAGGCGGGAATGTCCAGGGGGAGAGTTTGTACCACCTCCTGCCAGTTCCAGGTGTCTTCTTTTTTTATTTGTCATCAACCTAATCTTTGGTCCATCTTCGTTTGATAAATGATGGAGAAACTAATTTGCATTGGACAAGAATAAAGTCCCTTGATAAGCCTCTTATCACATATTATGTGGTCAAACTTAATTATTTTTAATGCTTCCCGGATAAGATACAGTATATTGAAATATTTAAAGACTATGGCAATGTGATTACTCACCTGAAGGATCTTGCAGCGATTCGTGACACAGGCATCGTCCACGCAGGGCTGGTACATGCCCAGGGTGATGCAGTTGAGCAGGATGACCAGGATGGAGACGCGCTCGAACCACGTGCTGGTCCCAAAACGGAGACGAGTCCATATCTAGTTAAGTGACAAACCAAGAAAAGGCAAACAGGGTGGCCTAAATGGTGATGGCAAAAGGGAAAGGGCCTTGTTGCCTACTTTTCTGCGCTGATTGAAGGCGAAGGCAGTGGAGTGAAAAAAAGAGGGAGGGAGCCCAAAGGGGGCGTGGTGGATAACAACTTGCAGTTGCCTCTAATGCGCACTCAAGTGCTTGTCAACTTTCCCCGACTCCCACTTCCACTCCGCTCCTTGCTTCTCCGAAAGGACCTGCCCTGCCACCCTCCTCTGCGGTTGATGCTTCTCGGATCTCGTTTGGTCTCGGTTTTGGTTTGGTTTGGTTTTTGGGTCGAAGGGAGGGTCTGAGGACTCGAATACTTTGGATTCTAGATTCCCAGGCCAAATGCAGCAAATTGATGACAGTTGGCAGCCAGCTCATAACACTCGACCCGAGTGCGTTGTCCAAGAAGGACATTTACGAAATGGCAGGACGAGCAGCTGGATAAATCACTGCCTTAAGCTAACGCTGCTGCAATTAATGTGTGATGAAAGGTATTGGCTTTTACGCTACAGAAATGAATTCATAAAGTTTATATAGCTTTGAGATATTGGTATTTAAAAGAAAATTTCATCCAAGTATACAAGAAAAATGTCCCCCATTTGTGATTCTATCGAACACTTCGCCAGTTGGCTCTCCCTTTGAATATTTTCTGTTAGTTTCTTGTCGCCAGTGCCCTTCACAAATACAACCAACAGCGGCATGCAGGCACTCGTCGTCCTGGCACTTGTCGCCTAAAAGCCTCGCCGCCGCTGCACTTTGCTGCCTCGTCCTGGCAACCCAACTCGAAAACACACAGCATACACATAACACTCGTCCAAGGACGACAGCTGAGAACTGAGAGCCGAGCGGAGAAGAACTGGGCTTCAGGATTTCAGCTGGCTTAATGCATGGCCAAATGAGCGCCAAGGACTCGTTCCTTCGACGCGCAATTAAGGATCGAGCACACGCGCAAAATGGCAAAAATGTTTACGCTATTAACGCACAATTAAAGATAAAACGTGGCACACACACAAAACTGGCAGGCAGGACCTACAACAGAAACTCAGCCGCAAAAAGGGCAATTCATTAGGGGGCAGAAGGGAATTGGATTCGGATTCAGATTCAGATTCAGATTCGGTTTTGGTTTCGGTTTCGTTTCAACAGCGGCATATGCAGGCAGGCAAGCTGAGGGTCAGCTAGAATTGGGTCCGGTTTGGGTCATAAAAACAAATTGTGAACCGGACAGGCGGCACAAAAGGCACCACCGAATGAGGGCGGAGTCTGCGGAGCTCCCAGTCCCAGTATCCCCTGCCCGGATAAATACTGCAGCAGCACAAATATGCGACAGTAGTGCACGGAGAGAAAAATTCTGTTTAAGCACTTGGAGAATTTTGGAATTTGAGGTGAACTCTTTGTGAAGGCTCGCTTGAACTCAAGAAGACCTGAAATATTCGGATTTATTTAATCAATATTTATCAATACTATATAATATAACTGCCAGAGAAACGGTCGTTGAGTGTAGAGGATCACTAAATATCTTTCAACTTACTACTTAACTATAAACAGTAAGTAACTATAATCAGTAAGTATCAATGTACATTAGGTAACTATGAACAGTAAGTATCTTTGACCAGTAAGCAACTATGATCAGTAAGTAACTATGGGCAGTAAGGATCTATGATCAGTAAGTATCTCTGACTAGTAATTAACTTTGAACACTAATAAACAATGACTTGCAATTTTTGTAGCACAACACATTTCTGAGACTTGGCCGGCAGCAGCCACTTCGTTCCGGGGATGTTAAAACCAGTTGGGAATCATATGCATATGAATACAAACTTCGATGTGCCGATGTTGTTAGCTTCCTATCTTGTTTATGATGGATGAATCACATGTTCCAAAGGCCATAACTAAGCCAAAAATTCATTAATTTTAATTCGGAAAGCTGTTCTATGTTAGTTTTTATGTGGTTAACAAATCTGCATACTAAATTAAATATTTTAATAAATTAAGATTTTGTCGATTTTTGAAAATTTTAAACCCCTTATAAAATTTTCAAAATTTTGAAAAAATTTAATTTTTGCCGGACATAGCTTGATCGATTCTCCTGTTGATGCTGATCATGAATATATATGGTTTATAGGGTCGGAAATGATTCCTTCACTGATTTTGAAGCCTCTGACTGAAACTATAATCCGCTTTAAAGGTGTAAAAAAGATAAATAATTACTGAAAGTATAATCTCCTTAAACGGGTTAAAAATGATCAATTTAACTATATCCCAGTTACAATAAATATCACTGAACGTAACACTAGTTTAAGATAGTAAAAGTAAAGATTATCCGGGGTCTGGGGGACAATGGTACGTATACGTGATATTCCATGTTGGTTGGGGTAATATTACGTATACGTAATGTTGTATTTGTGTTGGGTTTCAAAGTTTAATAGTTCCATAGCTAAGCCAAAAATGCATTAATTTCAATTCGGAAAGCTGTCCTGTGTTAGTTTTTGATAGGTTAATAAATCAAAAAAAAAACAAAGTTTTTGTCGATTTTTTTTTAATTCATAAAATTTTGGGAAAATGGTCAAAATTTTGTTTCTCCCGGACATTTCCAAAAAGATTCGCCTGTAAATGCTGATCAAGAATATATATGGTTTATGGGGTAGGAAATGATTCCTTTAGTGATTAGTTAGCTTTTGAATGAAAATATAATACCCCGTAAGGGTATATAACATATAAAACTGGTATAAAATATATTTAAAGAGACCTTTCTAAAGCTTGTATATCTGCCTAGGGAATAGTCTATAGAAATCTTTAAATAATTATATATATGTATCCCATTTCTGAGTCCTCCAATTTTCCTTAATTAGATTTTGGTATTCCCTAATTAAATTGTATAGCAAATGGCTTATCACAAGTCGGTTAGATTTTATTTCCCTGTAACGACAACCGCGCCACCGACCCTGGCGCATTCAATTCATTCAGCTGCCTTCGTCAAAGGGGGGCGTGGCGGTTCAGGTGAGTGTGCCTGTGTGCGTGGGGGCGGGGTGGACCGTTAAAGTCGGGACCCCGGATTTTTGCTCGCATTATTTTTGATTTGGCAACAGCAATGGCCCCCAAACCAACAGTAAACAAATTAAGTCGAGCGTAAAGTGGGCCAGCTGGGGGCCGAAAAGGCGGCGTGACTGGGGACGGTAGGCGTGGCACGGTGGCACCGGGGGACGCATGCAAGCGTACAGAAATCGCAACAAATTAAAAGAGCCGCAAACAAAGCGAGAGCCGAAAGCAAAAGCCGAATAAGATGACTGAACATGCCCCAGAGAATGCTGAATGCTGAATCCTGAATGCTGAAAGCTGAATACTGAATGCCGCCGACCTGCGACTGGCTGAATGGCAAATAACGAACGCGAATGGACAAAAAAATAAATAAATATATAACAAATAAAGCAAAATACAAATATAAATAAAGGAGAAGGGAAAAAGAACAGGAGGGCAAGCGAAAAACTTGAGATAAATTGGCCACAACACAAGTTGTTGTCAACGGAAGCGATCAATTTAATTGGTTTTTTTCAACATCAAAGGGCCTTCAAGGATAGATTTCTGCAAGTAAAATATATAATTGCTAGTAAAACTTGGTAGATAAAGCAAACAATATATGATACTGATGTTGAAATATATTAAAATTAAAACCACATTAAAGAGAGTGGAAATCAGGTGAAGATCTAAGCCCAGAATTACCTTAATTACTCTTTTTTTTATTAATTTACAAGAGAAAATCATTTTAGAAATCGTATTAAACTCGTAATAAAGGGTTTCATGGCCCTGGACTAACACTCAATTGAATTCAGGCGCTCTTTCTAGGTATTTAAATAATAAATAATAATAGTGAGAGCTTCTCTATTCAATCCTTGGCTATTGGCTATTTTCCAGTGGCTGTTCACCATTCATACGAATGACCACAACGACCTGTTGTCCGTCCATCAAGTCCAGCTGTCTGCCCTGCTCCACCTTATGCAGGATGAGAGGCATTTGTGTAATGAATACAATGCACGTACTCGGTGGCGGTCAGCGAGGCTAATGGGTATTGCCAGGATTCCACTGCCGCTGCTCCACTTGCTTTTGCTTCTGCTTCTCTGCTTTCTGGTTCTCTGCTTTCTGGTTCTCTGTCATAATTAGTTATGGGCGTGGCAGGCGGTTTCGCATTACCTAAAGAGCGTCCTGTGTCCTTTGTCCTGCTCCCCCTGCATACACCAATGCTAATGATGCCTGCGTGTCCGAGAGCTGCCTTGTGGTCCTAATGGCGACCGCACAAGGATGCAGCAGGTCCTGACCCCGACACTCTCTCTCTCTCTCTCTATCTGCACGTGCCGCATGTGCCGCGCTCACATTTCACGCTAAAAGCGCCGTAAAATGGCGGAGACAACTTTTGGCCGGAGGTAAGCAGCCCCGAAATGCATCCACACATGTGGCTAAAATGCATCACTAATTTGGCAAGTGGAAAGTGGCAAAGAGGTGAGACAAAAAAAAAAGGATTTACCTAAAAGCCTAAAATATACACGTATTCAATCACATTAAGAAGGAGGTAGTCCCGCCACCAAGATGTTATTATCCTTCTTCGAAAGCAAAAGGGATATTCGATATTGATACGCAAGGCCGGCAGGCGACGCTGCGGCGGCTTCAAGTTTTTGGCAAATGATGGCACCGCTGACCTCAGCTGCAGGCGAGGTCACTTTCCGCACGTCTGGGTCACCAACACACACGCACACCGATGGGCGTCGCCAGCGAAAACGGGAGCGGCAACGGAAACGGAAACGGAAGTGGCAAGTAGAAGCAGGGGCTAGGGCCACAGCTTTAGGGGGAAAAAGTCAAACTTAAATTAGTTTAGTCAGTCAGTGAGACGAAGCGATTGCAGGCCAAGTTGCACCGCAAGTCAGCCACAAAATCCCCGAACCCTTCGTGTCTCCCTTCAGCAGTCAGGAGCCAGAAGCCAGGAGCCAGGAGCCTGTAATTGCCGCTGGGGGAGGCATCGTAAACTTTGACAATAAAATCCATAAAATGTCAGCAAAAGATATAGCAAACAATACAATGCGCAACACGCGAAGGCGAACAATGGCGCAAATCAAAATTTATGGCAAACAATTAAGTGGCAAGTATCGAGAGACCGATTACGTACTTGTGGCAGCGTTGGTTGGTGACTGTGGTACTGCGGCACATCAAGTGGGTAATCGCAGCCGTCAGCGCAGATTTCGAGCTAAAAATATACATAAAGGCAGCCATCGCCTCATACCACCATCTATCAGTGGCACTTCCTCACTTGACTGAGTCGACGTTCTAAACTCAATTATCATAATTTAACCGCCATACCCGCCAAGTCGTGGGCATAAATAAATATCAACGTCAGTCAATTTTAATTTCGCTTCGAGTGAAATGTGAAGTGAGCGCCAAGAAGTGTGCAAAGCGATTTTTCATGCACATGTGCCACATGCCATTGAAGTCAGCAGCAAGGAGAAGGAGATGTGCCAGATAAACAACATTGGAATCGCCAGGATTGTCATCTTGCTTCCGCCTCATTCAACGCTATATTGTATATACAGACATACACACACGTCCTACTGATTGGCGCACATTATCCCCGCAGAAGCCTGGAAAATGGATGGGAAATATGGAAAACAAGTCCACGGAAAGATCCGGCGTTGGCAACTGGGACCGTCACCGACAGCACAACACAGAGAAGAGGGGACATGGCACGACGGGACGAGATGGGACACATCCTGCCACTGGCACTGTTACTGTTACTGGTTCCGTCTCCCAATGACGATGCCCATTCAGATATTTATTATTTATGCGCAACGAACTCAAAAACACATACGCAGTGGCTGCTGCTGCTGCTGTTGCCTTGCAACTGCTGACATTGTCGCATGAATTTTGCAACAGGCAACAGGCTCCGTCAAATGAGAAACTCCAATCGAACAGGAGATACCTCGTCTTTGCATAGGACAAATGTCCTTAATTAAATTAGATAAATTAAGCTTGACTTGCTTTCAGAAACATGGGGAGTCAAGCTGTATGTCAAAGTTAATTGAAATAAATGAGAGTGCTTAAGAAAAGGTAAATGTTATAAGAAATATTAAAGCCTAAATATATCTTGCTAAAAAATAATAAACCCCAGCCATATTTCTCTATATATATTCAACACACTCCATATATTTAAATACTTAATATTATGCATAACGACCAGCATCAAGAGCCTTTTCCCACGGATCACAACATGCGCCTATTAATTATTCGCCTCATCCGACATGCATTCGACGTCAGTAACTTCCAATCGAGTGTCCTTAGGCCCATTAAAAAAATACAACGAAAAATGGAAACACACAACACAAAAAAATAAAAGGGTATATAAAAATGTGGAGCGCATCAAAAAACAAAAAAAAAATCAATAGGCTTACAACGCACATCCTGTGAAATGTGTGACAAGGACACTCTCTCCAACATAGCCGCACCCAGGGGTAAATTGCCAGCGAAGGACAATGGCAATTAGACTCCGCTTTCCCCATCCCCACCCCCTTTCCCTTTAGTTTTGTTTGTGCAAAGGATATGGATTGGTGATGAGCATCAGGCACCAGTTGCGCGGCCGGGTATACTGCGTCAGCGCCTTCATGGAGATCTCGGGGAAGCCTGGATAGGGAAGGTTCGGTTCGCCGGATGAGCTCGACGAGCTGGAATCCGAGGTGTGCGAGGAGTCACCATCGTCGGAGCTACAGCTACCATTGCAGCTGGATGCGGTGGAGGAGCTAATGGCGCCGCTACGACTGCGACTGCGGCTGCGTCCACGCCCATGTCCATGTCCTGAGGCTGCGGCGGCGGCTGCGGTGGCGGTGGCATCGCTGAGCGAAGAGGCGCCACTGTGACGACGGCCAGTGCGCCGGCGAGGCACCTGCTCCGGCCGCCCGTGACGGTCATGACGATCATGACGGTCATGGCGGTCATTACGATCGTGACGATCCTGGCGCTCTTGACGTTCCTTTCCCTGATAGCGCCGCCTGGAGTCTGCCGATCCTGAGGCATTCGAGGGCTGACGATGCGATCTGGCTGGTATGGATTTCGCATTCGCATTCGCATTCGCATTGGCATTGGCACTGGAGGAACTGGTTTTCCGCAACCGATGGCCACTGCCAGCGGCACTTCCGGTTGCGGTTCCGCCGCCAGAATCGACGATCACCGTCATGGGCGGCTCTTCGTTGGAATGCATTTGACTTAATCTGTTGCTGGATTTGTTGTTGCTGTTTTTGATCTTCGCGTTGCTGTTGCTGATGTTGCTGGTGGTGCAGGTGTTGCTGTTGCCGTTGCTGATGCTGTTGCAGCCGTTTGTTGCTGCTGCCACGCGACGTCGCTGGCCATTCCTAGCTGATGCTGCTGCAGTTGTGGCAGATGCTGATGTTGCCGATGTTGCTACAAGAGTTGTTGCTGCTGCTTCTGCTGCTGCTGCCGGCTGTGGCAGCATCTTCCTGGGGGCCAACTGTAGAAGCTTTGGTCATTCCATTGCCTTGCCGATTGCTGCAATCAAAGGGAGAGCGAAATGGGAGGGGAAATGTTAGAGATAAATCTATTATTAATGATTTATTTTAATGGTTTTACTTAAGAACTAAAAACTAATTTATTTTCTGTTCGATTCTCTTGCTTAATGAGCTCATTTCTACGCAATTTTATACTCGTGCCGACAATTTTTTCGTTTGGTACGTGCAAAGTTTCGGGAATTGATTTTTAATGCGATACTTGGCGTCCCTCAGGCAGCACACCCTCATCAACCCCCCTGGCAATATAATGAAGCCAAAACATAATTTATACGCACGTGCGTTGCTTTTTGTAAAACTTGTGTATGTGTGTGTGTGTGTGTGTGCTTGGAGTACGTAAAAATAATGAGAAACACATTTTGTGCCCACAGACAAGAAGTGTAGCATACATTTAAGGGCGCCAGAATTAAGAGGGCTCCCTCGTGCGTATGTATGTATGTATATGTAGATATGTAGGTGTGCTCAATCATTAATTACGGCACTCATCAGTGTGTGCGAGTGTGCGTGTGTGTTCACCCCTAACACATTAACGTGCCAAAAAGTGCTTTGTTGTGGTTTTCCCCAACCCAAGCGAACTGCAATTGTGTGAAAATTGGTTTATCGATGGGCTTGGCAAACAAAGACAGAGCCAAAGAAATGGCCACAAAGGACTCAGACCCAGATCCAGACCCAGAGGCCTCAGGAAGCCAGACAGACGCCGCTTTTCGCTTTTTAGGCCATTGAGATGTATGCAGTATATATATGTATATACATATAAACCCGATATAGAATCGATTGGGTAAACAGCAAACTTGATTCAGCGCTTACACTGCCGGCTTATCAAACAATTTATCAAATAAATAGAAAATATAAACTAGTGCCGGCAGGAGATAAATAAAAAGCAAACATTAAGTGGGCGCCTGGCATTTTAAGTAAATGCTGCAGCACTCTACTTGTCCATTAGCGATAAGTTCAAACTGATGAATGGGTTCAGTATGTACTTTATGGAATAGAATATGCCATCTAAAATATTATCATTTATTTATATTTTATATTTTTTTTATTATATATTATATATTATATATTATATATTATATATTATATATTATATATTATATATTATATATTATATATTATATATTATATATTATATATTATATAATATATATTATATATTATATATTATATATTATATATTATATATTATATATTATATATTATATATTATATATTATATAAAAATAAAAAAAAGCCATACCTTAGCCAAAAATCAATTTCGATTTCGAAAGCTTTCCTATATTAGTTTTTAATAGATTAATAATTTTGTATGCTCAGTTTAAATTAAATTAAAACTTTTTTGTATCCCCTTTCATTATTTCAAAAATTAAAATGTTTTTCTTCGCGAGATAGTTAGAACGATTTGCCTGTTAATACTGATCAAGAATATATGTATATGGTTTATAGGAAATGACTCCTTCACTTATTATCTAAGTTGTGAGTGAACATATAAAATATATGAACTCAAATTTTGGCAGTTAAATTAATATATTTTATTTATGTTGTTGTTGCAAATTTAAAATTGTTTTCTTTTGTTTTTGTTGTTCTTGTTGCTGCTGTTGTTGTTCTTTTATTGTTCTTTTCTTGTTGTTGTTGTAGGGGCTGTGGTTGTTGTAAGCAAAATCAAGCGTTCGATTTGGTCAATTTCAGTTAAAATCCGTTCTGAAGTACCAGGCAAATAGAAGGCAGAAGCAAGCAAATTTAGTTTTATTCAAATTCATTGTAACCCTAGAAGTATGCTACATCTGGCCCCCAAAGGTATGCAGTTCAAAATATATGCAATATTTATTGTGGTGTGACCAGCCCACCAGAAACAAGCTGTTCTAGTGTGACCAGCTAATGATCACTACTTTAATATCGAAAGAAGACTCAATTTTCACAACTTTTTGTAGATCGGTATCATCGCTTGCTTATTGAGCAGCAGAAGCTGGCCCGTCTCGAGCATCTGGTCACCGAGGGCAGCATACCCGATGTCCAGAAGGTGGCCGGTCTGACTGGCTGCAATGGAGCTGTGTAGCCACCGCCGCCGCCGCCCTCGGCCATGGTCATGGCCATACCGCCGCCACCACCAAAATGGCGCCGGCCATACCGCCGCCACCACCAAAATGGCGCCGGCCATGATGCCACCACCACCGCCGGGTGCACCGCCTTCGCCACCTTGGATGACGCCAGAAATGGGTGAGTACAGAGTTAAGTCAAGTCAAGGAGCGCCACATAAATTAATTTCTATCCTTTGCCTGCAGATCCTGTGCCACCCAAGGTGGAGCTGCCAAAGGATAACGGGCCACAGCACACGAATCCATTAAAGAGCATCAAATGGTCCAAGCTGCCGGATGCCAAGCTCCAGAGCACCGCCGGGAGCGAGCTTGACGAGAGCAAGCTGTATAACATGGATTTGGAGTTGATAAACAAGCTCTTGTCGGCTTATCAAAAGAATGGGGTATCGGTGAGTGTCTAGGGGAGATTCCACTGAAAGACCTTCCTTTATTTAATGCTCTCTTCTCTTTCCACAGGCCACCGATAGCTCCGATGAGGATCTGCGGGCAACTGGCGGCAAGCCAGCCAAGCAGAAGGTGCTCTCAGTGATCGATGGACGCCGGCCCAGAACTGCACCGTCTTGCTCAGCAAGCTGAAGATGAGCGAGTAGGAGTTGCTTTAGTCACGTCCTGGTTCCAAATACTTATCTCTTCTCTTCTGGGGCCATTTTCTCGATGGACAGCAACGAGCAGCTGACACTCGACATCTTGGAGCAGCTTACGCCCGCGGTGGAGGAACATGCACTGTTGGATGAGCATAAAGAGGATATTGAGTTACTGGCCCGCGCCGATCGCTTCCTTAACGAAATATCAAAGTGGGTTTGAAGGGCATCGAAGAGATTTGGCAGTCACTAAACTATTTGTTCTTTTGCCCTGGCAGGATTCCCCACTACGAGTAAAGGCTGAAGAGTCTCCACTACAGGAAGCGCTTTATGCCGACGGTCAACGATCTTATACACCGCATCGCCAGTGTAATAGAGGCTAGTGGCGTAGTGGCTAGTTCCCGACGTCTGCGCAAGCTCCTTGAGCTGATTCTGGCTTTGGGTAATCTATCCATTCACTTTTTCATTTATTTTCACTATTTAAGTGCATTTTTAATAACCACAGGCAACTACATGAACCGCAGGGCGCGTGACCCACACCAAGTCCAGTGCCGCCAAGGGCACCACCCTGCTGCAGCATCTCGTCCAGGTAATCGTAAGTAAATTCATGGATCCACTGGAACTGGAGGATCATATTCCGCATGCCCGTGAGGCTTCCAAGGTGTCGCTGTGCGAGATGGACAAGGATATCCAGATGCTGCGCACCGGCCTGGCGGATGTGGCACGCGAAATCGAGTTCCATCGAACTTTGCCCTTCATGCGGGAGTTCCACGCCTCGGCATCGGTCCACTTTGCGGAGCTGGAGGACAAGTTCCAGGACATGAAGACCCGCTTCGATCACGCCGTGCGTCTGTTCGGCGACGATGGTTCGGTATGTTAATAATAATAATAATAATGTCGACGATTAGCTGACATGGAGCCGCCATATGCAGCATGGAGGTGTGACCAGCTAAGGTTCACTAATTTAATATCGAAAAATTAGTGTCGTTTTTCATAACTTTTTTGTAGTGTGACCAGCTTATGTTCACTACTTTAATATCGAAAAATTAGTGTTGTTTTCAGAACTTTTTTGTGCTTTTTTTACTATTAGCGAAAAGTGACAGTTATTTTTCACTTTTTGTAGATCGGTATCATCGCTTGCTTATTGAGCAGCAGAAGCTGGCCCGTCTCGAGCATCTGGTCACCGAGGGCAGCATACCCGATGCCCAGAAGGTGGCCGGTCTAACTGGCTGCAATGGAGCTGTGTAGCCACCGCCGCCGCCGCCCTCGGCCATGGTCATGGCCATACCGCCGCCACCACCAAAATGGCGCCGGCCATACCGCCGCCACCACCAAAATGGCGCCGGCCATGATGCCACCACCACCGCCGGGTGCACCGCCTTCGCCACCTTGGATGACGCCAGAAATGGGTGAGTACAGAGTTAAGTCAAGTCATGGAGCGCCACATAAATTAATTTCTATCCTTTGCCTGCAGATCCTGTGCCACCCAAGGTGGAGCTGCCAAAGGATAACGGGCCACAGCACACGAATCCATTAAAGAGCATCAAATGGTCCAAGCTGCCGGATGCCAAGCTCCAGGCACCGCCGGGAGCGAGCTTGACGAGAGCAAGCTGTATAACATGGATTTGGAGTTGATAAACAAGCTCTTGTCGGCTTATCAAAAGAATGGGGTATCGGTGAGTGTCTAGGGGAGATTCCACTGAAAGACCTTCCTTTATTTAATGCTCTCTTCTATTTCCACAGGCCACCGGTAGCTCCGATGAGGATCTTCGGGCAACTGGCGGCAAGCCAGCCAAGCAGAAGGTGATCTCAGTGATTGATTGACGCCGGCCCAGAACTGCACCGTCCTGCTCAGCAAGCTGAAGATGAGCGAGTAGGAGCTGCTTTAGTCACGTCCTGGTTCCAAATACTAATCTTCTCTTCTAGGCCATTTTCTCGACGGACAGCAACGAGCAGCTGACACCCGACATCTTGGAGCAGCTTACGCCCGCAATGGAGGAACATGCACTGTTGGATGAGCATAAAGAGGATATTGAGTCACTGGCCCGTGCCGATCGCTTCCTTTACGAAATATCAAAGTGGGTTTGAAGGGCATCGAAGAGATTTGGCAGTCACTAAACTATTTGTTCTTTTGTCCTGGCAGGATTCCCCACTACGAGTAAAGGCTGAAGAGTCTCCACTGCAGGAAGCGCTTTATGCCGACGGTTAACGATCTTATACACCGCATCGCCAGTGTAATAGAGGCGTACCGCGTAGTGGCTAGTTCCCGACGTCTGCGTAAGCTCCTTGAG